GACAGGATCCTAGAACTTAGAGCAGAGTAGAGCCAACAAGCTTACTATACGTCCTACGACTAAGAAGTGCCAGTTTACGATGGCACTGCGCTGATTTAGGGTCCGTTCACACAGACCGGCTCGGAGAGCATCGGCACGCTTTTTTTATTTTCACACAGACCGGATCGTATACTTTTGGAATTGTCCGGAGCGGAGCCGCTATTTCACATAGACCGGCTGGAAGGGATCTGAAAGCGGATTCGCACACAATCGGAACCGATAAGCTACGCGAGCGAGAAAGAGCGCGCAATCGGAGTAGATCAGCTTCTCTTATTATTTCACACGCAGCGCAAGCATTCGTAATGACAAAAAAGTGCACATGCAAAAATAAACTTTACTACAATAACACAAAACTCTGTTTCCAACGTTATAAAAATCTGCTCTCCTCTCCGAGCCGGTCTGTGTGAACGGACCCTTAATACTCATAGAGCGGCGCTGCCACTTCTGCTTTCGTTTTTAAGACACAGACTTAAATAGATAAGGTGGTGCTACTGTCAGCCGAGACCGTACAGTTAAAATATAAGCAAGTACGGGCAGATTACCAGTTTGTGCCTAGGTCTCTCTTTGTTCCTGAGCAAAACGAGATGGGATATCGGTATATATCGACCCCTCCCTCTATTATACAAAAACGGCTCAACTTTAGTCTTGATAGCGTGATCTATCTCGGCGTATTGCTTGTTCTGCAGAGCTCTCTTCATCATGTCCACCAGGAGACCTCCTCCTATCATGTAATAAAAACCTTGCAGACATTCTTACAGGAACAAAATAGATTATAGGCACGTAACCGACTTCTTATAAAACTATTGAAGACGAGAATAATGAAAAATATACCTCTATATAATTTTATAGTGTAACTATACTTGAGACCTTAGAACTTATATCTTAGGTGAGCGGCGCATTTACGTCGTAGATGTCTATGGGCTCCAGTAACCACTTAACACCAGGTGGGCTGTGAGCTCGTCCACCCATCTAAGCAATAAAAAAAAAAGTTGTTTGTAGAAAATATGTACTTTGTGAAAAATACGTTATCGTTGTTCAAGAACAGAACAGAACAACTTTACAAAAGACAAAATAAGTGGCGTTTACAATTTGAAAATTTCGTTTTCAAATACTACAAGCTACTGTTATTAAATCAGTCATAGCATTATTATTTTTATCATACTAGGTTCTGTTCCTAGAGAGCCCCGTTAAAGATCGAAAAATAATAATCCAATATAAACTCATTTAATAAGCCACATTATTATTGAGTTAGAGCATTTCATAGGTACATGTGTCCATGGAATCAAATAAATCAAATTTCATTGTCGTTTTTTTTTGTAACCTTCCTATGCACCGGTAGCCTAAGGGGCTATTTCAGCTACGCCCTCAACCGTCACTATTCTCGTCAAACCCGTCGCTTGGGACGAAGATTTCGGCGAGCAAATTAACCCTTAGAAACAACCCACTGAGTTTCAAGCCGGATGTTTTTCGTGTTTTTTTTTTATTATTGCTCAGATGGGTGGATGAGCTCAGCGCCCACCTGGTGTTAAGTGTTTACTGGAGCCCATGGACATCTACAACGTAAATGCGCCAATAATTGAAATATAAGTTCTAAGATCTCAGTATAGTTGTAACGGCTGCCCCACCCTCCAAACCGAAACGCTGCTTCACGGCAGAAATAGGCAGAGTGGTGGTACCTACCTGCACGGACTCACAAGAGGGCCTACCACCAGTAGAAGAGGTTCTACACCAGTATGTTGAGTTTCCGATCCGGTAGTAGATTCTGCGTAGCACTGCTCTTGCTAATGATAGTATTAGCAACATCCTCAGGTTAGAGCCCCGTGAGCTCACCTACTCGCTCGCTTACGCTGGCATAGCCCTCTAGTTTACCAGCTTAGGTAGTCAAAAAAAACTACAACCGGACCGGGATTGTCGTTAATTAATAAACTACGCACCTTTTATGTCGACTAGTTTGTAAAGCTTTTGCTCTGACGTCCCAGCTTGCTTCTTCACACCGCTCGTCACATTACTCTCTGTGTTACCCATAATTGTAAGAACTACAATTGAAACTATACTAAAAACTAATAAAATATAACTAACGTACAAAGAAAATCAGTGATCAGTTCGTCTATCGATTCAACTTCCTGGTTACCATAGCGCTTGTTACGGTTCAATGAAATTCACTAACAGTAGCAATAATCTATACTAATTTTATAAAGCTGAAGAGTTTGTTTGTTTGTTTGAACGCGCTAATCTCAGGAACTATTAGTCCAATTTGAAAAATTCTTTCAGTTTTAGATAGCCTATTTATTGAAGAAGGCTATACGCTATATAACATCAGGTAAGACCAATACAAGTGGAGCACCAATAAATAATGTTTCAAAATAAGGATTTAAATAGCTCCTTAACATTTTATAATTCAAAAATATTTTCACTTTCTACGTAAATAAAGTGGGGGGGTAAAATTTAGCGTTATGCCGAAGTAATTATTCCACGCGGACCAGACTATTCCAGTTGTTAATAAAGCGGTGTGTTTATTTCTATATATTCTTGTGAACCAAAAATAAATAAATAAACGAAAACAAAGTTATCAAAGTTTTACTTAATTCAAATGTTTTTTGTTATTACACTAGATGGATTTTACACTAAGCTGAGACTTAGAAATGAGATCTCAGGAAGGGCGGCGGCTTTGACATCTATGAGCTCCCATGATCACTTAACCAAGTGGGCCGTAAGCCCGTTTACACATCTAGGCAATAAAAAGATGTGCACACGAACTCGCGGCCAACATTGTGTTAAGTGGTTATTGGAGCCCATAGTAATCACAGACTGACTTCGTGACTTAACGGACAAATCATCAGTGCGCTTAGTGCGAGTTTTTTAACGTTCTCGACAGAGTTAAAGTTAACTGAAATTTGTATGCAGTTCAAACAGCGCTCCTAGCGGTAAACGTTTCAACTCCATACTAATTTGAGTTAACTTTTACGCTATCGAGAACGTTAAAAAAATCGCTCTGAGCACACTGGTCTCCTCATATCCAACGATGCGAGATTACCGGTATTCAAATTCCGCAAACAATCACTAATTTTTCTATGGAAAAACGTGTTTACGAATGAATTTCACGATAAAGGAATAACAGCATGTGATATTATGTGCGTTGCCTTGTGTGCCTAATAAATAAATAAATAATTATATAATAAAAATAATAATAAAGGAATACACGTGTCATACGCGCATACTTTATACATCCACTTATAACAGGAAAAGCGTTTGTATGTACCCATGCTGATCAGTTAAAATAAAGGTAACGCTGGACGGAATAGAAACACCGTTAAAATATATCATTATTTAATTTGTAAAAATATTATTATTACTTGTTCGGCGTACGTAACAATAAGTACAATAGTTCCACTACGCTTAGGATCGATGCGCTGAAGAAGAGTCCGACGATCCCACCAATAGATACTGAAATTATTTAAAAATAATTTCAAAAGTCTAACCAAAACAAATTACGTAATCCTGCTTTGTTAAAGATTCAAATGATTCTCTGTATTGCTGTCAATCGACATTATAAATTAAACATGAACCACTAAGAAACCTAAAGTGATATTTAATAAAAATTAACGAATATAATGTTATTTATACATGACTAAGGGCGAAAGGTTTACCAAGTTTTTTTTTATTTTTTTTTATTTCTTATATGTGTGGACGAGCTCACAGCTCACTTGGTGTTAAGTGGTTACTGGAGCCCATAGACATCTACAACGTAAATGCGCCACCCACCTTGAGATATAAGTTCTAAGGTCTCAGTATAGTTACAATAAGAAATGGAAAAGTGATGTAAATTGAATGAAGCTTGTATCCAGCTGTGGACAACTGTTGATTGATGATGATACGGCTAGCTAGGTTAGCTAACAACAGGATTATAACCATAAAAATCATCAGGTACAGTGTAAGCTAAAATAAAAAACAAGAAAAACCATCAAATCAAGATGTTTTGATTCAAGTAGGCCTTTACAAGATACTTTCAAATACCTTAACCACCAATTGCGGAATGCAGTTTCCCCGTAAATAATCGCTAAGACGAGCATCGCTACACGTGCATTTACAACATTTATCAATTTGTATAGAGTAAGCATGACTTCGAATTAGACCGGGTCTACATCAGTGAAGACAAACTACATGCCAATTCGGTACTGTTCTATGTGGAACCTATTTCAAAATACAACATTTCAATACGTACCTACTATTTCTAGTCGACTCCTCGTTAAGCTTCTATGGTACCTAAGTGCGGGTAACGAAGACATTTTAACTACAACGGAAACACCTTTTCCCTCGTCTTCGGCAACCCACCGTCTATTCAAAATTAAATCTTATGTAACTTATGAACACAGTCATTTTTGTATTTCTATGAATTAAAATTAAAACGTTTCATTAATACGTATTCCAACCTTTTTTTCCCTACTAAGCTAATAGTCTAGAGAGACCATATCACCGTCACCGGGCTAGTAGGTGAGCTCATGGGGCTCAAACTTAATGACATTGCTAACACGAGCCCTAGCCGTAACAAGAGCCGTGCTTAGCAGAATCTACCACCGGATCGGAAACGCGACCCACTGAGAAGATCCAGCGAGAAATTCAGTGCGCTGTGTCTATGGTTTAATTCGCTCGACGAGCGACGGGTTCGACTAGAACGATGACCGGTGCTTGAGGTACCTAAAAGAACCGTTAGTGGATCGGGAGGATCCGAAGTGACGTGTTTTGAGCGACGTCGACTGTTTACCATTTGGTCCGTAGGATCGGCTATGTAGTTTATTGCAAACTGAGAACATTTCACCACTTGGAATTCCATTTTGATAAATCTCAATAAGTATAATCTTCAGATTATAAAAAAATGAATTTCAAGATTTTAATTCATAAAAGGCCAAAAGTAGCCTATAATTGTTAGGAAATGCACTACTTTGACTACGTGTTTACTTTATTTACCCTGATTGATGGATTACATTGATTTCGCTTTCAACACACGACGGCGCGCACTGATACAATTTGTATTTCCGCGAATTCAAATTGTTTTCAGCTGAAATATGTTATTTGTTTTATATCGTGAGCTTAAATGTTGGTCACCAAGCCTTATCTATGCGCCAAACTATACAAAATCAAATCAGACGTTCTCAACAACCTGCCGCTTTTCGTATACTTGACAAATAAAATATACGAAGCTATTTGTGATGTCGGATACTGTGTGTTTTGTCATAACTACTTTAAAAGCCTAGGTTTTTTAAATCAATAGTTTTTAATTAAAATAATTTTTACCGTTTCATTTTATTTTAATTCTTTTCATTTCATTAATACGATGTTTCGAATACTCCACAGTTTTCGTGTTCCAGATGAGTAAATGTTGTTAAAATTTTCATTCATCATCATTGTTCATTCATCATTGTTCATCATTGTTGTTTCATTCATCTTAAAAAAAATAGCACTCACCTTCATAAATAGACAAGCAGTTCAGTCCAGTATAGTTGCAATACAGATTCGAATCTAGAAAGAAAACGAAACCTCCCATAAATCATTTCATACAATTCACAAACAAATAACTTTAAATTGACTACAGTTACAAATTAGGGACCTTACTATTATAATATGTTTTCTGAATATACACACGAAAGAGTACATAAGTGCAAAGTTTCTAAATTGAAATTAATGAACTGTTGAAACTAGATAATTATATTAGGGGTTAAAGTATGAAATTGCCGATTTGTACTGAAAAATTGAAATTCGTTTTTTATTTCATTGAACATGTTTATTTAATTAAAATATCTACCATTATTATCTATACATTGCTGCCATGTAATAGGAAGGTCACTTATGCCTTTGCGATAGAACTCTGGTGATCTAGATTCTACAAAAAGTGTGAAAGAATTTTGTACTGCCTTCTGGGAAGGAATTTTTATCACGTAGAAAATTGTCCAAATCACGAAAAAAATGATAGTCCGTTGGAGCAAGGTCTGGCGAATACGTAGGGTGACGAACGGTTTCTAATTGCAGTTCCTGTGGAGTTAAAACGGTTTCTCGTGCTGTATGAGGTCTCGCGTTATCGATTCAGGAGTCGGAGCTGTTTCACTGAAAGTTTTGCTATCATTGTTCGGAGTTCGGCACAGTAAACATCTGCCGTTATCGCTTGACCAGATCGGAGAAAGTGAATAACACAATGCTGAGACCACCAAACAATTACCATTACCTTTTATTGGTAAGGTTTGCTTTAGGACACTGTTGCGGCGTTTGACCTGGGGTCAGCCATTGCATTTTTCGCTTACGGTTATCGTAAAAAATCCACTTTTCATCCCATGTCACAAGTCGATTCAATTTTCCTTCATTTCTATATCGATTCAACAAGGCAACACAAGTTTCAACATGCGTTTCTTTCTGCAGATCAGTCAAATCATGAGGCACCCATTTTTCATATTTTTTTATTTTATTGATTTAACGCAAATGAGTCAATATTGTTGGTAAGGTAAGGTTAAACCATGCCGCTAATTCCTGAATAGTTTGGTACGGATCGGCTTCCACCATCTCTTGCAATCCATTGTCATTCACATGTGTGGGCACACGGTTCATTCTTCAAATCATCATCGTTCATCAAAAAATTTCCATCACAAAAGCGTTTAAACCAAAATCGCACGGTGCGTTTAGTAGCAGTCCCCTCTCCAAACGCAAATTTCATATTGCATTTCTGCAGCGTTAATTCCGCGTCGGAACTGTTATTCAAAATCACTTGAATTTTCGAAGTATCCATATTTCTTGTCTAAGCTGAATTAAAAAAACAACTGAAAGTCGATAATCGAATGTTGCACATTTTTTAAAAGAAGAGCCTCATATTAGTACCATTTGAAAAAAGTTTCACTCAATAATCTCAAACCATGAAGGTTCTATGTCAATTCGAATTACCTATTACAATAAAACGTCAATTTCATACTTTAACCCCTATTAAATGGAGTTTAATGCCGCTTTCTCATTATTCGTAGACGCTTAATAATATTACAATATTTCGAAATGAAAACAAAACACGCTCACATGATTTATCTCTCACTGGATGGACACATCCGCAGCGTTCAAATAATTCCTCAGTATAGTACGCCAACTGACAAGCTCCATAAGAATAAACCTGCAATATTATTTAGTAATGTTTTCTTTCGTAAACTTAATCGAAGACATGCTCAAATCTCGAGGATAATGACCAAATTGGAACGAAAATAGGTTTTCCACTTTAGGCATTATCTAAATGGCGATATTAAATGGATTTTCCAGCCGTTCACAGGCCTTCGTGGTAAAGTAGAAAATCGCATATCGAAAGTATTTGCTTGTGTACCTTAGATAATATTGGAGGATAGAGCAGAGGCAGATTTTAAGAAATATTTATTGAATTAATAAAAATCAATATGATGGTTTAACAATATGGTTTAATAATGGAAACTTGGTTTGTTCGCAGGGACTTGATCAAAAAACTTCAAGTGTTTGTGAATAGGTGCCTGCGTCAGATTTTGAAAATCTTTTGGCCTGAGAAGATCACTAACAAAGAGCTGTGGAGGATCACTAAGCAGACACCAATGGAGAAGGAGATCCTTACGCGGAAATGGCATTGGATTGGTCACACTTTGAGAAAGCCCGATACCCACCTGTCAAAGAGAGCACTGACCTGGAAAGTGTCTGGCAAAAGGAAGAGAGGCCGCCCCAGAACAACTTGGCGTCGCTCGGTGGAGCAGGAGCTAGGGGTCTTGGGCATGACGTGGGAGGAGCTAGAACAGACTGCCCAAGACCGATATAAATGGAAAAAAATTATTCTAGCCCTACACCCCAGCAGAGGGTAATAGGAAATAATGATGATGATGATGATTATGGTTTAAATCTGAAATCACTAAGCTTTCGAATGCTTTGACGACAAAGTTTTTGAGGTTTTTTTTTTCAAATCCAGAAGTTTTTTTTTTTTAGTGTGCGATCTTTCGTTATAGGTACATATAGGTATTCAGTATGGGTATAGCTATTGCACGTACACATAAATAAATAAATAAGCCTTTATAGCTGTTAGAGTTAAACTTATTTAACTAAACATAAAATGATAACAGTAGAGGTAAACGATACCAGAAAATTAACTTAAACTAAACTAAAACATATCTCGGAATTCGGCTTATCTCTCCTCTTAACAGCTTCAAGTCTTTCGACAAAGGCGTACACGTATGTGTACGTGTACGGCCTTAAGTACGGCTCCTTAAATACAGATACCTACAGCAAGGCTAGTGCCAACCCTAAAAATTTATTATTAGAAAATCAATGTATCGTTGTCTAGTAACCTGCATAAATATTAGTCAGTTAAATCACCTTTGTTTTATTTACATTGTTTTTTATAACTATAAAATGAATTGAAATTAAATCAATAAACTCAGCAAAAATCTAGTCACCGAGTATACGTGAAGTCGTCCATCGGGTATTTCATTCGAATATCTGCATCCTCTCTCTTCAAAATATTCGTATTTTAACAGAGAATCATTTTCTGTTTCCACCATAGAGAATAGCAACTCGAAACGGCTTACAGCTAACGTTTTTAGTCCATATTTCAGTTTTGCGTCTAAATAATTCGTCAATAGCTCCTCGGCGCTGTGTATTGAAACCTTTTAAAATGAATTCGATAAATTTCCCCCCAGATTAGAGCCCCGTGAACTCACCTGCTCGCTCTGTTACGCCGGTATAGCCTATCAAGGCTTAGGTAAGTAAAAAAAAAACTTTTTTTATTTTTATTTGCCTTAACGATAGCAACGGATCTGGTTTGTAAAGCCTCTAATAACCTTATCATCGTTTTAGATAGTCTTTCGTCTAATTTTTAAACGTAATTTAGTCGAACACCTATGTTAATTATATAATTATATAATTTAACGGTAGGCAGCGGCTTGGCTCTGCTCCTGGCATTGCTGAAGTCCATGGGCGACGGTAACCACTTACCATCAGGCGGGCCGTATGATCGTCTGCCTACAAGGGCAATAAAAAACAAATTTAATAATAATATATTAAGTATATTCAGTGACCGCGTTCACAAGTATATTCTCAGCGACCTCGAATCGTGCCACCACATCAAAATACCATCTCTTATCTCTTAATCGCATTTGAAGATAGTTGATAACAAAGACATAAAACGTGGTTTTACTATAATCTGGTTCACATCACATCTATTATTAATTATGCAATTTAGGATTAAATCACGTTCATTATTGTTTACGTCCGATAGTACTTGAAGTTAATTAAAACCTGTATATTTTCTTAAAAGAAACACGATGAGCTGCCCATTTTACAAATACATTTATTACAATATCCTTAATAATATTTAGGCAGCGGCTTGGCTCTGCCCATGGCATTGCTGACGTTCATGAGCGACGGTAACCACTTGCCATCAGGTGGGCCATATGCTCGTCTGCCTGCTATGGCAATAAAAATAATAATATTAATAAATGTGCAACATTCATAAAACTTTTTTTTGTTACCCTGTACTTTATATAGTTAGTTTTATGTATTTGTACCTAATTTTGAAATAGGCTGTTAAAATGTCAAGAAGCGTAAACCCTGTCGCATGCATTTCCTCAATCATCACCTTCGATTCGCAGCGAAACATGAATTAAAAATTGCCATTCCGAGTTTCGCGATTCTAGTTTTTTTTTTATGATTTAGCGTTTACTGGTGGCTCTGAGGCCTTTCCAGTTTCACAAGGACAGGTGAGCGAGCAAGGTCTCAACCAGAAGGGGTGGGATTTGCTCACAGCTACCCGAGCGCCTCCAAGGGAGACCTAACAACTCAAGAGTAGCTGCTTCGCGAATGAATCTACTACCGGATCGGAATCGCGAGCCGCTGAGAAGATGCGGCGAAAAACTCAACGGGCTTCTAGATTCTGCGAAGCACTGACCTTGCTAGAGTTATTGTTAGCAAAGTCTCCGAGTCCCGGGAGCTCGCCTATACGTCTGGTGAAACTCAAATAGCCCTTCGAAGCTACTAGCATATATAGACAAAAAACTAATAACAATATTGTGTTAATCTATTAATGATTAATAATATAATTAATCGTACTTTTCCGTCGGCTAATAGTCGGAAACTCAGTAAACCGGGCCCAGTAGTTTTGTTCACAACAAAAATGTTTCCGGTAAGCATCCTGTAAATAAATATAACAACAGTATAAGCCGTGTAACGATTTATCTCAAATTAGACGCTGTCCGTATCTGAATTTCAGAGGCTTATCTCTTAGCTATCTAGGTGATAACGCTATATTAAATACGTCAGCTTCAGGGTCCGACTCAGTTTTTAATCACAAATGTCTTTTTTCAATCGAAAAAACAATATGATTACTATGATAATTCATGATTATAAATAAATATTAAAAATGCATAAAGGCCTATGTAATTATTATTACAATTGTTCAAGATGCAAATCGTTCGATATGCTATATAATCTATACTTAAAAAAGGTGTAATTGCATAATATATAGTAATAACAATATATTTAGTATAAAAATATAATAATAACTAGCTGACCCGGCAGACTTCGTAGTGCCTCAATAGATAAATAAAATACCTAAACTTTTGTATAAAATAAACTTAAAACAAACAAAAGGAATCCATCGGGGGACACATCAAAGAAAAAACAAAATGGTTATTATTATTTATATCCAAGCATTTTCATATTTATTTACCTTTTAAACCTTCTCTGGACCCCCACAAATAATTCAAGACCAAATTTAGCCAAATCGGTCCAGCCGTTCTCGAATTTTAGCGAGACTAACGAACAGCAATTCGTTTTTATACCTAGTCAGGTCATAAATTCTGTCACATGTTTAATGTAAAATAATTGAAACAAGTTTATTCATTATGTAACCATTCATATACCAAAATGAACTTAATAAAACATAGATTCTTATGACACTAAAGTTTATTCAAAATGACCTCCGTGATTTTGAATACAGGCCTTCAATCTGCGCGGCCAGTCGTCTATCGCAGCACGAACGAGGTCCATGTCAATATCGGCGGCTGCCTTAATCAAGGATGTCTTGAGTGACTCCAAATTGGGATGAGGCTTTGAGCACGCCTTTTCCTCCAAGTGTTGCCATATCTTGTAATCTAACGGATTCAAATCTGGACTGGAGGAGGGCCAGTCTTCGTGCCGGATGAAGTCGATTTCACGCGCCGCCAGCCAGTCTTGTGTGCTCTTCGCTCTATGAGCTGGCGCCGAATCTTGTTGGAATACCCAGTGCCTGTTATTGAACATGGTATGAGAAACAGGTTCCACAAGGTTCGTCAGGACTGTATTTTGATACACAACTGCATTCGTTTTTACACCTTTCTCACAAAAATGTACCTCTGTTAAGCCCCAATAAGAAACTCCCAACCATACCATGAGCGAGGATGGAAAATGACCTCGTTGGACACGCGGAATACGGTTGCTCGCTTCTTCACTACTGTGTGCGTACACCTTATCATTTTGTTTGTTGTAGCTCTCTTCTACGGTAAAAATTTTTTCATCCGAAAAAAGAATTTCCCGATATTTTTTTCCCGCGTACCGCTTCAACAAAGCGCGGCATCTCTTCAGTCTCAGGTCCATTAGACGAGCATTCAAACGATGTCCTGTTTTTCTTCGATATGCCCGAAGCCCTAAGTCTTCATTTAACACCCTTTTCACCGTGGTTCTGCTTAACCCCATCTGAAGGGCCAACAGTTTCTGCTTACGTTTGGGATTTCTTTGAATTCGCGCCTTCACAGCTTTTATCACTGCTGGAGTCCTAACAGACCGAGGGCGACCACTTCTTGACCTGTCATCTACACTAGAGTCTTCATTGTATCGTTTGATGGTACGATAAACGAATCTTTTGGTTATATTCAAATTTTTCAGTATGTTAAAAATTTGAATTGGCGCGTAACCGCAACGACGCAACGCATTAACTGCAACACGGTCTTCTTTAAGCGTCCACTCCATATTTAAAAATGAGAAAATTCTAAAAGTATACGTTTTTATTTTCATGAACAATTCGAAATTCGAATTCAATAAACTTTTTTGTGGCCAGCATTCTAAAAGAAAAGTTTTTACTGTGTGACAATACTTATGACCTGACTAGTTATATATAGATAAACAAATAAATAAATTAATTAACTGTAAATCACATGGATCTATTTATTACAATCCTTATGTATCTTTAGTAACTCGAATTAGCATGTTTATGCCAACGTATCGAAACTTAACATCACTCATAATATTTTTTTATTAGTCGGACGGGCAACAAACTCACAGCCCACCTAAATTCAAGTGGTCCCTAGAGCCCATAGACATCACAACGTGAATCTCGCTAACTGTCTTGAGACATGAGTCCTAAGTCTCGATCATATAGCATAACAACTGCCTCATCCTTCAAACAAGATCCAATTACTGCTTCACGGCAGAAATAATAATTTACGTGTGGCCTTGTGACAATAAAAAATCTTTGAAAAATTAATTATTGCTACATTGTGTAGTGCACACCTGTATGTGATTAGTATTTATCACAAAGTTGTATTCTGTGTCATACTCACTCGTGTTGCATAGTGTTGAACGCATAGCACGGACCGTCTTCCGAATCCACTGAGCTAAATATCTCGCAACATGGATATCGTATACCATTGTAGTTGCATTCAGAAAGGAGTTCTTCGCAAGGTTTGTGAATCTAGTGTGTAAATACATACATTAATGTGGTTCAGTGAATTTTGAAAAATGTTCTACAATTTGTAAAAGTGTGTGTGTAGCTATTTGATTTTTGCAAGACAAATTCGTTGTTTTAAATGAGATTTTTTTTATATTTTTTTTATTACTTAGATGGGTGGATGAGTTCACAGCCCACTTGGTGTGAAGTGGTTACTGGAGCCCATAGACATCCACAACGTAAATGCGCCACCCACTTTGAGATACAAGTTCTAAGGTCTCAAGTATAGTTATCTAGATAAGTAGATAATAGTAAAATCTAGATGTACAAGAAATACGTTGATAAACAAGAAAAATAGACGTACATTAAAAGAATATAATATACTTAAAGAAATCTCTTTTTGGACGTTTCTTTCTTCTTAATTTCGCGAATTCAAATTATATGAAGAGCCATTACTAACAATCTCAAATGCTTAAAACATTCATTCAAGAGCCTAGTTATTCATAGTCCATTAGTAGTTCATAGACATTAATGGCTCGTTATCGGTAACCGGTAATCGAAGAATAAATTTCCGTAACATTAAACAAATGATTTGACTAACATTTTCAATGATTTCCCTTCACTGAACATCACAAGCGACTGTTTCGCCGCATGGTAAGCATTGCACGTTCTTACACATACCACGAGCATAGAGTAAATCTGATAAATATCTCTTGTGATCGTAGCTAAGATTTTTTAATAGATCCGCTGAAAAGATAATATTAATAATCGAAGCTATGTTCGTTGATTTTTTCCGTAGTAATGAAGCAATGAATCGACAAGATTTTTTTTGTAACCTTTTTTTGTTTGGGAATGACAAACCTTTTGTAACAAAGTAATAAATACACTGACTATTTTTAAAGTTATATAGTTCTAAAAAATAAATGTACCAAAGTAATAAATACACTATTTTTAAAATAACATAGTTCTAAAAAATAAAATCACTGACTATTCTGAAAATTATATAGTTCTATGCGAGCAAAACCCCCTAAATAAAGAATACTATAACGGTTTTTTTTTGTTTGTTAATCAATACTAATTTGCATATCACGTCATTTCTACCTGAAACCACTGCGTTCATTCACAAAGGTTTTCGTGAGATCATTTAATCAAAATATCCTCAATGTAATCAAGATTTTCATCACTCAGCTTGAGGTTACCCGAGCGTTACGACATCATATCCTCATTTTAGCCTATCATAATGAGGCTAAAATACAGCTAATAGATATAGGCGGCTTTTCTTAACCCAAAATATAGGTACTTACGATATAAATTAGTAAACTTCCTCTGTACCACTTTGGTATCGGTGTTCTCGCACACCGTGACCGCCGGGAACAAGGAGGTCCACTCTAAATACCTCGTGTCTGGAGTATAACTCCTACGCCAAGAGTAGCCACGGGTGCCAACATAATGTATAAGCATCCCGTGGATATTAACAAAATCGTCAACCAAAATAATCTAGAAAGAAAACAAGCTACGTCATTTACCTAATTTTTTTTTGTAATTTCAGTTTATGTTATATCCATTCGTAAAATATACCTAAATAATTAGTACTTTTACTAGTTATTAGGATATTTATATATTAAATAATTACTAGTTATTGGCAGGGACGTCAATTAGGCTGGGGCCCTTGGGCACACAAGAATTTGAGGCCCTTTTGGAAAGTAAAAAAAAAGCGAATTATAATAACATTTTTTTACTGAGTATGACCATTTATTATATATCAAATATGGTATGAGATAAGATGTCATTAATGATATTAGAATGCTGCTAGTTTTTTTTGTTACGATCACGATAACGGAAACCGAATAAATGTGTGAGAGAAATTGTCGGTCCTTAGGGCCCCCCCTGAGAATGGGGGCCCTGGGCACGGGCCCCGTGTGCCCTTATGGTAAAGACGGTATTAGTTATTGGGACTACTTCGCTCGAATAACGCTAAGTTGAACTTACATCGTCTAATTTTTTATATATTTTTATTTACATAATAAAAATCGTTAGGTATGAAATAGCCACAATTTTTTTTTAAATTGTACTAAGTTACTGGTTATTTCAAAATGAAACCGCTTCCAGTAAACCCTGAGATGGCTTATTCTATTGACGCGAAGACAAAATAATTAAAATTAAACAACAGGGGGGCCGCGAACCGGGGTTGGAGTGCCGGTGGCATACCTGCCTTCGTGTACGGCAGCGCATTACGTTTTAAAATATATAATTGCGGCTAACACATACACAGAACACATATTTGATATTAGATTATTATATATGTAAAAGGTAAATGATTTTTTAAAAGACCAAGTTTTTTTGTGTCTGTGAACTGAACATGTCTCTCTAACTTACCTCGCAAAAGTATTATTTTGATCATGAAATAACCGATTCAAGCCGTGGATTCCACTATTTTTTCCGAAGAACCATAACCGGTCGAACATTGAAACTCTCATTTTTACTTGTCACACACTTCATATAGACACTTTCAACGTATGCTCACTTGTCAGTCCGCACGGGTAGGTACCACCACCCTGCCTATTTCTGCCGTGAAGCAGTAATGCGTTTCGGTTTGAAGGGTGGGGCAGCCGTTGTAACTATACTGAGACTTTAGAACTTGTATCTCTAGGTGGGTGGCGCGTCTACGTTGTAGATGTCTATAGGCTCCAGTAACCACTTAACACCAGGTGGGCTGTGAGCTCGTCCAACCATCTAAGCAATAAAAAAAAAATAAAAAAATATTTCACTAAGCACAACAATAATAAACATACCAAATTCGTATATAATTTTGTTATCTATGTAATAAACAGAATTTTATTCACTTTACTCGAATTTAGACATAATTACACTTATTTTTACGGCTTAATATCGCGTTTCATATTGTCATTATATATTTCAAATGTCGACGAATAACACCTTAGTCGTCCGTGACCAAGGAAAGTGTATATTCGATACGTCGAAGACAATATAGTGACAATAAAAAAACGTATTTAACCGTAAAAGTATAAAGTTTTAATTCTCATGGATGGCATTGAAAAAAAAAATAGATATTCCTTTTCTAAGCAACGTCTTATTCCTCCGTTCAAGTTTACCATTAGAATCAAAATTAAATAGACTTTCGTTTAAAGTATCAGCTATTCAAGTGAAAAATAGTGAGTGGGTGTGAAATGTACAATAAGCAAATAACAATTTAAAAAAATTGCAATTACTGGGAAAATTATTTTCAATTAGTTTAAAAGCTGTTTTTTATCTAATATGCAAATCGGTTCACTAATGTTATTACTGGTAATGAATAATTTTAAAATCATAACAAATCAAATACATATTATTATTATATAAATAAAATATTTTCATTTTCAAAACATGGGTGGGCGAGTTCACAGCACACTTGATGTTAAGTGGTCACCGAAGCCCATAGACATCAACAACGTAAATGCCGCCACTTACCTTGACTTAACACGTAACTACTACTTACGTTGTAGTGTAAAACTGATACTTGGAACTCGAGACGATCTAAATCTCAGTTTTACAGTACAATGGCTGCCCCACCCTTCAAACCGAAACGCATTACTGCTTCACGGTAGAAATAGGCAGGATGGTTGTAGTTGTTTTACTCACACTGTCTGAATCATCAGAAAACTAAGTTAACTTAAAGTAATGACTGTGGCTTGCAAAAGAATTTTTTTCCACAGGAACTAAATGTTTCTAGAACAATAATAGCCTATATTATTCTTGGAAAAAGTATTTACCTGCCAAGAAGTATCTTCAGAATTCATTCGGCCAATTCGGAGTTTAACCTGAGCAAACAAATAGACGACCAGAGATTATAACTTTAATAAAAAAAGGAAAATTAAAGATCTTCGAAAGAGAACTCTTTATTTTGAAATCACAGTCAAACACTTAAACTTTAATACATTTACATTTAAGCTAACACTAAATATAAAATTGTTACTATTAAATAATAATTAACTAACTAATAAACAATCATATTACATAAACCTGATTCAACTGGAATATAAATTCAAAAATCTAAAACAGGCAAAACGAGTAAAAAACTTACTACAAAAGAAGGTTGAATGACTTCGTCAAAATAAATATAAAAATATTTCCTTATTATTTATTTAATGTATTTTAACTAAGGACAAATTAAAAACATTCGTGAAAGATTAGGTACTAACTATATCCTAATGTACCTACTTATAGTCATACTGTGCTATAACACATTACATCATTAATTATGAGATCAACAACATAATCTAGTATAAATGAGCTAATGTGCTAAAAACAAACATGTGATTATAATTTATTATTAAAGAGTAAATTCAATAACACTGAAAAATGAATGCGACTTGTGAAAAATCAACATGGCGTCATATTTTGGCGGTATGAAATAAATAAAAAATTGGATTGATCTTTTTAATGTTACATTCCTATAGCTCTAGTGTTGTCCAGCAGATATCATTATAATCAACTACATATACATAAGACATTTTCATATTTCGTAATAAATCCAAAATCAATATAAATTTTGTTTTTAAGCATGATATACCACAACGAATATACAATCAGAAGCTTCATTTCACAAAAATGATGTCTTCTCCTATATATGTATACAATGACATATTAAACTCTGTCCATATACGATTCGATGGCAAATCTTACTTATACTCGTACGCCGAACTATAGAACTTATTAAGATCATATTTAACTATTTCTTTACTTAATACAACTTTTTTCATAAAGTTTTCCAAAAACTTATTTTAGTGGACTTACCCACATTTTTTTCATTGTGAAATTACAGATTTTAATCCATACAGCCAAAACAACAAATATTTCACACAAATAATCTTTTTTTTTCTCCGTAAAACGGAACAATAAACAATTTAAAATAATTGAATATGTAATTTCGAAAACTGATTATTTTCTAAAGCAGTGTAAAATTTAAAATGAGAGATATATTTTGAGATATATTTTAGTGTTAATTAGCAATTGAAAATTACTGGAATTATTAAAAAATGGGTGTAGGTACAAAACTACATGTATATGAAAAAACGTATTTGACAAAATATGCGACATGTGCCCTTTTCGAAATTGCATATTCAATTAAATAACTATGTGAACAACCTCTTGAACCAAGACGTCACTGTTGTTGCATTATTATTGTCAATAGTTTCGTTTTCCAATGGATCTGCGTACTCCTTTTCGACTACAGTATTACTCGATGCTCTAACAAAAAAGAAATAAAGTAGATCCTATTAAGTTCTGATGTTTTAGATATTTTTACACGGGTGGGATTATACAGGGTGTGATTTCAAATAATTTTAGGTCATTTATATAATCCCATCGTTACAAAATCTCTGGTTGCTTTGTACTTTTTTCGCTATTTCGGTATATTTCGAACTCAGCGGACCATTCCTATTTCGAAAAATCACCTTTCACGAAAATTCGCGCATCAGAACAATAAATACATTATAATATGAGAAATCAGTCTAATTTTATCGAAGTTAGTTAGGTGATTAGTCAGTATTTTTCATGCATTGAAATTTTAATATCCTTTATAGATTTTTTTTATTGCTTAGATGGGTGGACGATCTCACAGCCCACCTGGTGTTAAGTGGTTACTAGAGCCCATAGACATCTACAACATGAATGCGCCACCCCCCTTGAGATATAAGTTCTAAGGTCTCAAGTATAATTATAACGGCTGCCCCACCCTTTAAATCGAAACATTACTGCTTCACGGCAGAAATAGGCAGGGCAGTGGCACCTACTCGTACGGATTCACAAGAGGTCCTACCAACAGTAAGGTTTCTAGTAAGTAAGTAAATTTTCATAATATTTAGAAATGTCATTACAATTAGAATAACAGTGTTTTTAAAACACACCCTGTATTTTGTGAAACAAAAAACAAAAGCGTTACCTATATGAATTATTTTAATTAATTTTAATTTGACTTTACCTCCTTCCGAAAATTCGTCTGAACCAGCAGCTAGCCTCTGTAGTGGTAGTACCAACGTCGACCGCTTGGTCATCGGGATCTGCATACGCAACGGTCACTGTTGACGTTTTCAAAGAACGATCTAGACGAAAGCCTTGACGGAGATCGTGCAGCAATTCTGACTGGGGACGCTGGCGTTCCATTTCCGATGCTTAAAAAAAACTCGTCATGAAATAAAAGAAACACCTAAAGATGAAACAGAGAAGTCTCTCCCTATGGTACATTGGAATGGATATACTACTGAAGACAATGACAATGACAATAACTATGACAAATTCCTATGCTTCGTGATGAGAGGACATGCTACGAAAGAAGAACGAATATTATATTTTAAGGCAGTGTCACATTGATTCATCTATAAATATTATATATTAGCCCTATTGTTACTATTCTTATAGTGTATCCTTCTCAAAAATATTTTGAAGTACCTACCTAATTGCAGTTAACGTTTTTGATAAACGCGGGTTGCACGAAATGCTAACAATTATTCAAAAGCCAAACTTAATAGATACAAAATTTGACAGAATTTTGACTTAACCCTGTCTTCAATTTCTGAACGTCAAAGTATCAGCGAACGATGCCGCCATGACACCAACGCTCTCTCAAATCCAGCCGCCAAGAGCGACGCATCGATTTTATATTTCTCTCATATTGTCTTTAATTTGTCATATAAGGACAAATAAATGTCTCAAAATAATAAATACAGTCTAGGCTCATTTACCACAACGCAACACCTTGAATATATAATGAATAATTAGCTACGATTGATTGGAAGATTCATAGCCCTACTGATTTTAAACAGTGGAAGCCACCTGACCTCGACGCAAATGTAACTGGCTACCTTAAGTCAAAGTTTCAATTGCTTTAGAATAACTATTTGGAGTGAGGGCCGGTGAGGGATTGTCGATCTAAACACTTACGACAATAAGGTTCCTTATCGGTGGTCAGAACGAAGTAGGGTCCTTTGGCACGTCGGTAGCCGATTGCTCCTACGGCTTTTATGCCCATCTCTGAACATGAACCGATATTGTCACACGTTGCCCGTATACTTGCGTTCACTCTATAAACCAAACCAAAAACAATCAGATTGAGTGGAATTTATCGCAGTCTTCAATAATATTAATAAATAAAAATCCATCATAGCGTTACATAGTTGGGTAATTTAGTTTTCATATGGTGTTGTTTTATTTGTGTATTGCTTTCATGATCTAAACCATTCTACCTTTTGGTCGCCAAATGTGGTTAATTTTTAACTGGTTTTCAAGGTCCATACTCAAGGGCGGATCCAGCTTTGGCGCCAGGAGGGGTCATATAGTCAAATTTAGATGCGTTCGTTCCCAGACGTTTGCCATTATACAAAGTTATTATATTATATTAAATTAATTAAATATTGAAGGTATGTAGTTACATAAAATCTGTATGGTGACAAAATATATAAATAAAATCATTATATTCAATTAATGGTCCACCTAAATCCTGGAACCAGCTCAGGGGGTGGTCATGACCCCCATGACCCCCCCCTGGATCCGCCATTGTCCATACTGTTTCTAGTTTTCAATCTATAAACTTGTAATTTTAAAAACTTAAAAAATTTAGTCAACAAGCTGTAAAATTGAAATAATAATAATATTTTTACCCCGGTGATTCTGTTTAAGATGTTAACAACAAAATTATTATATTTTCATCGTTCCTTGATACGCGTGCTCGTTTTCAAGTTAAGCACATCTTGAAGGTAGTGAAAATCACGTTGAAATATTTTGTTTTATAGATCGATAAACGAGGTCAAGGTATTATACAAAGTGTTAGTAAACAGGGCCTATATCTATACTCATAATCTGGCTTTTAGCCTTTCAGCTCGGCACAAACAAAGGTTTCGCGGCAGAAATAGATAGAAAGGTAATATCCATCCATGTGAGCTTATAGTTTGTCCGACCACTAGCGTTATATGTTAAATCAAGTACATTTACCAATTATTATGACAATCAAGATGGCCACGATCCTAACAATTTTTATAAAGTGGAATAAGATGGATGACACCTTATTTTTTTTTTATCTGTTTAAGTTGAAATTCTGAATTTTTACCCCTCATAAGTCAAGTTCCACTTGTAAGCTCTAAATGAACAATTGTTGTTGATCAAGGACTCGGTGAAAAGCAGATAAGCACGTCCGTGACTGCATATTGCTTGCTGCAAACCTGAAAACCAAGTGTATTATCAAATTTGGGTCATAATTTTAATTTTAGTTCACTTATTATTCAGAAACTTGTCTTTATCACGTATTCTAACGGTAAATGGTTCTTACATGAACAATAAAACGTGCTTAAGATCGAATTGTATCAAGACCAATCATAAAACACATAAATAAAAATAATGAGGAAGTACCTACGTTTTGTGTTTTCTTAAATATAAATGCAAGTTGTCTAAAAGGCCAAAGTAAATTCCTAAATATTAACACTCAACTTACTAACATTGTAAATAAATATAAGCCCTACCTATCTGCTAAAATTAGGTAGCTACACTTTGAAATAAAAAAAATATACATAAATGTACCAATTAAATACTCCAATGATTAATAATCTGATCTGTGTAATAAGATCTAATAAGCCCTCTATCTTCATCTACTGTTCTATTTTTTTCGAAAAATCTTACTTTTTTCCCCTTACCTGTTAGCCGAAGGGGCCATTCCAGTCAAAGCGCGGACGGGAAAATCCCACACTCCAAAATTGTGCCACGAGATTTATTTATACTCTTTATTCATTAATCCTTATTGCTGCTATGCTAACTAGCTAACTGTCGTACATATTCATAAAGAACTTTGAAATTTTCTCAGCTTCTAGAAACTTACTTGGAAAGATGCTTGACCAAACCGAATTGCTATTGTTATAGCAACCCGGCTGTTTCATACCTCCGTTTGGATAAAAATCTGCGTGACCTAAAAATGTATACCAAATTCTAGAACAATTTATTGGTCTAATTAATTTAGAAGTGTACATAATAAAGTAAAATTAAATCATACAAAACAAAAACGAAAAAAATGGAATATAGAACTGATTGTATCGTTTAGTACTAATAATACGAACGTTCTCAACAACAAAAAAACATTAGAATCGTTAGCACTTTGATTCTTATTATCTTAGACTATTATTGCAATGAGGTGAATTCCCACTTTTTTTTCTATTATAGAACATAAAAGTTTCGCAAAAAATGGTTGAACTGTTTCTTGTGAGATGGGTAAACCGACTTACTGAAAATTTTGAAAAAATCGGATAAAATATTTGTAAAAGATGACAAAGTTTTTTTTTTTCAAATTTCTTCATTGTGCAAACACTCGGTTATAATTTTGTAACAGTACCTATACGTCATGTAGAACATAAATAAGCACCGCAAGCTACATAATATATAAGGTTTAGTAAGGACTAATAATAAAGGTTAGTCATTCTCGCGCGCTTTTTAACAAGTAGTGTCAAGTTTTTTCTTGTCATTTGCGTCACAGGCCGTCTAGCACCTTGAAAATCATGAAAAAAAACCTATGAATAATAGTTGTCTTCTGTGAATTTGAATTACGTACTTTCATCATTAAAATCTTTTTGTATATTCATTGTTTAAACAGTAAACAGCCAGTTATGATTCAAAATAAATCGTTTGCTTAAGGTTAAACGGGACAAAGATTCATTAAATATCATGAAATGTATATAATTAACCTTACAACGTCTATTTATTAATAACGAAGTGTTCGATGACTGAGATACATCGCGCGATAAATTTATCGATAAAAAATTCGGATTAAATATTCCTTGAGCCACGCAGAGATATATTTTAGAAATAGTTTTGAGACGTGATCCTATAGTAATAACAACTACTTACGGTATCTATGGTAAGTTTTGGAAAGAAAATGTCACTATTACATTATTATTAGTATAAAAATAAGGAGGTTTTTATACTTTTTAAAGTATTTAGGGTGGCAACATCGAACCACGTGTAGTTTAATTACGTTTATGTTTAATTACTAAGTACTCATATTTACCAATGGGGTCGGGTAATCCTAATCCTAATTTGGTGAGAAGTCTTCCATTAGTGTGAATGACATCGACGAAGTCCGCGTCACTAGGATCCAACCGATCAGTGCTGTTCGGTGAATTAAAACATGGCTGTGCTGGATCCAAACCTATTTAGGGAAAATAATAAAATCAAAACGCTTCGAAAGCTAATAATAGAATAGAATTAAACGCAGAATAAAAAAAAACATAATTTTATCTCAGTGTTGTTTATGGATACTAATCTCCACAATAGGTATGTATTTATTTGTAATATTATATTATATTATATTATAATGCTAACACGGTTCGATTATAGTATGTTTTAGAAACGTTAAAAGCACGTTAAAATTTTTCTGAACATTTTTTATTACTTCTATAGGCAGATCTGAGTACCTAATGGTGATTGATATATAGGATTTTTTTATTATTATTTTATCCTAGGCCCGGTATTTAAAAGCCGATTGAAGATAACAAATCTGGTGAGCTTGTACACCCCTCACCTGTGATCCTAGCTACTCCGCCAATGTGGAAAGACACGCAAGCGGCAATATGAGCTCCTAGACTATGCCCTACAAAATGAAAGCTCTTTGTTTTCGCACCACTCGTCGACATCAACTGACGCATGAACCTAAAATTACAAACAGTGTGCTTATAACTCAAATTTGTATGGAGTCGGAACAACTTCCCTTCGTTTGCCGCTAGGGGCGCTGTTCCAACTCCATACAAATTTGAGCTAACTTTTACGCGATCGAGAAGTTAAAAAACTCGCACTAAGCACGCAGTACTTTACAAATTACTCAAAAAGCGTCCGCGGTAAATTCTTGGCATGCGCAAAAATATAACAATCAACTCTATACTATCAACTTTTGAAGTTTCAACGAAAATATTTCAACATCGATTTTATTACCCGTTCACATCGGAGACCACTCTCTTAGCGTTCGCGACAGCTCGCCAATACTTCCATGTGTTCCCGCCTCCGCTCCAATCAACGGCTATCACATTGACATCGGCCTAAAAACATTTACACTATTGTAAAATCTAAATTAGGTATTAATATGAAGCCATGATAAAATACTAACGCAGTACAAACAACCTTTTTTTTTTTATTACTTAGATGGGTGGACGAGCTTACAGCCCACCTAGTGTTAAGTGGTTACTGGAGACCATAGACATCCACAACGTAAATGCGCCACCCACCCTGAGATTTAGGTTCTAAGGTCTCAAGTATAGTTAGTTACAACGGCTGCCCCACCCCTCAAACCGAAACTTACACCCTTAAGTAATTTCATATTTCGCGAATCGTCGCGTCGTGGCCTAAAGGATAACGTCCGGTGCATTCGTGTTGAGCGATGCACCGGTGTTCGAATCCCGCAGGCGGGTACCAATTTTTCTAATGAAATACGTCCTCATCAAATGTTGACAATGACTTCCACGGTGAAGGAATAAAATCGTGTAATAAAAATCAAACCCACAAAATTATAATTTGCGTAATTACTGGTCGTCTTGTGAGTCCGCACGGGTAGGTACCACCACCCTGTCTAATCACGTGGGTGATAAACTCCCGCTAAAACTAAGTGACTGAAATATCATCTAATTATTATGATACCGTCCACTCAAGGTGGAAATGACCACCAATAATGAAATAAAATACGTTGGAGTACAAATAACACATTGACTTAGTCAGCAATATAAAAAAAAACTGAGTTTCAGGAAAGTAAAATAAAAGTACTTTTTTATTGTTTTAATGAGTGGACAAGCTCACGGTACATCTGGGAGCCTCATACACATCAACTTCAATGCCGCCAACCACCTTGAGACATAAGTTCTAAATTCCCCGTTTCTTACAGTACAGTACAATGGCTACCCTACTCCTCAAATCGAAACGCAACTTCTTCACGGAAGAAATAGACAGAGTGGATGGAACTTACCCTTGCAGACTCACAAGACGCCCTACCACCAGTAATAAAACTAATTCTAAAAACTTCCTTAACCAGTAACTTCCGACTAATTTACAATAATAATCATATTTTAGTTGAAAAACAACATTAGATGAGAACTTACCCAATCCAGAAACGCTCGTGTCATTTCGTTCACCCACGATGCATTACTATGGCTCATGAATCCATGTATGATCAAAACCGTTCTTCTCTTGGCATCAAAGTCCACCCATTCAAGACCGAATTGGTTTCCAGGATATACCTAATTACGGTAGCTTTTTAGTACTATGAATGTTTTTTTTTTATGGACACGTTTGCCATATCAGATGTACGAACTACGGTATAAATGCGCGCAGGAAGTATATCTTATAGTCGCAATTGAGAATTAGACACGACGTAAAAATAAGCTAAAAAATCATTTAGAATTTTTTTAATTTTTTTAAATCGTTCATACATTCAATATATGATTTGAAAACACTGAAATACAACTTAACTATTCAAAAACCTCAAGCTAAATAACCATTCACAATGCCTCATTTATATTTAATAAGTTTATCCCTTGTTAAATAAAGTCTTAAATGACGTCAGAAGTAACGAGGACGCTTTTAGCTGTGTTTTGTTAAGTTTCTACGGTAATTATAAACGTAAGAGGTACCCGGATTACCTATTAAGGATACCTTCCAATGTTCATTTAATAATTTATGTAGAAAACAATAATGATATCGCAAAGTTGCTTCCGTTATGACCTTAACTGAATATTACCTAGATCTAATACTGTAAATCCTAATAAGATGCTAAAGATCAACCTTGTAACTAGACTGGTACAATGGAAAGAGCTGCACCAGACCAAAAGGTATTAGTCGAATATAGACATTTAAAACTTTTAAACCCTTTATACCTGGACTCTGTTCCGCTGCGTTCTAGATGAGAAATAAAAATGTGTGTTCACATTCTCCGAAGTATCAGGTTTCATGTTGAAAAGTGAGAGTACTGGACGGACTAGCCGACCCAATCCGAAGCAATCCACGGTTTCAGGAACCGGAAAATTCGTAGTGTCCTAGAAAGAAAAAAAAACTTCAGAGGTGTCGAGGGACACCCGGATGGAACGAAGTTCCTTTCGATTAATTAGTGAAGGAATTGTAATTTTTTTTTAAGTTATAATAATAAATTACGGCATTATGAAGAAGAAAAAAACAATACTATGAAATAAATTACTATTGTTGAAACGCTATCTCGAGAAACTGTACTCATTACGCGGACCAATCGGATACGAGCAATGTCACGCGATAAGCGCCTACACGTTGATTGGTCAGAATGACGGATCTAAAAAGTGTCGTGACAACTTTTCGTAAGAATTTTTTCCGTCTAGCCCCCTTTCACAACGCGCGATAAGGAACTTCGTTCCAAAAAATNACTATTGTTGAAACGCTATCTCGAGAAACTGTACTCATTACGCGGACCAATCGGATACGAGCAATGTCACGCGATAAGCGCCTACACGTTGATTGGTCAGAATGACGGATCTAAAAAGTGTCGTGACAACTTTTCGTAAGAATTTTTTCCGTCTAGCCCCCTTTCACAACGCGCGATAAGGAACTTCGTTCCAAAAAATTAGCCTAAATCCGATTGTATAATGCGTTACTTGCTAGTAACGTTTAGTGTATTCATAATTTTTTCTCGTTTCTCTTTGGTGACAATGATGACTCAGTGAATAACATTATTACTATGCTAAGTATAGTTAGGATTAGATTCATCGTGTAGCGGTTACAAATTAAATAGTTAGAATTATGCACGACCTGAAGTTCAATGATTAAACCATAAAATGAAATTTATTTGTTCTAGACAATATTTAAATAACATAAATGTTTTTTATCATATTGATAAAAACAAATATTTCAGATCGAAGAGTAACTATAGGAGTTTGTAAATTTGCTTAAAATATTTATTTATTTTTATTGCCTTTGTAGGCAGACGGGCATACGGCCCACCTGATGGTGAGTGGTTACCGTCGCCCATGGACTTCAGCAATGCCAGGGGCAGAGCCAAGCCGCTGCCTACAAAATAATAAACATTATCTATGCGGTATCGAAACAGCCTGGTCCACTTTGAACCCCTTACTTTACTAAACTCCGGGAGCATACTTAGTCTTCGTTTCGATTCATGACAGCTTGTGGTCACCCTATACGTACCTCAGTTTCGACGTATGATAATACGTCATTAGTTGTGGCCGAGGTCGCTGCATTTTCTCCGATCTTCAAAAACTCTAATAGATCGTCAGGACTGATGTGATTCTCCACTGCAAATCAACTTTACTTATCAAGTTTACCCTTTTATACTCGTAATTGCTCAACGACACTAGTCAAAATTTATACTACTTGTTAATTAAATGCATTTAGAGGATGTACAAAAAATGTTTTATTTTCGGTTCCTCGAAAACTTTTATGATTTACTTTTCTTTTTTTTATCTTATGTAATATTTATTTTCTTATCTCGCAATTTTATAGATAATTAAAAAATTAATACAAAACAGCATTTTGCCGTGACAGAATGAATAATTTTAAAATTATTACAAACTAAAATATTCTTTTTTTTGCTCCACTTTTGTTTTCTCGTCTATCTGTCTCTTTAGAGCTTATTTGTCAATAATTTAATTTAAATAGCACTGAGATAACTGCGTTGTCGTTTGTGCTCTTAATGAATCATGACCCAAATCCATAAGTCCTTGATATTATTTTTGCCACAAATCCTGAAGTTTCCAAGACAACAGCATAACATTTCCGTGACCCCTTCGTCGAATCATTACGTATTCAATGGTCGCGAACGGTCGCGGAGTGAGGTATAGCATTCGAAGCTGAAGACACGCGATCAATTTAGCACGAAACGGAATCAATTCACGGGTTTTAATTGACCGGTTCATAAATTATTGACGCTGTCAAATGGTAATAAAGATACTGTCCTTTTTGGATGATCATTTATATCGTCGAATTTCTCTTCGCAATTGGAAGCAAGGTACATTTGTGTTTTTAAATAACTTTATTATATATATTGCACATATAGTCACAAAATATTGTAGATCCACCTACTTACGCAGTATTGATTCCATAATAATAGTTTGGGAAAAAGTTTCTTCGCATTTTATAAGAAAATTCACAACATTTTTTAATATAGTTTATTTGTTGGAGTATTTCCACTTTCGGGTAGCGACATGGTAAGCGGGCGGTCTTCGTAAGTCAATAAAACCAGAAATGTTAACTCAGAGCGTATATTACGCAGGAGCGTTCCGTCTGATACGGCGACTCGCTCGCTTCTGAGCTTGTTTTTTTTTTTTTTTCCTACCTAATCTGATAGCCTGAGAGGCTATTTCAGCGTAACCGTGACTAGTAGGTGAGCTCACGGGGCTCAAACCTGATGACGCTGCTAACACGAACCCTAGCAAGAGCCGTGCTTCGCAGAATCTACCACCGGATCGGAAACGCGACCCACTGAGAAGATCCAGCGAGAAACTCAGTGGGCTGTGTCTGAGAGTTAATTTACTCGTCGAGCCCTTCGTCGCAAGCGACGGGTTCGACGAGAACGGTGACCAGTGCTTGAAGTACCTAAAAGCACCGTTAGTGGATCGGGAGGATCCGAGATGACGTGTTTTGGGCGACGTCGACTGCTTTCCATTCTGTCCGCAGGATCGGGAATGTAGTTACCGGCGGCCACGATGAGAGGGTTCTCGTGTCGTGCCGCTTTNACTGCTTTCCATTCTGTCCGCAGGATCGGGAATGTAGTTACCGGCGGCCACGATGAGAGGGTTCTCGTGTCGTGCCGCTTTATCGAAGTGGCGCATCGACGCCGACTGCATATACTTACTGGTGGACTCTAAGTCCAGGTCGTCATGGAGGTCGACGTTCCTGACGAACCACGGGGCTCCGACGGCTATCCTGCAAAAACGGAATTGGATAATTTGAAATGATTTTAGGTGAGTGCGGGCCGCGTGAGCGAACACTACACTAGCATATGTCATGACGGGGCGTATGCAACTTTTGTAGAGTGTCACCTTATTTCTAAGGGACATTTTACTTCGCCTGCATATCATAGGGTAGAGACGTCCTAGAATGAAGGCGGCACGGTCGCGTACCGTCTTGATGCGAGGGCGGAATGTCATCCTACTGTCGAGGGTGACGCCTAAATATTTGACCTTCGGGGCCCACGGTATGGGCTGGTCGAACATCGAGCTTGAGGGACAACAACGGAGCGTTTTTATAGCAAGGTATCGTGGTGGGACGATGTTGTTTACGACTCTTATCTGGCACGTGTTGTTTTCGATAAATGCTTGCACCTGTTGTTTGTTGTCCCATCTTTATTAGTCATGCACTAATGATTTATAAAAACACGCGCCGACTACATTTAACTAAAGTGTGTAGGTACCATTTTGTTCGATAACTTTTTGTCATCGTGTAGGTAGGGACATGATCCCATTGCTATAGAAATTTTGGGGCTTCTGATCAAAATAACGCGGCAATTGGTTTGGCAGTCCTTTCGTGATGTTTACCTGACACTACCTAAAAAATTCTGAAGAGACCGAAACAGGTAGAAATCTGAAGGTGCAAGGTCAGGACTATACGGCAGATGCATTAACACCTCCCAGCCAAACTCTCTTAATTTTTGCTGAGTGGCTAAAGATGTGTGAGGTCTAGCGTTATCATGATGAAAAACCACACCCCTTCTATTGATTAATTCCGGCCGCTTTCTCTTAACTTCTTGCTTTAATCTCATCAGCTGCTCGCTGTAGAGTTCAGAATCGACGGTACTGCCTGGTGGTAACAGCTCATAATGAATAATGCCCTTCCAATCCCACCACAAACACGGCATCATCTTTTTCGCACGTTCTTGTCGTACGTGATCCACTTTTCATCACCATTTATCAGCTTCTTCAAAAATGGTTCGGTTGCATTACGTCATAATAAAGAATCAGAAATGAGTACACGAGATAATAGGTTTCTTTCAGTGAGCTCTTGAGGTACCCAAATATCGAGCTTTTTTGTGTACCCAGCTTTTTTTCAAATGCGCCGAAACTGTTTTGTGGTCAATTCCCAGTTCTTCAGCGACGTCGTAACTACTGATATGCCGATCTTGCTCCACTTTTTCAAAAATGACATCCATTTTATCCGTAATAGGGCGACCAGAGCGACGTGCGACCATCTTTGACATCAAAATTTCCGGATTGAATACGCTTAAACCGAATTTGTGCTACTCTCACAGACACTGCACTAGGTCCATAAACATTGCAATTTTTTTCGCGGCTTGCGTTGCATTTTTACCTTTTTTGTAGTAAAATTTTAAAATATATCAAATTTCTTCACTAGATTCACTTATATTGACAGTACGAAAAATAAATAATAATCACAGAATTTCCAAAGTTGAATTTGGAATTGTCTTCTTTAAAATTTAAACTTTTAATGATACCAAAACCAGCCAGATACAAATAGTATAGCCAAAGAGATTTTATGACAAGCTCATACATACTACTTATATAATACGAAAAGACTTTTTTCCCAACCTATTATGTAAAACATTTAATAGACTTAGTATTTTGTTCGATTTTCGCGAATCTTGAGTATAATTTAAAACATTTTTACGCGTTCTAATCTCAAATTTTGTTGGCTTTATATTATTTCCGACTTTTCCAAAAACTTTACAGCTTCGGTGGTTACAGACGAGTAAGCCGTACAAGTGGTTTTAATGGAATTACCGACGGGGCACTTTTATAATTACAAACAAATAACTAATCATTATTCCACCTTATCGAAGGACTCTGTTAAATTCGTAACTGATTCATGTAACTACACCATAGATTAGACCTGACCAATCAATCTTTGTAATATCGTAAGGCAATAATTATACTGGTGGTAGGACCTCTTGTGAGTCCACACGGGTAGTTACCACCACCCTGCCAATTTTTGCCATGAAGCAGTATCAAAGCAATAAAAAAAAATTAATATAAATGACTGTACGTGGAGTTGAAAGCATGCCCATATACAAAGAACACAGAAAAGAGGTTGGTGTTCTGTGTGCCGCTTTAAACACCAAAAATATATGAACAATCTGATCAATATATGATCTGACATCCTGTTGTTCGAAGTAAGCCATAGGAGCAGTAGATTACAACTACCGAAATTTCCCAAAGGTTCAACTCTATTTATAAACGACACGACATACCTGTACATCTCCACTTAGAGACATTTTATCCTTAATTCTTCTTAAAACTTCACTTAACATACGTATGTCCACTTCTTCTTCGACAGCGGATGGATACGAATGGGTACGAGCTTTCCCACTCTTTACTGCTTTTGAATAGGCTTTGTATCATAAAAGTAGTGGAATCTGCATTAGGAGATTCTTCTCGTAATAACTCCATTAATTGCATGTGATGTTGTCATCCTATAATCGCTATTAAATATAGTACGTAGAAGCTGATAGCTTAATCTAAGGAGATGACATTACTTCCTTGTACACTCATCCATTATGACATCCATTGATAAAAATATAAATGTTTGCTATGAAACCACATTAAATTCTTAGCTTCCATTCTCTTAGTACATTCACAAATTACTCAAATTTGATTTAAACCTTGTATATGTTTCACTACAGAAACGTAATTGGTTCAAACAAAACACACTATCAATGTACCTATTTATTTTTATTTAATATATATTTTGTACACACAGCTGTTAGAAAAGACACGTCAATAAGCATACAGAGTACAAGGGCACTACTTATTTCATGCTGAAATCTCTTCCAGTAGGCCCGCAAAAGGAAAGAAGAATTAGGAACACAAACCTAGTGCATACAGTAAACATTACATATAATAATATGTACATATTACAAGATACAAAACAATATATATACATACAAATACACACACACACACACATATATATATATAACATACACACTAATACTTGCTTTATATTATAATACATTATACAAATATATATACTTTATTTAAGATGGTAAGGATAAATAATGTTCTTTAACAGATTTCTTGAACGCTGCTATGGTTTTGCACGCTCGTATGCTTGGAGGGAGGGAATTCCAAAGTATAACTGCTTGTACAGAAAATTATTTTGCGTAAGCATGTGTTTTATGAACAGGGCATTTGAGGAGAATTTTAATGTGTGTTCTACAAGGAGCAATGGAGGGACGGGCATAGGTAAAGCGATCACGTAAATATTGTGGGTAGTTAGGATTATGTAGGATATTAAATAGGAAGCACAATATTCTAGTATTTCTGCGGAAACGGACTGGGAGCCACTTGAGCTTTTTGCGAAATTCAGAAATATGATCATATTTTTTGAGACCAAAAATAAAACGGATGCACAAATTTTGCAAACGCTCAAGCTTATTGAGAAGCTCCTCAGTGACATCCAAGTAGCAAGCATCAGCGTAGTCCAAAATGGGTAAAATGAGACTTTGGGCAAGAGAAATTTTAGTTTCCAAAGGCAAAAAATATTGGAGACATTTGAGTGAATGGAATGCAAAGTTAACTTTACTGCTAACATTGTTAACCTGCTCATTCCAGCTTAAAGGTAACGCCAAGGTTTTTAACAGTTTCACTAAAGACAATTGGTTGGCCATTCAATATGAGTACCTAATTACATTAAACATTAATTTGCTAATATACGTAATCACAACAAGAATATATTCACTAGAAAGAATTTATCTCATTAGAAAGAAGGATGTTAAAAATCTTTTACCTTTTCGATACCTGTACTAAAAAAAATCGCGGCTTCGAAACAAAAGAAATCTGCGCTTAATGTTTTTTGTGCCATTGTCATAATTTTCATTACTGTGTAAGCTACTTACATTCGTCTGTCGTAACCCAGGAACGTTTATAACTATTATGCCCATTCACTTTTGTCAACATTAAAATTAGTAAAACACTCCCGTAGAACACCATTTTTCAAATTCAAACGTTTTTTCTTAATACCTATTCCAGCCTCCTATAATATATTTTTAATAAATTAAAAAAGGTTATTGCTTGCAGTTGTCACTCAAACTGATAATCGTTTTTTTTGTTTGTTAACAACCGTCCAATCTCGTTAACAATTGATGAATAAAAATAATTCGCGACAAACCGCTTTATAAGTGCTTATGGCGATACGTAATAAAAGCGCTTAAAAAACCGACAATCACTTACTCGCTGCTCTTTAAAAAACCCTATCGACATTTGCGTCAGCAACGGTAATACAATAATTTAGTCAATTTTTAGAGGGTACGTACGTGGCTTTTGTAGAAATAGTCCGCAATTAGCACACATGTACGAACATATTAGGTATGTGCCTATGCACTTTAAATAATATTTGCATATATGGCCAGTTGATTTCTTGAGAACGTCTGCTTAAATGAGTGGTTTTACTACACAAATCATTAACATAGATTGACATTGATAGTGGACCTATTTTGGTGTTTAAAGCGGCACACAGAACACCAACCTCTTTTCTGTGTTCTGTGTATATGTGCATGCTTCCACCTCCACGTACAGTCATTTATATTTATATTCTTTACTGCTTTAATAGTTGGACGAACTCACGGCCCACCTGGTGTTAAGTGGTTACCGGAGCCCATAGATATTTACAACGTAAATGCCGCCACCCACCTTGAGATAAGAGTTCTAAGGTCTCAGTATAGTTACAACGGCTGCCCCACCCTTCAAACCGAAACGCATTACTGCTTCACGGTAGAAATAGGCAAGGCGGTGGTAACTACCCGTGCGGACTCACAAGAGGTCCTTCACCAGTAAATTATATATCTGACCTGAATCTTATATTATCTTATAATCTGAAATTACATATCTGACCTGATAAGATTCACAAAAAGCCTCCGTTCGCCTTTCTACGTACTATGTAGGAACATCATCTGTATAACCTCAAAAGGCCTAATTAATAAAATTTCATAGCGTCACCTGTCTATGTTTATTGTATAATTATAAAAACAGCTTAAAGGATATTTAATATTCAGTTTTATGTTCAGAGTCCTGAAATGTTATCCACAGGAAGTGCCAAGAACGGATCCGCTGATAAATTATTTTTATTATCATTTGTTTACAGCAAAGTATTATTATTCATTGAAAAATAGGAACAACAACAACAAAAAATCACTGTTCACTAAAAAATAACTAGTGTAGTTCAGTAATAGATTTTAATTTTAGTTATCTTTAAAACATAAAACAAAATACGAGATAATTTGTATTTTAGAGTTATCTGTTTCAAATTTGCCAATTATTATTTTACTAACATCGTAACGTGAGGCATTATGGCCCATTTGAATGTAAGTGGTTATCAGAATCCAAAGACGTAATAACGTAAATATACACCCAAATTAATACACAATTGATTGATATTTTTTGAATTAACCCAACGACAGTCCTATCCTTCAAGTTTAGCAAAAACAGGCAGGCGCCAAAATATAGGCTTTCGGATTGAGTGTGAATGTACTGGCCCTACCCACTTTTAGTGTCTGTACCGATATTTTATAGCGCATATCAACATTGACGCCAAATGTGTTGAGCGAATTTTCAATCTTAAAAGAAATAAATCGCTTGTAATTTCATTATTTCTAAAATTTTAAACTTTAACTACATCTAGGCTTAAAAATCATAAACAAAAATTACAATCAAGATTAGAGAATAAGGTTTTTTTATTGCCCTTGTAGGCAGACGAGCATACGGCCCACCTGATTGTGAGTGGTTACCGTCGCCCATGGACTTCAGCAATGCCAGGGGCAGAGCCAAGCCGCTGCCTACCGTTTAATACTTTCCACAAACCTCGTTTGAAGAAGGACATGTCATAGCGCTCGGGAAACACCGTGGAGGGGAGCTGGTTCCATAGCCGGATGGTGGGTGGCAAAAAAGACCTCTGGAAACGCACTGTGGATGACCGGAGTGGCTCCAGGTAGTATGGATGAACTCTACTCCGGTGGCGGGCGGTACGATGGTAAAAACGAGATGCCGGTATCATCTCGGACGAATCCTCAGAGCACTCCCCATGGAACATACGGTAGAAAATACAGAGGGAACCGAAGTCCCTCCGCAGACCCAGAGTGATGTGAACGCTTTGAATGAATAGTGATAGGACCTTTTATCACTGAGATTCTCTGACCACATTTACATACCTATATGCTGCCTATATGTAACTTGAAAACAGGCCGGCGACCTTTGAATCGCAGGGAAATGAGGAAATAATTCGAAATATTATACAAAGCGGTATGCATTAACATAAATTAAACATTAAACGAATTAGACTATATAGCAGCCGTTGGCAGCGACTTCACATACAGGTAACCATCTTATAACTCGGGTTTTTACAACACTCTAAACACGAAAAGAAAAATCCCCAAAACCTTCTTTTGACACGGTATACTTTTATAACACGACTAGCGGCCCATTCCGGCTCCGCTCGGGTCTTTAACAAAAATTACAACGATATTTGACGTTGTTTTATTTTTAAAAATAAAAGAACACATAATGGTTAGACATACGCTGTCGCGACACTTTTTGTCAATAATAATGTGTTCTACAAAGTCGTAGTGCCTGTATTATTTTATTCTATCATCAATAGTTTTCGCAGGGCACGCGATGTAAAGAATGTTTTAGATAATTTTTTTACATCTTGTGTTACATTATTGGAGATTTAGTAAGGATCCCTAAATTTTTCAAAAAATATTATAGCCTGTCACTCGGGAATAGTGTAAATTCCAAACAGTGAAAGAATTTTTCAAATCGGCTCAATAATTTCGGAGCCTATTCAATACAAACAAACAAACAAATCTTTCCTCTTTATAATATTAGTATAGAAGTATAAAAGTATAGATATAAATAACGACATTTTTATTTAAATTATTTAGAAAATTTAATTATGCATTATGAACACACAATATATGGGAATAGCCGAAACTTTACTGCTTAATTTTTATGTATAACTAGCTGTACCTGTCCGCTTCGCTGGGCATTTAAAATTAACATTATTATTTCTCACCCCCACAAAGATTCTCATAATTAACGCCCCCGCAACTGGTGTAGGGAGTCCAACACTCACATAAATATTAGCCTATCAAGTCAATCGGATGCATGGTTCAGTAGTTATAACGGAACCGTAAAAACCACTGTAGATTTATATATTAGTATAGATAGGTGAAAAAATTATTGCAGGTATAGTTGAGATGTTTGATTTCATTCAGCAAAATTACTCTCCTTTTTGTAACGGCTTCTAGTCTCATATAACACGAGTTCGCACAACGCGGTACTTTGTAGAAAGGTATCTACCGTGTTATATGAGAGCTATCTGTATTTGAATCCGAAAAAAAACAGCAGACCGTCGTCTTTTTTTTGGCTGGAGCTTAAATCCTTAAATCAACACATGCAACACTGTGGTATAATTGTTAAGTAGACTGACTGGGAGATAAAAAAAAACCTTCATTGCTTTTTTACACTCCAACTTAGAATCCCAACGCTGAAAACGCAGCAACCGCTATTCAGAATACCGCCTATAGTATTGATATAAACTAAATTCATATTCTTACGGCCCAGCTGGTATTCAGTGGTTACCGGAGCTTATAGACATTACAAGTTGAATACTCTATTATAAGACATGAAGTCTAAAAATAGTATAGAAATATTCGAACCTACAAAACTGAACGCATGACTACATGTGACGGAAATAGGTAGGATCGTGGTACCTACGCGTTCGGCCTCATAAGATTCCCTACTAATTATTGCGCAAATTGTACTTTTTGCGAGTTTGGTTTTTATTGCAATATGTTTGTTATTTTGTTATTCGTTCATATTAAATACGTATTGATTAAAAAATAATAGTAACTGTTTGCTTATTGATTAGCGTTTTGTTTACACTATGTAGGGTGCGCTGTGAGTTTGTAATTTAAAGATTGAGTTGCTAAAAAATGTTTATTGTTAAAATATTAAGTAAATCAAAGAAATGATAATGTTATGAATGCACACGGGTGACGTGTTGATCGTGCACTAACGATTTGTGGAAATAAAGTTAACGCGTCACGCGAATTATGCTGACAAACGTGTTCGGTAATATATCACCGAACATACTACATACCTACATAATAGATATTTATCAATGAAATTGCCATTTTACAATACTGGCCATTTGAAAAGTAATTTATGTATGGCTGGAAATAAATTCTAAACTCAAATGAATTTTATTAAAAAATTTGGAATTTTGTTTTCAAATTCAGTTGTTTGTTTATTGACTAGCGTTTTGATTTCACTACATCTGTATCTTTTTCATTAATATGAACACGAAAATACGAATAATATGAATACGTCGAGTTGGAATAAGGGTTGCGTTGCGACAGCAATTTCACATAAAAGGCTCAACAGCGTTAACGACGTGTACGGAACTACAAACAATCATACGACTCCTTTGTTTACATACGGTTTTAATGTATCTGACATGAAAATTTAAATCTAAAAGATGAACACCGTGATCACCCGAAAACTAAAGTCAACAACCACGAATTCAAGGCGATAGTGGAAGCTTACTCAATCGACCGCCAAGTTAGTAACAAGGCGGCGAACGTGCTATGGTATGCCTTGCGCAGGCACACAGAAAAATTGTCATGGTCACTATGGTGGTCAAGTGCCGATATACTTCATCAAATTTCTTACCAAATAATGAGGAACTGGACTCAATGAAGGAATCATCTCAGTGTGTGTGACCCTCCGAAATTCACTGATTTTCGCGAATTTTGTTTTGTTGCATTTTCTTATGGTTAGAATAAGCGGTTTGGTTTTTTTTTGCACAAATTAAGGCAGTGATAAATAATACTAAATGATTTTTTGTAATTTGATATATTTAATGTTTAATATTGTAAAAAATCCGTCACGTAAAAAGACCCGATGCTTTTAGGCACCACAAGCACCGGTCACTATCCTCCTCGAACCCGTCGCTTGCGACGAAAGGCTCGATGAGTGAATTAACCCACACAACCCACTGAGTTTCTCGCCGGATCTTCTCAGTGGGTCGCGTTTCCGATCCGGTGGTAGATTCTGCGAAGCACTGTTCTTGCTAGGACCACTGTTAGCAACACTCCCGGTTTGGGCCCCATGAGCTCACCTACACGTCAACGAGAAGCTGAAATAGCCTCTCAAGGCTATCACCATAGGAAGAAAAAAAAAGCTATTGCATTTTTTATGATCTTATGCAATTATAATTAGACAATAATAATATAATATTAAAACAAGAATAAAATGAGACCACGCTATATTTATAAAAATTAACAAAAGCAAAACAATAACTGTCCCTTCACACTCATAAGCTAGAGCGCGGGAGAGAGAGAGATAGGCAGACTTTTCATGATGCGCATGCAGTGCGACGTTACGCCGCGCGCTTATTCACAAACACTACACAAGTGCAATGTCTGAATGTGTTGAACGCGAGCTACATGGTAGGCGGAATGGGGGGTGTTAGATTTTATTTTCGTTACGGAATTTCTTGATTTGGTCGCCGAGCTCAAATCCCGCGATAAAAGCTATACAATAGCTTAAAAAAATCGTGGCATGAAAAAATTATATAAAAGAGAGAAGCTTTTTTTTTTCCTACCTAATCTTATAGCCTTTAGAGGCTATTTCAGCGTAACCGTGGCTAGTAGGTGAGCTCACGGGGCTCAAACCTGATGACGATGCTAATACGAACCCTAGCAAGAGCCGTGCTTCGCAGAATCTACCACCGGATCGGAAACGCGACCCACTGAGAAGATCCGGCGAGAAACTCAGTGGGCTGTGTCTGAGAGTTAATTTACTCGTCGAGCCCTTCGACGAGAACGGTGACCGGAGAGAGAAGCATAGACACACATAATATATAAGAGACAAAGGTCTTATTGATACCCGGTCGAAACGGAGTTCCTTTTGCTAAATCTTTGTCTATTAATTTAAGTACTGAATACTAGAGGGTCAGTAGTCAGTTTAGTAGTCAACACAATATGTGCGTGCATTACATAACTCATTTTTTTAATAAAAAAACAGAAATTTTACAAAAAAAAATTGAAAGGAGAGGTTATGAATCCATTAAAATTTTTAACACACGCACACTTTGTCAACAGGAACAAAAACATCTGTACTTGTACTTGTGTACAACAAAAAAAAAACACAAAACTTGGCTTTTGAGAAAAAAAGTGTATGAAAAACAGTAAAAAAGGATATTAAACATTAAAATGGGAGAGGCCTATGTCCAGCAGTGGACGACTGTGGGCTGTTGATGATGATGATGATGATGAAACATTAAAATTATAAATAGCTTTCAATTAATATTCACATATTCTCAATATTGACGGCAAGCTGAATCGATAGAAAGAACTTTTTAGCAGGCTTCAACAATACTTTCGTGATCAAGAAGTGCCGCAAAAATCATTACAGAAACTGTCGTTCTTTATTGTTACTCGCTCACTAATGCAGTTTTAATTAAAATGAATTATCTTACTCTTACCTATACAACATTGCAGTTTCAAATCATAAACTCCTTGTAGGTATAGTCTAAGATTTTTGCCATTTCGATTTATTGCACAGATTTCTGTGCAGCCTGTACAGCCAAAAACATTTTTACAATATGGTATAACATTTTTACAAACCTAGCAACACTGGTATAAGCATCGCGGCGCCCTATTGGTTGAAAATTAAAAACCGTTCAAAACGGCCTTCAAACTTTGAAGTTAATTGAAGTTCAAACGTATGGCCGTTTGAGATCCCCTTTGTTAATTTGTCAACAATTACTTTTAGTGAACTTTACTGTTATTTAATATTATTTGACTGTAGTTTATATTTTTAAGCTAGCTAAAAATGACGTCGATCAAGGAAGATGAAAAGAAAGAAATCCCCGAAATCATTCACGATCCACAAACTAACAGCACCTACCAAAGATTACGGTTTTTTGGCAAGGTAAGTACTTACTGTATCTACGTTATTCGAAACACTTTAATTTTAAATAGGGATATAATGTATACATACTCTGTTTTTTTATACATTTTAAGCACTAATAATATTCTCTACACGAAGTACAAAAATGTATATTTTAGTAACCGTCTCATTGAATACATAAAAAAGTTCAACGCCGCCCAGCATGCACCTGTTTCGAAATAGCCCGACTACAGACATATAAAAATGCAGACCAATATAACTCAAGTTAGTCAGTCGAATTTGAATATCATTAATTCACCAGAAATTTAACGACACGTATAGAATATGTGTGCATAACTGATATGCGAAACACAAGCAATGACGAAAATTTTAGATTAAAGCTTATATTTCTGTTAATACAATGATCGTTTTTAGGGTGGCTTTGCAAAATGCTACGAGATCCAAGACATAGCCTCCAACCAGATATATGCTGGAAAAATTGTTTCAAAGAAACTAATAGTGAAGTCATCGCACAAAGAGAAGATGGCTCAAGAGATCTCCATTCACAGGTCTCTCCAGCACAAGCATGTAGTTGGTTTCCACAGTTTCTTTGAGGACTCTTTGAATATTTATATAATATTGGAGCTTTGTAAAAAACGGGCAAGTATCATGCATATTTTAATTTTTTGTCAATTGATCTTGTCCAAAAAACTGAATAACAATTTAAGTTAAAAATTCATACGATTCTAAGGTATGGAAATGAATTAGATGGTTGATAGTTTCCGAGCCCATGTTCCATTTGATTCTCATACAGTCACCAAAGCCTCGGAATAACATTTATGTGATTAACAATAACTTGTTGATACACCAGTACAAAAATGGAGAAAAGAACTCTTAAGTAAAATTATAAAAAAAAAATCTCTTAAACTCTTGAGTCCTAAATATTCTTTAATTTTCCACATCATGAAAAATATATATTTCATTTTAATATTTATGAAATACACTCAAGTACCATTAAAAATAAGACAGCTTGATTATGTGAATTGCGTGTTATGATGTGCAATTGACATGGGAAACAATCAATAAACATAAGTAGTTGACTTAAAAATTTTGGGAAATTTATGACTGTGAATGCATTAAACATTTTACTTTAAACTATCTATGAAGCTGAACATAACAGTAAAATTTTGGTTGAACACTACGAATTATATATTAAACTGTCCAATAAATAGATAAATTCTACAATTTTTTATTTTAGTTCTTATAGTTATATTCCCTTTACTGTTAAAACTACTTCTACCTTGCCTTGTAGAATGGAGACAAAAGCAAGGCAAATCAAGTTTATACTAAAAAAGAAAATTAATTTTACATGAATTCTTTTGAAATATTTCTGTAAAAATAGTAAGTAAAGCAGCTTTCTGAGGTCAGATTTTCACATTACCCACATTTTAATAATGCCATTGGGAATTTATCAAATTTAGATGATTTTTAGCATCACTAACAATATATATTAATTTAGTTTAGGGTATTTTAGTTGATATTTTGAATATATTTTGCAATACTATTCTGAAATAAAATTGATGAGGCCTATTTATTTGTTACTGCCCATGAGTACTCCTGAGTAGCTTATTATGTTGCTTTCATCATGTCTCCATTTAAATGAATGCAAAACATATTTTCACTACCTATAAATCAACAAAATGTTTGATATCCTATAGTCTAATAAAACCACTCTTACAGTCGATGATGGAGCTTCACAAGCGTAGAAAAGCAATTACAGAACCAGAGACTAGGTTCTACATGCACCAGATACTGCTTGGCGTGCAATATCTCCATAGTAAGAGGATAATACACCGAGACTTGAAACTTGGCAATTTGTTCCTTGATGACGATCTTCATGTAAAAATTGGAGATTTTGGTCTTGCAGCAAGGATTGAATATGAAGGTAATTATAGGCCTACTCGATAGTGATCTTCTATCACATTGTAGTGATAAAAGTTTTTAATGAAGGCATGACTACAACTTTTTACAATTTTATCATGCAAACACTCTGCTTAAAGAACTGAAACCATTTTTTTATACCTAAGAATAACCTTGAGATTCAATTTCGTTTTCAACCTTTCTGAAAGTAATAATTCTCAGAAATATAAACATGAAGTGTGCGCCCATAGTTGTAATTCTCATGCTAACGATTTCTCGTTTTTGAACTTGAAACAACAAAATGAACTTTCATAGGAGAGAGAAAACAGACTCTGTGTGGTACCCCAAACTACATTGCCCCTGAGATATTAACAAAGAAGGGCCACTCATTTGAAGTGGATATCTGGAGTCTGGGCTGCATCATGTACACGCTGCTTGTTGGCAAACCGCCGTTTGAGACGTCCACCCTCAAGGATACATACAAAAGGATTAAACAGTGCGAATACAGGTGATTTTTTTTTTAATATAAATCTGTAAGGATATCATAATTATTATAGTATTAAAAAGTATATATAGAATATTGATTTCAGCATTGATTACAATACGAAAAATATATACGTGATCATGGATAGCATGTTATGTTAATATATTATATTTTAGAAAGTTATCAAAGAGAATATTAACAATAGATAATGTTATTGTTCCAACCAGTGAGGCAGTAGAGGTAGCGATGCGTGTTTGTCTCGGGGGCCCTTGGAACCATTTACGTAGTCGCTACGCGCGAACGTTAATCGACGATAACACCCTCAAACTACAATACAGGTGCATCATGGGGTGCTAGAGAAATATGGCACTTTATAATATATATTTGTCAACATAAAATTACTTAACGCTTATTCTTCCCTTTAAAATGACTTAAAAATATCCAACCAAATTCCTTTGATTCTATAAACTACTTAGCAAACATTAGTGCCATATTTTGACTTTTGCACCATCAAACTAGGGTGAAGGGTGATCATGATGTGCAGCTTTATGTATTGTGGATATTTCTAACGTCTGCTTAACTTACAACACAAGTCATACTTAGTCTTAGTAATGTAAAAAATGTTTCTAATTTCGAATCTAAATGTATTTCAATCTCAATAATTAAAATTTAAAACAGCACTAAGTTTAAAATTATTAATAGGAATTATTAATAACGCAATATTATAAAACAAACTATGTACTACTTACTATACTATATAATATGTTGAAACTGAATTAGGAAAATAATACTGTTTGTATATAGAGTTCCTAATTCTAAGAGTTAAAGTAACTTTTTGTTATTAACTGAGAAATTTGGTCACTAGAGCCAACACTTCACTCGATTGTCAACCAGAGCCAGGCACCAGACTACAACGTGATCATTCGTGTTGTAGTCTGGTGCAGGCCTAGTGTTATAAAATTGACATCCCTGTTGGTATAGCTCTATGACTACTGTTCTTCTGGCCTTCTAATATAACAATTCCCTTGGTCTTCACGTTTTTCGATCTCGAACAATCAAATATATCTTCAGGATTCCGTCGTCGCTTCGCAAACCGGCGGCGTCCATGATTGTACTGCAGTTGCAATCGAACCCTGCGCGTCGTCCGTCCGTGGACAAACTTCTGCAGCATGAATTCTTCTCATCGGGGATTTTGCCAGCCGGGCTGCCCGTCTCTTGCCTCACCACAGCGCCGCGCACTGACCAGCTCGAGGGCATGCTGGTACACCGCCGCCCTCTTAACGAAGTTCATGCTAACGGTGCATATATTGTAATTTATTTAATCGCAGGCTAGACTTCGAGACTTTCTCCCTCATAAATTGATGAGGGAGAGTTCAATAATAATTAAAGAAATTATAGTTTTAAATGGTAAAATATCATCGCAGTTACGATGAACACTAAAGAATATGTCGGATATGCGCGGATCTTTATTAATGACCCGACAGACTTCGTAGTGCCTCAATCGATAAATAAAAAAAAGACCTAAACTTTTGCATAAAATAAACTTAAAACAAACAAAAGGAATCCGTTTGACGGGGTACACATCAAAGAAAAAACAAAATTGTTATTTTTATTCAATTCTGAGCATTTTCATATTTAAACCTTCTCTGGACTTCCACAAATAATTCTAGACCAAAATTAGCCAAATCGGTCAAGCCGTTCTCGAGTTTTAGCGAGACTAACGAACAGCAATTCATTTTTATATATATAGATAGATAGAAGATTCATTAAGGAGCACTTATGCATATCAAAATCTTCACAGAATCAAAAAAGCAGCATTTTTCTCCTTTTATAATTAGCTACTTTAAAATTCAACATAAATGAATTGACATTTATAATACGTACTTTCAATTGAATAGAACAAGAGACGATGGCAGTGGACTCGCCCGTCAAACGCGAAGCTACCCCCGCGGGGCCACGAGCCGTGGAACCAACGTCGCACCGCCAGAATTTTATTGCACTGCGAGACCAGCTCGCTGCATTGTTGGTTAACAAGGTAAAATGTAGTTTTTTTTTTATATTAATACTAGTGACCCGCCCTCGCTTCACTTCGGAAACATTAAATTTTATTATTAATTAATAGCTGAGTCTCGCGATGTTAGCCGCGGTTATTGTCGTACCGCGAGTGATGCCGCGGGGCGAAGCTAGTCTTAAAAAAGTAGCCTAAGTTACTCCTTATATCATCAGCTACCTATCAGTGAAAGTCTCGTCAAAATCGGTCTAGCCGTTCCAGAGATTAGCCGGAACAAACAGACAGACAGACAAAAATTGTAAAAAATGTTATTTTGGTGTATGTACCGTATATATATTCATATGCATTTAGTAAAAAGCGGTTATTTCAATATTACAAATAGACACTCCAATTTTATTTATATGTATAGATGACAAAAAATACTTATGGTCTAAATAAGATTTAATAGGCTCTAGTGTTGAAATAGGACAGGACCATGCTATGAACTGGTATACGCTGATAACCTTATCATAAGTAGAAATAAATTGATAAACTGTTCATCTTATGGAACTTTTGTAACTTAATTATAAACAACTAGTTTGACTGTATGTTGGCATTTTCTATAACTTTTAGCTGAAATGCCGACCGGAGGCTCTGACAGACGAGCTGAGCGATCCCGCAGCACAGCCGCTGGTGTGGGTTGGCAAGTGGGTCGACTACAGCGACAAATACGGATTCGGATACCAGCTCTGCGACGAGAGCGTCGGTGTCATGTTCAACGATACTACCAAGCTTATCATGCTCGCTAATGGACTGTAAGTTTACGTTTAATATAAATATTAGAAGATAATATCAGATATACATATTTTTAATGATATTATATTATAGTAGTATACAACAGGTGCTTGCAACAGTTTCGAACCCACTAAAATTTGAAATCACGTTCGAATCATTAAAGCTTAAAATAGTTTTATTTTTTTATATCTTAATAATGAGAATCAATGTATAATATGTCATAAAACGAATGCATTGCACACTCAAAATTACAATCAAATCATAGCTCACACAAACTTTAAACATATTTTGAAGAAAAAAAATTCGCAATACACTTTTTTATACAAGTGATAAGAATCCATAGACATCATAATATGTTAATAGCACATTCCTTGCGGCGTGATTCTCAATAATTGTTTTGTATTATGACTGTAAAGCGCAGATTAGCAAGCAACAAAATCTTCATATTGCTATCTGAAAAAATAAAAGGAGATCTGCATAAACTATCCTTTTTCAGGAATGTGCACTACATCAATCGGCAGGGCCAAGAGCAGTACATGACGATGCGCGATTACCCGCAAGAACTCGACAAAAAAATGAAACTCCTTACATACTTTAGACGATACATGACCGAACATCTCATGAAAGCTGGTAAATTTTTCAACATCCATTGTCATCACTAAAGCATATAAATCAAATAGAATATTCAGAAAACAAAATGTGTGAGCAATAGTTTTCTTATGGTATGAGTAACTAATGTATTCATACTTAACAACAATGTTATCGCTTTTAAATAAATTTACCATTATCCAGGTGCTTCAGTACCAGTGCGAGAGAGTGATGGTCTGTCTCGTTTGCCACATTTACACCAGTGGTTTCGAACAACTTTAGCTGTTATTATGTACCTGACTAACGGAACTTTACAGGTTAGTAGAATTCTATTTTAATGCTGTTGGCATATAATTTTTATTGATCTGTTATATTTCTCATCTTGATTGTTTTTTTTTTCTAATATTACAGATAAACTTCCAAGATCACACAAAGATAATACTGTGTCCACTTATGCAAGCTGTCACCTACATAGATATAGAGAAGAATTTCAGAACATTCCGCTTTAATACCATTGAAGAGCATGGCTGTGATAAAAAGCTTTACACAAACCTCACATATGCATTGGAAAAACTAAACAGTGTATTGGCAAACAAACTGTGCTAGTTTTCACTGAACCTAAATGAGTAAATGAATTTGTGGGCTTTGTGGAAAGCTCCAATGAAGAACTGTGTAAACCAAGAGACCCTGCTTATGTAAATAGCAAAAAAGTTTGAAATCACTACAAATTTTCATCATTCTGTTCTTATTGATTGAGATAGTCTGTACTTGATAAAAAAAATCTTTACACTTAAATTTCCTAGGGTCTCCTACTTTTCTAAAATAAAAATTATATTACCTTTTGTATTTTTAGGATAGTCACCAGTATATTATAATTTAATAGAAGGGTCACTAAAATCAATTTTGTACCCTAAAATTTCAAACTTAGGTTAAAAATCCACCGATACTGTCTATTTATTTAGTAAATACTTTTTAATGATTTAGCATCAAATTATTTTGCCGATTCAGTATATGAGCAAAACTTTCGACTTTTTTTTTTATTCTTTAAATATGTGTCTTTGGTTGTTAATACATATTATATTCCATTTGATGCAAAACTTACTGACTTTGCCATTTCAGGGAATGATTTGATTTCTATCTACATATTTCTAAACATCTACAATAATTGATGGAAGAATAAATTTAATTTTAGATTTTAATTTCTTTGCCATTTTAAAAGCGCCCTTTGACAGGGGCTGTGGTGCGATATCAAGAAAGTTTGGAGTTATTTAGTTTTATAACTATATTTTTATAACATTTTGTTTTGTGCTTCAACAGCATCAATTACAAATTGTTTCATGTTCGTAATGAAATAAAATTAATGTAATTCAGCAAGTGTTCAATATTTAGTCGTTAGAATTCGTTATGCGTGAAAAGAAATCGATTCAGTACTGTATGTATCAATTTCATTTTGCAACTTGAAAGTTTGGTGGATGGTCTGCTGCTACCTCGTGGATTAACATAAACTATAAGTACTTGACAATAAAGTTACGCAAAACAATTGTTGGAGTTAGTTTAAAATCTTCTTGTACTTAAGATAAATACAAATAAAAATTTGAGAACTGAGTAAAGTGTAAACCATGACCTAAGTTTCTTCGGTCAACTCTCATTGGAACGCGCGTAGTACAGGCCCATCCTTTAATAACAACTTAGGTATATACTTGACGATAGGCAGTGGCTTGGCTCTGACCCTGGCCTTGCTGACTATGGGCAACTGTAACCCCTCACCATTAGGTTGGCCTTATACCCGTATGCCTGCCTACAAGGGCAATAAAATAAAAAATTAAGAAGTTACTTGTCTATATAAAATTGTGATCTCTGACCTTTTTTTTAAGGGCGGACCAGCATTCGACCCACATGATAAATAGTTACGGAGGCCCGTAATACTACAACAATTCATATCCTCCACCTTTGGAGTCTAAAGATAACATTTTTAAAACGTACATTGCACTAGCTGTCACCTAATTTTTCCTAAGACAATAAAAGGTTCCTCTCGGAATAAGGTGCTTTTCGAGATTAAAAATAGCCTGTGTCACTCTAATCTAAAACTATCACTTTGAAAGAATCATGTCAATCTGTTGCTTGGTTTTGACATGAAAGAGCCAAATAAATACACACCTTCACTTAATATAAATTATTACTATAGACTAATTGCTGTGAATGTGTGATTTGATTACCCTATTCCAGAAATAAACTTGCGCGAGATATACGCGTGTAATATTAATATTTAAAAATTTGCCACAATTTAAAAAAACAATTTCATATTAGATCGTTTTTAACTCTCTTTTCTAAAACATATCCATATTGAGAATAATTATAGACGGAATCTTTTGATCATTTCTATTCGCGTCATTGATGCATTTTTTAATATAACTAGCAGAGAATGATTAGTGTAAGACTATTTAGTATGTAGTACGACCAACTATCCCTTCGACCGTCATCTCTTCATAAAATATATTGCTGCTATTGTATATAAAAAATACACACAACTGATAAACTTAGCAAATATATGATTAAAATTTAGCATAATACTACTAAATAAGCTAATACTACACTAGTACATAATTGTTGTAATTCATCATATCTATACTAATATTATAAAGAGGAAAGATTTGTTTGTTTGTTTGTTTGTTTCGAATAGGCTCCGAAACTACTGGACCGATTTGAAAAATTCTTTTTCCATTAGAAGCCGACATTGAACATAGGCTACTTTTTTTTTTTTTTTCGTTTCATGTTACTTTTCCGAAGCGAAGCGAAGGCGGGTCGCTAGTTAAATATAAACTGCATTCTTGCTAACGTCTTATTAGCAAGGTAAAACATTCTTAGGGTCAATCATAAGCTTTTAATTTGTAATCACCAACAAATTTTATTTATAAATTCTGCTAGTGTGGCATATACAGTTCTTAACTTACACTCAACTGAAAATTTTCAAAAGTTCATTCAACCAACTTCATCTTTGACTTAAAAATAAATAATAACATAAGTCCTATAAAAGTATCACATTGTGCTATGGTACAGTTTTAAGATATTATAACTCTGTATGTACAGCATGCTGATGTGGTAATAGTTCTCCAGGATGAACAAAGAGACCTTCACTTGCTTGCCAGTCAGTGTAAGCACCATATTGTGAACTCACTCCGACAATCTCGCCTTGACCATTGATGGGACGACCAAATGTTCGCCCGGAGCCTGCAAGATACCTAAATGGAAGAAAAATTGGTATTATAGCAATATGCATGTAAAGCGTATATTATATTTGATAGAACATAACATAACAAAACAATTAAAACATCTTTTATTATAAAGAGAAACAAAATGAAATTTTCACTATAGAGCTGTCCTTTGCTTAAATTAATTAATAATATTACTTAACAACAGGAATGGGATATTGCAGCTTTAGCTAAAAAATATATTTATTTATTAATAACAAGGGCTATTTGGTTTAAGTGACACTTGTAACTTTTTAAAATTTGGAAAAAATATAACAAAAAAAACTTGAGGTATTTCAATAGAGTTAACTTAATTGAAGTTCAATTAAAAACATCCATTGGAACATTAAAAAAATAAATGTTGCATATTAAGCGAATTGTGGCTTAAACTGAATTACCTCCCATCCCTTGATATAATATTATTAATATATTTCATGCATTTATTGAAAATGTATAAATATATCTAGTATTTATCATTTAAATTTTTTAATGTTTGAATGTAAATTTAAAGAAATTCTTACGATCCAGTATCAACATGTCTAAATTTTACTGGTGTATCTCTCCTCCAGTAGTCATTGTTGCAGACCACAGTCCAATTGTCTCCACTGTCCCCTTCACCCTCATCGTCTCCATAACATGATACCTCTTGATTGCCAGAGAGAGGTGAGGTAAAAAAATGTGAATGCAAGTTCTTCTTGGTAGCTACATGCTGAAGTCTAATGTTGGTGTTACATTTTATCGGAGCACTGAAAAACATTTTTTATGTATCTTGTAATTTGACTGAAGAATAATGATGGTGAACTCAACACTCAGTACCATATATATCTTTAGATTTTTAAAGTGTAAGGTTCAACTGTTTGTGTGCATTATTTAAAATTTCATACCCACGCTTGCAGGTTTCTCCTGTCATAGGGCGAACCAGCCAGTGACTATTGTTATCATCAGAGACCTCAACCGCCGTCACAGACTGCTGTCCTGATCCAGACCCATACTTTACATCATGCGAATGAAGTCTTAACTTCAAGTCTGTGTTGATGAGTTTTAATATTGATCCACACGTCACAAATTCATTCTTCGCAGCTATGGGACAGTAATGGAAAAATTATTAATTCATTAAGAAGAATAACACATTTATTAATGAAATCATTGCATATCTCCACTATCATAAGGCCACGTAATTGTTACGCCGACTAAGCAATATTTGTAACGCTATGAAATGCTTATTTGTAACTAAAAGAAGACTAAATAATAATACTACCTTCAGTTTTTTCACTTAAAATAGAAATGAGAAACACCACAGTGACTAAAGTCGCAATTGAAAGGATTTTTGTATTTTCCATTTTTTTAGAACAAAACAATCCTGCTAATCCAAAAAACACGCCTGTTCTATTTATGTCAGTTGATTTGTCAATGTCACCAATCAAAGACTATTTAAAAAATATGTAGATATGTACGTTAAAACTGACCGACTGGTATCTATAATATTTAAGATTGGTTTTACACGTTCATCTCGTCCATATTATTTTCAATTTTTATGGAAGCGTTAGAAATATATCTATTATATGAGGAACAAGTTGAAATTTTGTCCACCTGTAAAGGGCAAACTATTGTTGGAAAACTAACAGAAATGGCGCTAGTGTATGAAATGGAAATTATATTATGAATATAGCAGTTTTAGAGTGAAGTTAAAAAAAAAATATTTTTCGTTAATTGTGTAGTTTAAAAAATATGCAGTACTTAAAATCTCAAATATTTATTTTTGATACTATTTACGTAAAGTGTTTCTATGCTTATTAATTAATATCCTACTTTAATAGGCTATGGCGCGTTAAATCCTCCCAGCCGATGAGCCTGGTATACTCATGCAAACAACTGCCAACTGCCGACTTCAATTGGTCGGTCCATCGCATGCGCAACCTTTTCACGTGGTCTGGTGCCTTCTACTTAGTCCTGAACGATAAGGTGCTCCAGTCATTTCTTCACCGAGAGATATTTCCAGAAAATGATAGTATGTGCCCATGCACGAGCGCCGAAAGATGCTGCTTAATGTACTCCACATTTTGAAGAATGGAGATATTGTTTCGAAGTTCGGTCCATGAAATACCAAGCATTCGTCTCCGGCAAAACATCTTCAGAGCATCGACCTTCTTTTATTCGATCTGCTGAAAGTCCATCTCCATGATTACATGACTTTTTGGCAGGAACGCGAGGAGTGAAGTTGTGTGATTTGTTTTATTTTGTCCATTTAGTATTTCAGGTTTTCAGTTCAGTATTTCAGGGTATTTCAGGTATGTCAGGTTTCAATGTGTAATCACGGTGTTTTATTAACTGTTTAATATCTGTGAAAGTGCACAAATGTGGGAAAATGAAACAAAGCCGCTGGACGTAACTTCTCAGGATCCTCCAGAAAGTCCATTGAACAAATCTCAGTAAATGACCACCATTTTACTGAGATTATATTTCATCCCATATCATCTCATCTCATTTTAATTAATTTCATCCCAGTTGATTAATGTGTCAAACTATTTCATTTTAAAAAAATTTAATTTTTCATAAAAATAAGAATATAAATTAAAATAAGACGTGATCTGAAGGTCTTAGTTACCAGGCCATAAAATCCCTTTAAAAAAAAGGTACATACTTAAAGGCAAAGGAAATTCCATAGATTATACTCTTAATATGTTTGAGGGAAATTCATTAAAAAGCTGAAATAGGTACAGTATTAAGAATAATGCTATCGTTAAATGCTTAGTGTTATAATTATAAAGATATAATGGATAACTGCGACTCTACACCAACTCAGGGTGCAAAACGTAAGTATAACTATTAACTTGCGATAATAACCAATACGACAAAAACGTTCATAACATATGGACTCACAGATTTTATATTTATCAATTACAGCTTCATATGATCCTGGTTGGAATGACCCTCCCAAACTCTCTTATAATGGACAGCAAACAACGCCGAATAGACCACGAAACTTTTTGAATAAAAGAGTTGCATTCCCTCTATCAAATACTCCTTCAAGCACCCCTGCCCCTCAGCCTGTGAACTTACCTCCAATGCCCACATTAATTCCACCTGTGCCACCGATACAAAGTATGCGTCAGCCTACACAAAATGAAGAGATTGAAATTGACAGCAATAACACTCTCAAGGAAGTTAAACATATTTTATTAGAATTTTTGGAAAGTAGTTCTGAGCTGGGACCAAAAGGGAATGATATCAAAAGACGAATAAGTGTAATGGAGGATATGTGGATTAATGGAAAATTAAATAAAAGCATACATATACAGATGAAGGAATTGGCTTATGGTAAGAAATATTAAAATTGAGGGTTGTACTTTGTGGATTTTGTAGTTATAAATATATAAAGCAGTTATGGACTTTCAGGCCCATAACTACTATTTCTTACTGCATAGTTGTTTCTCTATCTCTGTGGTCGAAGGACAAAACTCATAGAAAACTTATACATTATTGTCAAATTTTTTGGACTTTAATGAAACTTTCAAATGAAAAATATATGTGAATAGAAAACAAGTAAATTCACTGCAAATTGATTGCAAACTAAATTTATGTTTCTGTGGACATGAAGATGATTTCTGCCGCATTCCAATGTAGCATTCCACTATAATTAAAATTAGACTAGTAAATTTTTCATACCACTCAGATCACTACTACTGCCCAATCCTTTTCCCCTGAAAAGACACAGCAAAGGATACAGCTTTTTTTATTGCTTAAATGGACAGACGCCTCGCAAATTACAGTAGCCTCTAATGTTAAGTGATTATCGAAGCCCACCAAAATCAACAATGTGATTGCAGTCACCCACCTTAAGGCATAAGTTCGAAGTTTACATGTATAATAAGTATACAATGGCTGCCCCGCCTTCAAATTGAAATACAATACAACTTCATGGCAGAAGAGGACAGGACGGTGGTACCTTCTCCTGTGGGTTCACAAGACGTCCTACCACCAGTAATGACCACCGCCTACATGTGAAACTATTTAGCTATCTGTAAATTATCTGGTGTTTCTCTGGATACTCCCAGATATCTGGTGTAGCAGAGTAAAGAAATTTCAATGACAGACATTCTATGTTGACTCAATTTGCACAATAATTTTATCTCTATGTTGTTACTACTTTTCAGCGATCAGAGATGACCAGCCAAACAAAGCAGATGAGATTCACAGGGCTTTGATGGTGGACCATGTGAGCGGAGTTGGAAGTTGGATGCCAGGCATCAAACAGCTTATTCATCATTGTGTAGCAAAATCAGAATTATTAGCATTTGATAAGGAATGATTCAATTATCTATCTGACATTTCATCTTCACTCTTCTAAACTTATAAAGCAAATAAAAAAATATTTTTCAAGTGAGCATGCATAAAATGCTATCTGTATTTTGATAATATCCTGAAATGTATTCAATATTGATAATTAATTCATTGAAGTACATTATTATGTTAGAAAAAATTGTATACACATTTTTTTGTCTGTGATAATTATAATCGCCAGATGATTATTTAAATTTAATTTTGATAATTGCATGCTAGTCCATTGTTTATTAATAATTAATATTAATGAAATAAATATATTTCATAAGCGACAGTATGTGATTAGTTTTATATTAAGCAATATCGTTTTACACAATATTAAGTTACTGTACGTGTAATATGAATCATAATAAAATATTTTTAATGTGTCTTGATTGATTTATTATAATTTTAACTTTTATAAACCCAGATAGAAAAAATAATACATTATTTCATAAATACTTTTTGATTAACTTTATGAAACTAAAACAAAATCTTTCAAAATCATTTATATTCCTCGTTTGATAGGCTTTGGTGCTACAGTAACTCTAACTGGTTTACAAAGCTCTACTAGTTGTGGTGGTTCTCTGCCACCCCCTTCTTCGACCGCTAGGCATATAGAAATGTCCACTCCACATGGTTCTGACCACACTCCATGTGAAATTAAAACTTTAGTCAGCAAACGCAAGTTTTGCGTTCCATCCTCATCTGTAACAAAAAGAATGGTTTAAAAAAGAAGATATTCTCCAGACCACCAATCGGGTGACTTAAGTTTATTTTTTATTGGAACCAATTTTTTTAATGAAATACGTACTTATCAAATGTTTATGATTGACTTCCACGGTGAAGGAATAACATCGCGCAATAAAAATGAAACCCACAAAATTATTATTTGCGTAATTACTGATGGTAGGACATCTTGTGAGTCCGAACGGGTAGGTACCACCACCCCACCTATTTCTGCCGTGAAGCAGTAATGTGTTTCAGTTTGAAGGGTAGGGCAGCCGTTGTAACTATACAAATACCTTAGAACTCCTATCTCAAGGTGGGCGGCGGCATTTACGTTGTAGACGTTTATGGGCTCCAGTAACCACTTAACATCAGTGTGCTTAGTGCGAGTTTTTTAACGTTCTCGATAGCGTAAAAGTTAACCCAATTTTGTATGCAGTTGGAACAGCGCCCCTTGCGGCAAACATACGCAAACGATCCCATTCGATACAAATATGAGCTAACTTTTACGCTATCGAGAACGTTAAAAAACTCGCACTAAGCACACAGGTGGGACGTGAGGTCGTCCATCCATTTAAGCAATAAAAAAAAAGGTGTGTTTGAGAAGGCAGGCTGATTACACAACTACAAAAAAAATTCGTTCTTTGCCCTAACGTTTATACTAGGTTTTTCCGGTTAATTATTCACAAAAACGAAAATAAAATAGTTTTTTTTTATATAAAGTTTGCTTTTGTGATAGTTATAGTAATAATACTCATTTTTCAATTTTTTTATAAATTTTAATTAATTTTAGTCTTTTCAAAAAAACCGCCCTATGAGAGTGGGGTGTTTACGTTTACACAGTGCCACTAGATGGCACTCGAGTAATAAACAACGATCAGGTGTTTTGTACAAGCCCAGAAAAACTTAAAATGTCACAAAAGTGTAAATACGATGCTGATGCATTTTGTTTCATATGTGGTTAATTTATTAAAGTTCAAAAGCAAACTGTTTCATGCCATGTATTTTTTTTTTCGTCAAATACGATCTAAAATATCGATATTTTATGCTTTGCAATCAAAGTCAAGTTTGGTGTTGACCCGTGTTATCTACGAGATGTTTACTTTGGTCGTGATGGTCGAGCGGCCGGAGGTGGTCCCGGGGCGGCAGCAGCGCGTGCACCCGACGGTCCGGGTAGGCCACGCGCACGCGCAGCGCGTCCGCACAGCGCACGCGCGTCACCTCGGCCTCCAGCGCGACGCCGGCCACGAGCCCCGCGCTGAACCGCACCACCAGGTCGTTGTCGGCGGCCGGCTCCACTATGCTAGCTTTGCACATCACGATCTTAAACAGATAATCGATTTACAGAGCTCAACCAAGAAAGAAGATAACACACACTGAAGTTTTTTTTAAGGGATTTTATGACCTGGTAACTAAGACCTTTAAGTCAAATCTTATTTTAATTTTAATGAAAACTTTTTTGAAGAATGATAATACGAAATGAAATCGAAACGAAGTGAAATGAAAACGAAATGTAATGAAATGTGATGAGATGTTATGGGATGAAATATAATAATCTCAGTAAAATGGTGGTCATTTACTGAGACTTTTTCAGTGGACTTTTTGGAGGATCCCGAGAAGTTACGTTCAGCGGATTTGTTTCTATTTCCCACATTTGTGCACTTTCACAGATACTAAAAAAGTACAAATAACCGTTATTACACATTTAAACCTGAAGAAACACTAAATAGACAAAATAAAACAAATCACACTACTTCACTTCTCGCGTTCCCGCCAAAAAGTCCACATTTAAGTTACAGATCGTTTAGCTACAGATTAGAAGTAGCCCTGAAACTGCGATACTTTAAGACAAATATTTTTTCTGTATGGAAACTAGCGACATTTTGTAGCGTATGTCCCTAAACTTGTATGTTGTTTTGTAGGCAGACGAGCATACCGTCCAACTGATGGTAAGCGGTTACCGTCGCTCATGGACATCAGCAATGCCAGGGGCAGAGCCAAGCCGCTGCCTACCATTAAGTACTCTCTCCACAAGCTTCGTTTGAAGAAGGACATGTCGTAGCTCTCGGGATACACCTTGGAGAGTAGTTTATTCTAAAAAAATTGGAAACGCAAGAAGGACATGTCGTAGCGCTCGGGATACACCTTGGAGGGTAGTATATTCTAAAAAAATTGGAAACGCATTGTCTATGAACGCAGCGGTTCCTGATAATATAAATGAATCATGTAGCGAATTTACAATAACCACTTCAATGAAAACTGTTAACGCCTAAACTAAATTTTTAGGAGCAATATTGAAATTTTTATTTGTTTACCTACACCAATTACACTTTAACAAATCGCCGTGTCAAGCTAACTTGTTCGCAACATGAAAATTAGGAAAAAGCTTCTATACAGATAATACAAATTTCTTAGATGGATGGAAGAACTCACAGCGCACCTGGTGTTAAGTGGTTACTGGAGCCCATAGACATCTACGACGTAAACGCGCCACCCACCTCGAGATATAAGTTCTAAGGTCTCAAGTATAGTTAGAACGGTTGCCCCACCCTCGCATTGCTGCTTCACGGCAGAAATAGGTAGAGATCGATTTGGAATTTTTATTTAAGAAACCCAAGCATCCAACAAAAACGTATTTCGAACTTTAACTATTTCAGTGTCACGTTTGTACGCGGCCCGTCTTATGATAGCACACAATGGTAGTTTTCCATAATGCTCAACGTTGAATGTTCCAACTACAGCAACGCTGCGCACAATCTAGCGCTCTCAAAAGTACTGCCCTCGCGTGATACTCGCAATCGATACCGACTCAGTGACAGAAAATTGACTAGTGTTTTTTTTAAAGTTGGCATTGATCGAAATTTTGTTTTTAATATCGTTAGTAATATTATTTAATGTTGAAAAAAATGGTAAGGCTTTCGTTTCATCGTAGTTTCTTAGAAATAATCAATGTTAATTAAAACTGTGCTAACTTAGCGCACTCTGCTGATGCATTTGAAAACTAATTCACGTTCCAATTAAGCTTCAGCATAATTCGGCATTGTGCGTCACTGAGTCGCATTATGCTCTGTAATTGGAAAACTACCAGTGATTGTCTGAGCGTACCTTAAGGTTAGGTTTGGGTATGACCGGCAGCGGCGCGGACAGTAGGAGCGGGTGGATGCTCCTCGCCAGCGCGGCCGGCTTGTTGTCCGCGTTCATCGACAGCTGACGGAACACGGCTATCGTGAACGGATCCGGCTCTACACCTGGACAATACAACGGTCAAACTTCAATACGCTCGCTAAAGTTGTGACAGTCCAGTTTGAAGACATTGCACCGATGCCATTTAACGCGTTGACTGTCTTGTATGTTCCCTGTTCACGCCGGCCGTTCTATTTACTGAAATACCGTAATCTATGAAGTCTTATTGAATTTACCTGCGGAAGCCAGCATTCTGTCCAACACTTCGGCGTGGTGCGTGAGAGCTGCGACGGCCGACAGCGCGGCGGTGTTGCCAGCTGCAGCGACCCCGCCGCTAGTGTTGCCAGCCGCGCTCTGCTGCACGGCGGCGCACAGGCGGGCGGCGCACACTCGTAGCGCCAGCTGCCAAACGCACGCATTGTCCTGTTCGGACATCCCGCTAAACTGATGTTGAAGCCTGTAGAATGTAAATTTTTTTCTCCTATTTATGCCGAAAGTTCGGTTTTTCTCCCGCTGTACAGGGAAGAAAGTCTAACTTTTCCTCCCGCTGTACAGGGAAGAAAGTGTAACTTTTCCTCCCTGGGCAGTGACAAGTGCGCATGCGCGTTAGTGTTTACGTCTGCTCTCACACACCTAAAATTCTCCGCCATTGTTGTGCTCGGGTAATTTGCAATATTGTGTTTAGTGTAAAAGTGAAATAAACAAAAGGCAATAAAATTTTAAAGTGAAGTATTAAACAAAAATGAATCATTCATCAGTTCATCAGACAGTTCTTATTCAATTAGTAGTAGTTTATTTCAAAATTAAACAACAGTTACATGTTTTTTTATGGGTATGGGGGGGGGCTGCCCCCCCCCCCCCCTACAGACCGCCAGGCCTTCGCCCCTGGACCCCGGCTCGGTACTCCACGAGCTTTCGGGCTGGTAGGAGAAAAAATTGTATATGTTCCGCGGGAGAAAAGTAGGCCATCTCATCCCGCGTGTTTGCCAGTTGCAATTTTACACGCAATGTACTATATTTTTATTGATGCTCGACTTGTATCCGTAAATTTGAAAGATAACCCTCCGAATCGTTAATATTTCGAATAATTGGTATTTATATTTCGAAATTGATTGAACAATTTAGCTATACCTAGTCAGGTCATAAATTGTCACATGTTTAATGTAAAATAATTGAAACAAGTTTATTCATTATGTAACCATTCATATACCAAAATGAACTTAACAAAACATAGATTCTTATGATACTAAAGTTTATTCAAAATGACCTCCGTGATTTTGAATACAGGCCTTCAATCTGCGCGGCCAGTCGTCTATCGCAGCACGAACGAGGTCCATGTCAATATCGGCGGCTGCCTTAATCAAGGATGTCTTGAGTGACTCCAAATTGGGATGAGGCTTTGAGCACGCCTTTTCCTCCAAGTGTTGCCATATCTTGTAATCTAACGGATTCAAATCTGGACTGGAGGAGGGCCAGTCTTCGTGCCGGATGAAGTCGATTTCACGCGCCGCCAGCCAGTCTTGTGTGCTCTTCGCTCTATGAGCTGGCGCCGAATCTTGTTGGAATACCCAGTGCCTGTTATTAAACATGGTATGAGAAACAGGTTCCACAAGGTTCGTCAGGACTGTATTTTGATACACAACTGCATTCGTTTTTACACCTTTCTCACAAAAATGTACCTCTGTTAAGCCCCAATAAGAAACTCCCAACCATACCATGAGCGAGGATGGAAAATGACCTCGTTGGACACGCGGAATACGGTTGCCCGCTCCTTCACTACTGTGTGCGTACACCTTATCATTTTGTTTGTTGTAGCTCTCTTCTACGGTAAAAATTTTTTCATCCGAAAAAAGAATTTCCCGATATTTTTTTCCCGCGTACCGCTTTAACAAAGCGCAGCATCTCTTCAGTCTCAGGTCCATTAGACGAGCATTCAAACGATGTCCTGTTTTTCTTCGATATGCCCGAAGCCCTAAGTCCTCATTTAACACCCTTTTCACCGTGGTTCTGCTTAACCCCATCTGAAGGGCCAACAGTTTCTGCTTACGTTTGGGATTTCTTTGAATTCGCGCCTTCGCATCTTTTATCACTGCTGGAGTCCTAACAGACCTGACTAGGTATATAGGATCGAAAGTTTTTATAATTCCTTTGAAAGTAACAAAACAAACCCAAAATATTTAACATTAGTTATATACGGCATACGAGCATACGGCCCACCTAATGCGTAAGCGGTTAGCATCGCTCAAGGACGTCAGCAATCTCAAGGGCAGAGCCAAACCGCTGCCTACCTGACTAGTATATGTGTATTTTTTTATTATTATTATTTAGCACAACAGATTTTACACGTGCACGTGCGTACTATCGTTTTACGTTTTATGTAATGACGGAGGCTACCGACCGGAGACAGTCTGCGTGCAGGGAGCGCAGCGCGTGCTGCGGCGGCGCGGCGCACTGCAGCGCGTCGTGCAGCGCCCGCACGCAGCGCGCGAACAGCGCCGTCCGCTGCGCCGCGCCGCACACCGCCGGCTCCATCTCCGACAACCTGACAACAATTTGAAATGTAAAACATCTATTTTTTTTAAAGTAATTTTTTGACCTGGTAACTAGGACCTTTAAGGTCATATCTTATTTTAATTTATATTCTTACTTTTATGAAAAATGACGAAATGAAATGAATGATTAATTTGAGACATTAATCAACTGGGATGAAATGAAATGAAATGAGATGTAATATAATCTCAGTAAAATGGTGGTCATTTACTGAGACTTTTTCAGTGGACTTTTTGTAAGATCCCGAGAAGTTACGTCCAAAGGCTTTATTTTATTTTCCCACATATGTGCACAGATACTAAATAGTTAATAAACCACAGTTATTACACATTGAAAACTGAAGAAACAGTAAATAGACAAAATAAAACAAATCACACAACTTCACTCCTCGCGTTACCGCCAAAAAGTCTGTAAAACATCTATAGCCGACAGTATTTCCACTTTAATGATTTCCTTTCCCCACTCCTCAATTCAAATTTCCCCTTCTCAGGGCTTTAACCTTAACATTTAAGGGCATGAAAAATAGATGTTGATGACAGGTGAATATACATTAGATAAATATACATGGGCGCAAAACCGCCATTATTGGGAATATTTAACATGATTTAAAGCTTCAAAGCGCTTTCCCGTGTATTGTGTATATGCCATTGATTATTTGTTAAAGTAGAGAAGCGTTAAACCGCTTTAAAGCGCTTTCCCGTGTAATGTGTATAAGCCATTGATTACTTGTTAAAGTAGAGAAGCGTTAAACCGCTTTAAAGCGCTTTCCCGTGTATTGTGTATAAGCCATTGATTACTTGTTAAAGTAGAGAAGCGTTAAACCGCTTTAAAGCGCTTTCCCGTGTATTGTGTATAAGCCATTGATTACTTGTTAAAGTAGAGAAGCGTTAAACCGCTTTCCCGTGTATTGTGTATAAGCCATTGATTACTTGTTAAAGTAGAGAAGCGTTAAACCGCTTTAAAGCGCTTTCCCGTGTAATGTGTATAAGCCATTGATTACTTGTTAAAGTAGAGAAGCGTTAAACCGCTTTAAAGCGCTTTCCCGTGTATTATGTATAAGCCATTGATTACTTGTTAAAGTAGAGAAGCGTTAAACCGCTTTAAAGCGCTTTCCCGTGTATTGTGTATAAGCCATTGATTACTTGTTAAAGTAGAGAAGCGTTAAACCGCTTTAAAGCGCTTTCCCGTGTATTGTGTATAAGCCATTGATTACTTGTTAAAGTAGAGAAGCGTTAAACCGCTTTAAAGCACTTTCCCGTGTATTGTGTATAAACCATTGATTACTTGTTAAGTTGTTCCTCGGCCGAGCGCAGCATGTTCAGCCTCACGGCGGTGGAGAGGGTCCCGTTGTCGATGTGCTGCAGCACGCAGTCGAAGAACCGTCTCACGGCGCTGTCGTCCATCGCAGCCTCTATCTTCTCCGCGCTTGACTGCTGCTCGCCTAAAGTACATCAGTGATATATAAGTAAATACGATTAAGATTGGTAATAAGTAGTTACCGAAGCCTATAAACATCACAACGTGAGTACCGCTTTTTTACTGGTGGTTGGACCTACATACATTTACGTTGTGGATGTCTATGGGCTCCAATAACCACTTAACACCAGGTGGGCTGTGAGATCGTCCACCCATCTAAGCAAAAAAAAAAAACATCTGTATAACCTCAAAAGGCCTAATTAATAAAATTTCATAGCGCCACACGTCCTACCACCGTAATCCTCGTGACTCCTCGAAAGGCTCGTGTATCGTGTGTATGACTAACCGATGGGTAGATGCGGCACGAGATGAGGCATGGTGTCCCGCAGATACGTGTAATGCTTGATGGTGTGCTCCTCGAACAGCGGCAGCATGGTGGTGCAGTGCTGCGCCGCGTTCAACACCAGGATCAAAACGCACATATCTATTATAGACTGGTTAAGGATATGTGCTTCAAGCGAAAAACTATCTTAAACGCCATCTATTTAGGTTCTTTTTTTTTTAAATTCAAATTCTTCAATATGTCATTTTAACACTATTAACAAACTACACAACATATGTACTTTCATCATTATTTTAGTTTCAAAATTTAGAGTTTGTCGATTTGTGTGTGTGACTTTGATCATAATAATTCGTTTATTTCATTCGAAGACCACCCTCGGACACAGCCCACTGAGTTTCTCGCCGGATCTTCTCAGTGGGTCGCGTTTCCGATCCGGTGGTAGATTCTGCGAAGCACGGCTCTTGCTAGGGTTCGTGTTAGCGACGTCGTCAGGTTTGAGCCCACCTACTAGTTAAGGCTACGCTGATATAGCCCTCTGGGCGCTGCAGGCCTAAAGGGGGGCGGTAACAGATCCAGAAAAACAAACGGGAGCGTTGTGCAGAAGCTTGGGAGGCGATTTGTAATTTCATCTAAGAGGACTCTTAGACACCGACTAAGCTTTCACTATAGTGGTTTTTAGGTATGTGAAAAAATGGGGGCGTTAAAGAATAATTTCTTCTCAAAGTGGGCAGTAGACAAAATAAGTTTAGGAACCACTGTTCTAACCGATCTGAACGGTCGAATGACTACTTGAACGGTCGAAGTCACTTGAACATCTTATATAAGAACGGTCAATTATTATTCGTTCTTTTTCGTCTTTTTGTATGTCTGTCTTTTCAGAAGTCAAAAAATGTACTGCCTCGCTGCTGGTCACGTACGCCCTCGTTCCATTTATTTTCGAATTATTTTCAAATCTCTGTCTTAGTCTGTCTATGTCTAGTCATTGTAGTTATTATGTCCTGTCAAAGGAGGTTGCACGCCACGACACTATCTAGACTAATCTAAATTATATTTTTTACATTAAAGCCAGCAATGTAAAAGTTAGTATATATGATGGTAATATAGGAAACATGCGTTAAGTTACTGCGAACCTGCACAGAGGGACACCAGCTTTCTGTCTATTTCTAAGGCAAAAAAAAACATGCGATCCACATTATTGTAGCTTCAAGCACATAAATCACTGCATCACTCGAGTAACTAATACTAAATAAAGAGACTTTTTGGCGGGAACGCGAGGACTGAAGTAGTGTGATTTGTTTTACTTTGTCTATTTAGTGTTTCTTCAGGTTTAAATGTGTAATAACGGTGGTTTATTAACTGTTTAGTATCTGTGAAAGTGCACAAATGTGGGAAAATGAAACAAAGCAGCTGGACGTAACTTCTCGGGATCCTCCAAAAAGTCCACTGAAAAAATCTCAGTAAATAACCACCATTTTACAGAGATTAATCCCATATCATCTCATCTTATTTTATTTATTTTCATCCCAGTTGATTAATGTCTCAAATTAATTTTCTTCATTTCATTTCATTTCACTCCATATTATCATTTATCATAAAAATAGGAATATAAATTAAAATAAGACATGACCTAAAGGTCTTAGTTACCAGGTCATAAAATCCCTTAAAAAAAACACTAAATAAAGAAACTGATTGGAAATTTTGTATGTCTCTAAAATTAATATTGTTCAAAGGATACAAGCTGGATCCTCAACATCCGGCTCAGGCATGTCGAAGAAAGGGTGCACGGCCAGCAGCCTCGTGGTCAGCGGCAGCACCAGGGTCGCGTGCGAGCTGCCCAGCCGCTGCACGCAACGGAATGTCGAACGCTTATCCTGAACAATTACACAACGGACACTTTTTACTGGTGGTAGGACCTCTTGTTGGTACGCACGGGTAGGCACCACCACCCCGTCTATTTCTACCGTGAAGCAGTAATGCGTTTCGGTTTGAAGGGTGGGGCAGCCGTTGTAACTATACTTGAGACCTTAGAACTTATATCTCAAGGTGGGTGGCGCATTTACGTTGTAGATGTCTATGGGCTCCAGTAACAACTTAACACCAGGTGGGCTGTGAGCTCGTTCACCCATCTAAGCAATTAAAAATAAAACATATAATTCTTTTTCTCAGTCGTTTGCACTCTTGGTAGAGTGGTCGTAGTCATCAGTTCGGGTAGTCGAGCGCTTCATAAGACGTCACCATTCCTCGTGTACCGCGGCCTTGTACAATACATAATTAAAAACATGAGTGGATGATTATGAGTTAAGTACCATTTTTAAGATTTTTGAGTTTTAACATTGAATGAAGGTGTTATGTGCCTATAAACCATATTAGACCTTAAAACTCCGGCATTAAAGGCAATTTTTAGATATTGCATGTGATGAAGGAGTTATGTACGGAGAAAAAGTACAAGTAACAAAAGTTTGTTTCCCGTTTTCTCAAAATTAACAAATTTTATCATATGCCCTTCATCCACTCTTGTCTACAATTATATACCTTTAAATACATACATATTTAGATATTACACATTCAGACAAAGGGCACATAAGCCTATCCATCACACGAATGATTGCCTGATGTGGGAATTGAACCCAAGACTTTCTAGCCAGCACTCAGCATTAACTACTGTGCCAAGTCAGTCATTCACTAAAAGGAACTAATACAAAAACATATATCTCTTTCACATTGATGTTTATAATCAAAACATTACCCTAGTACTCTACTCAAGTAATTTAATAATAGCTATACCTGTGGATATCTTTTGAGATTCTCCAGAATTTTATCAATGCACATCTCCAGGCATGTTTTGGACGCGACTGTACACGAGCCCAGCAGTCTGTGTAGACCTTCCCTGACGTCCATTGAATAATCCTAAAACCAAAGTTCTATTATTTTCCAGTAAAAACTAAATTGCTCTTTTTCGTAGAAAGAGGTGAAGTTTGATGGTGGCAGATTTCTGTTTAGTTACTTAGGAAAAAAATTAGAAAATAACTCTCCTTCTCTCTCTTTCTCTTTCCCCCTCTCTCTCTTTCTCTCGCCCTCTCTCTCTCTCTCTGCCATCAGGGAAAAGTGGTAATAGATGTCGTAGAGTCGCAGTTGTATTAATCACTGCTCCACCATCCATGAAAACGGAGCGCATGAGTTCTTCCTGAACAAACCAAGCAGGAGGGTGACTTGCGGGCTTCATAGCATCACAAGGACTGTGTGGCGACTCACTTACCCGCCACTTCATATTACTACTTGGACAACCGCCTTTCAATTTTGGTAAAATCGCTGTCGTTTATGATTTTAGGCCATTCATACGCTATTTTTGTTCGGAACAGGTTCGGAGATGCTTCTTTACTTGCGTTTATTTAGAGTTACTTATGTGCTAATTTACCTATATTGTACACAAATCCAATCTTATATACAATATACGTTACCTAAAAGGCATAACAATATTCATTTTCTCTGTGCTACCTATCTTCCGAGTCAATGCCTAGACAATCTAGCCAGTTGAAGCAGCTTTACTGGTGGTAGGACCTGTTGTGAGTCCGCACAGGTAGGTACCACCACCCCGCCTATTCCCGCCGTGAAGCAGTAATGCGTTTCGGTTCGAAGGGTGGGGTAGCCGTTGTAACTATACTGAGATCTTAGAACTTATATCTCAAGGTGGGTGGCGCATTTACGTTGTAGATGTCTATGGGCTCCAGTAACCACTTAACATCAGGTGGGCTGTGAGCTCGTCCACCCATCTAAGCAATAACAAATAAAAATAAACTACGGCTGCTCCTACAACTGTATTACAAATAGACTATTATCAGCTTCTAGTATCTCCGGGACTGACCTCCAAGGCTCCTAGTATGGTCTCCAGTAGGTCTTCTCTAAGTACGATATGATGTGAGATCCTCGTGAGAGCGTCGATGGCTCGCAGCCGCACTTCCTCGATCTCGTCATTGAACATGTCCACCAAAAAGTCGAGGGAGGTGGTCGCGAACACCGGGTTTTCTAGTGAGAGTTGACACAATGCTTCGACGGCTGCCGTGCGCACCTCTGGGAACATAAAGAACAATTAGAACAAATTATTACATTGAAAACAATAATTAAATTCGATTATAAAAAATATTGTAAATCATACAAGCCTTTATTTGTTATAGAAAAATTGATTAAATTTTATCACTTTGGGGTTTCTGAAAATATACATTTTTTTTTTAAATAAAGCCTGCTATACTTAATATGTTACTGCCATCTACAGGAGCAATGAAAAACTAATCGAAACGTAGCCATCTAGTGGCCGACGCCCATAAACATTTTTGTTGAGTGCTTGAGTTGCTTATCTATAACTAAATTATGTGTATTATCTATGCTCTGACCCATGAGTTCGTCCTCGAGTCCGTGCACGAAGGCGCCGGCCGCCCCGCCCGGCAGCAGCTGCACGGCGGCGGACGGCACCAGCGCGCCGGGCGCGTCGTCCGCCCAGCGCCGCCCGCTTGCCCACGCGCCGCTGCGGACCAGCTCCGCGCCGCGCTCGTGCGCAGTGCGCTTTTTCTGTATTATATTCAATTTACACTATAATTAAATGTGAATTAGATATGAGATAAAGCTAATGAGACCAAGGAAGGCTGCTTCCATGATCACGGTACAAACGCCACGCATATGCCTGGTGTTTTAACAAATAAATCACATTAAGACGTGGTAGAATTGACACGCGATATAACGATATTATGAATATAATGATATCAAATACGCCAGAATGAATGAGTACAATCAAAGACTTAATTGCGTTTTCTGTAATATAAATAAGAAAACAACATTTAAAGCCTATTAAGCAGTAAAGCAACATTTATCTCTATTTAAATTAATATTTTAAGCAGTATTATTATACTACTAGCTGTACTCGTCCGCTTCGCTAGGCATTTAAAATTAATATTATTATTTCACACCCCCCAAAAATATTCTTATCATTAACGCCCCCGCAGCTGGTGTAAGGAGTCCAACACTCATATAAATATTATATATATTATATTACCTATCCATTAAGTACATTTATTTTCTACATGGATACCAAGTTTCAAGTCAATCGAATACATGGTTCAGTAATTATAACGGAACATCCGCAAAAGCCACTATAGATTTATAGATATAGATGCAAAACTGAACTAGTCACTTCATGGAATGACAGGTGAGTGCTTCCGTGCTCAGAAAAATCTTTTTAAAACTAAAAGAGCTTTAAAGGTTTTTCTTTACATGAATATTATGAGTGCTTGTCTGTGCGTTTGTAATCCCTATAATGGCTGAACATATTTCAATGTGTATTTCAATGGTGTATATAGTGCTGGTTCCGTAATGAAATCACCTTCATGTTACTCATTAGTTGTTTATCGAGGGTCTGCAACAGGAAGCGATCGGAGACGGCGCGCGTGGTGCCAAGCAGCGTGCAGGCGAGCGCTCGCACTTGCATGCATAGATCGTTCACAGCCGAACATATGCGAACAAAAGCGTCATCGACCATTCGTATTGTGGTCTCGTCATCTTGTAACGTTATTACACTGAAAATAACAAAAAAAAATCCTCAAATTCATAGTTCTTAGATGTATTGGAGAGGCACACATTATATATTTTGTTGTTGTTGTTTTGTTTATTGTTGGGTTTGTAATATTGATTAAACAATTATCACTTACATACGAATCTATATACGATTAAGATTATTTCACTTAATTATAATCAATTAATAATAACATTAAAAAACGTTTGAAATAGAACTTAAAAGTTATGATGATCATGAATCATGTAAACAATGTAAGACTTTTATTGCAAAGAAAGTCAAAAACAATATTTTAAAAAAAAAATCGAGTGTTGTTTTACATACTTTTTGACTATAAAAATAAACTCTCCTGGTGGCTCTAGAAAGGAGCGACAGTCTGGCAGACTTTTAAAATATTTTATATATACTTATTTATTTACTGAAATTTTTTATTCTTATTTACTTTTAATAACAAAAAGTTGCCGACATATTAACTTTACTACAATTGCTTAAAGATGGTGGGCATTCAAATGTGAAATCTATTATTCTACAAACTTTAGGTAATAATAACTTTACAAGTTAGTGTGTGAACTAATAAAATTAAAATTCAAGAAAAATAAAAAATAAAAATTGAGTACTTACTTTTCTGGGTATTTATTACCAAGTACCCAAATCAACTTTAGGGCAACTTCTCTTACTATTTCATAGTCATCGGACAGTGCAACACAAACATGTTCGTACAAATTAGATCCTAAGATCTGTCCTCTTTGATGAAGTGTTAACAGTGCTTGAAATGCTTCACAACGCACTCTGGCATCCTAAATTAAAAAAGATTTTAATTTAAAGTTTTCAATCCTATCTCTGCTTACCTGATATTTTGAATGTTAATAAACTATGTGACTTTCTTAATATTAAAATATATTTATTTTCTATGAGTAGTAATTAAAGTGATGCATGGTGTTTGAAATAATGTGTTTATATTACTCCTTTGTTTTCTTTTTATTCAGCAGTTTATAATAACTATGCAGTCAAAAGACATTTAAATTATTGTACTATAAAATATTACTATACAGCTACACCAAATTATGAATATACAATATACCTCAGAATTAGAATAATCTCCAAGAAGTTTTACAATAGCTTCGGCCTCTGCTGTCATCTCAGATGTTCTATCAGAGTCCGGATGTATAGGGTACAATTCACTGATGAGCTGTAGACACCTACATTTCACCTGATGGCTAGTATCTTTCAAATTGTCTTTAGCAACACCAACTAGCCTCATCATTAAAATTTTATCATCACTCAATTTCTTGGCAAGTTTTGTCAGTGTTGCTATTCCTTGACCGATAACCTGTAGAAAAAAATCAATCAAATAGCAGCAGCACAAACCTTACCAAGCAAAAGAAAAGCATTACTACTACATTCTTTACTAATTTATCTGCTTTAAAGAAATAAAGACAAAACATTATTTGTTAATTGGAATAGATTGTTTTGATCACATCCAGTATTTCTACAGTTTTCGTGATTTTTAGATATATTTAAAACTAGTTTTAAGGATGACTCTGAACACTAAAATTGTAATTTATTCTGAAAGTCAAAAACAATAGAATGAAAATGTAAAAGCAGTATTATTTACGTTGTGTTAACACTTCAGACAATTGCAATATACGGAATATTATAACATAACCCATAAAAAAAAATCAAAACTTTCTAAAATAGTAAAACGTTGAGAATGTTGGAGCCTTAGGTACTGAGAAGGATTTATGCTTTCCTGCTAACAATTGAAATTGTAATCTCAAGTTTCAAAGAGGGTGGTGGACAATGGTGGAGCATAAGAGCTCCAGTAAAACCTAAACGTGTGAACTATGAACCACTAATGGTCTATAACAAATACAAATATGATAAAATTACCTTGTGTGACGTTTCGTTTTTTATTAAATGTATGGTTTCATCTATCAAGTTATTCAAGTTTGCACAGGGAACCTCCAAGCCTATGTCACAAAAAAGCCATAGTATTTTTACTCTGACTACAGACTCTTCTTCCGACTGAAAATGTTTTGACAACTTCTTTATTGCTTCCTCTACGTCGGACTCTTGGAACTGAAGACAGTCGGATATTCTGAGTAAAAACTGCAACGCTTCATCGCTGGACTTGCATTTCTCTAGAAGACCCACAAAGGCAGCAGCAGAACTACCTATTAACGGCTTCTTTGCCAAATGCAGCTTCTTCGATGGTGGAGCATCCTTTGGTGTAAATATTGTAGTGAAGAGTTAGGTTAATTTCATTAGACATTTCACTTTCAAATATAGAAAACTATCTAACTGCATTATACTAACCTGAAATGATTTATTGTATTCTGCCAGGGCTCTCTTCTTTAAAACTGCAGCCATTTTATTAACAGTTCCAGATGGTGTTTTCTGTAATGTAATGTATTTGTTTTTGTATAAAATTGGTGTTATGATTGGTAATAATAATCTATGGACCAAGCTTTCAAAACTACTCGCTAGAGTAGTCTGTGACCATCTATCACTGAAACTGAAGTTATGCCAGGACTTTTTGGCGGGAACGCGAGGAGTGAAGTTGTGTAATTTGTTTTATTTTGTCTATTTAGTGTTTCTTCAGGTTTAAATGTGTAATAATGTTGGTTTATTAACTGTTTAATATCTGTGAAAGTGCACAAATGTGGGAAAATTAAACAAAGTCGCTGGACGTAACTTTTCGGGATCCTCCAAAAAGTTCACTGAAAAAATCTTAGTAAATGACCACCATTTTACTGAGATTATATTTCATCCCATATGATCTCATTTCATTTCATTTAATTTCATCCCAGCTGATTAATGTCTCAAATTAATCATCTTCATTTCATTTCACTCCATAATATCATTTTTCATAAAAATATGAATATAAATTAAAATAAGACATGACTTAAAGGTCTCAGATACCAGGTCATAAAATCTCTTAAAAAAAAAGAAGTTATGCCACCTATGCTACCTAAATAAGGGTTATAAAGTCAAACGCTCTCTGGGTGTTCGTTTCCAGCCGATTGTCTGCAAGCGAAGTAAATTCTCCCTTGGAAATATGCTAACTCTACAAACTTGCATACGTCTGGTCTTGACCTATGAAAGTGTAGTGTTCGCTTACGCGGCCTGCACTAACTTAAACACCTTTAAAATCATTTCATTCCGTTTTTGCAGGATAGCCGTCGGAGAACCATGGTTCGTGAGGAATGTGGATCTTCCCGATGACCTGGAACTTGTTTCCATACTTCCGTATATGATGACAGTGTATGAGCACCACTTCGAGAAAATGGCTCGATACGATAATCCACTTTTATTGTGGCCGCCGGCAAGTAGTACATACCGATATACCCAATGCTGCAGACCGAACGGTAAACGCTCGCTGTCACCCAAAACATGTCATTTCGAATCCTTCCGATTCAGTATAGGTGATTTTAGGCACTGCCAAGCACCGGTCACCGTTCTCGTTCAACTCTTCGAATGCCACGAAGGGTTCGGCAAGCAAAATAACCCCCTGATACAGCCCATTGAATTTCTCGCTGGATCTTCTCAGTAAGTCGAGTTTCTTATTCGGTGGTAGATTATGCCAAGCACTGGTCTGGTTAGGACTAGTGTTGGCAAATATGCCAGGCTGAGCCCCGTGAACTCGTCTGCTCGCTCGATGAATCTAGTATAACCCCTCGAGGCTTTTTTGGTAAGTACATACCTAATCGCTGGTAACCTAAGGGGGTATTCCAGCTACTCGCGGATTGGTAGGTTTACTGGTGTTAGGACCTCTTGTAAGTCCGCGCGGGTAGGTACCACCACCCTGTCTATTTCCGCCGTGAAGCAGTAATGCGTTTCGGTTTGAAGGGTAGGGCAGCCGTTGTAACTATACTTGAGACTTTAGAACTTATATCTCAAGGCGGGTGGCGCATTGACGTCAAAGATGTCTATGGGCTCCAGGAACCACTTAACACAATTTTTTTTTGTATTGCCTTTGAAGGCAGACGAGCATACGGCCCACGTGATGGTAAGTGGTTACCGTCGCCCATGGACTTCAGCAATGCCAGGGGCAGAGCCAAGCCGCTGCCTACCGCTTAATACTCTCACTAGGTGGGCTGTGAGCTCATCCACCTATCTAAGAAATAAAAAACAACAGGTGAATTCACGAGCTCAACCTTACAGAATTTGCTAAGACTTGCCGTAGCAAATGAAGTACTTCACTGAATCTACTACCAGATCGGAATCGCGACCTACGGAGAAAATTCGACTAGTAATTCAGTTATGTAATTAACGGCTGCCACGCTAAGACGGCTGCTGTCGAACGTCGATTTGTTACAGTAGCGTTCTGACGCTTGTGGGGCAACACCGCACAGTCAATTAATAGACATTATATTAAGGCAGTATGTTGGGATACCTTCGTTTTTTAAATTAGAAAAATTGAATTATTCTCAATTTGTCGAGAGTGTCAACTTTCAGACAAGAAAACTTTGATTTGGATATGGCTCGGACACTTTCAACTAGCCTTAACCATTTCAAACGTAAAATTTAAACAATTTGAATGAAATCTTAACTAAAAGTATTCATACAATCAATTTGAACAATATTACATGTTCAGTAGCTTCGTTGTCGAGTAATTTATTGGTGACATAACCTATGGTGTTGAAATCAAATATTTTGTGTTTTGCTATTTCGTAAAGAAGTTCTTATAGTTAACATAGCTAGCATGTGTTTAGTTTATAAAACCGTAAGTATTACAGTGGCTATCCATATTCTATTTACTGTTTAAGCAAAACCTTCGCCGCGGTCCAAAAGGGTAGGAAGTTTCAAGAGACTCCATAACTAATTTTAATTTTAAAAATAAACACTGTTACATTGATATTTGTTTTATTTATTTCGAACTAAGGCGTAAAAAAATGTAGATAAAATATAAAACGGTAAAAGTTAAAATAGACTTGAAAGATAATTAAGAAATAAATGAATAGTGGGCAGTATGGGTAAAAACTTATAAAATATTAATAATTTTTTTTTATTGAAGAAACCTTAGCGCCCTATGTACTACAGATGGTATCTGCTAGAATAGTAAATTGATTAATGATATCACATTTCTCATTTTAAAACTAGATTAATCTATTTCTAAACAATACTGAATAGAAATGTTTACAATTATTGTTTAAGTTATCTAGTTAAGCTAGTTTTTGGCTTATAATTCCCTTACATTACTTATCACTTTTCTTCAATGTGCATAGATAGATGAACAAGATCTCATCTTTAATAAAGTGGTTACTGGCTGGACTTCAAAGATGGATATGTTCCATATTCGAAACTGGAACAGTGGCACCTAACTATGTACGATTACAATACACCCTAACACCAGAAATTGCCACTTATAAATAGTAGTTTGTAGGTGTAATACTCAGAATGCATTAGTCACATTTTAAAACACTTGAAACGTAATGGGATGCTAGTCCTAGTTGGGACTAAAATATTTGCGGGCATAATAAAAAAATCTTAAATTAATTAAAGAATCATCTAATCACTATTTTTGTGAAATATAGTTGTTGGAATCATATGCCAATTTCAATTCAATTTCAATCAATTAAATCATATAATATAATCAAATAATACTTACACTTTAAACATCAACCACAATGCAGGATTTTATGTTAAATGGATAATAATAGTGGTTTAGTGTAAGTTATATGATTAATTTATTATGACCCTAAATGTCATCATGTACATGACATGAATGTAAATGAAGTGATGAATTACCTTAGCTAGGTAAAGTATCTATAACATGTACGCAAGATATAAATTGAATATTTTTTTATATTTGTTTCAGAAATTGGAGACCATGAAATAATGTCATGTGATGACAATAAAAAGGGATATGTCTGAAAGGCAGCTACTAGAACATAGCTGCCTAAATGAAGGTAGCATAGCAGTAAGCATGCCATCACCAAGAATCCCAGAGCATTGGAAGGAGTTTGTGTGTGGTGGCGGCTCGGCCTTCTGCAACATATTAATTAGTTATCCGCTGAATAAACTAATTTTTCGACAGGTAAAATTATCATTGATAGAAATGGCTATTAGATTTTAATTAATAAAAAACCTCTGTTTAAAAAAACCAAATTTAAGTACACATTAACATACTATGTGGGTTCAGTCATATACATAATAATATATACTTATTGAACAGTGAGATTATGCTAGGATCCAAATTGTGTAAGCAATCAAATGCCAATTTTGTTAAAGAAATATATATCTAATATGTCTTTACAAGTGATTTGCAGTTTTTTTTTTACTGCTTAGGTTGCTTTTTTTTTTTTTAAATTGCGGAATTAAAAAATATCGTTGTGTTTCAAAAACTTATGAATTTTGTTTTATTATTCATGAAAAGTGGAACTGTGAGCCTTCAAGTAGGCACCATCATTATAGCCAATTAAAGCAAAGTTTCCGTTTTGAAGTGTCAGAGCACATAAGTGAAATTATATAAAGAATGACAGTTTGAATGAGAGTAACTCAAGAAACAATAGGTGTTGGATGTTTTCAGAAGTGTATCTCTAACAGCTTGTATTTTTGTAATGTTAATATCGACGCTTGAAAGGCAAACGTGACTAAGCGACAATAACTGCTTTGTACATAAATGATAGGCAATAACCATATTCGATGCACAAAAAAAATATATTTCTAGATCTATTAAAATCATTTCAATCCTACAGCTACTAGCTAGATTCTACTACAGCTAGATTCGTTAAAAAAAATTGTTTTCAGGTGTTTCAACTTTAAATTAGTCTACTGTAAAGTTCACGCATTGTCGCTTAGTTACGTTTGCCTTTCAAGCATTGATATGTAAATACAAATTAAATCACAAAGTAATTATCATTTAAGCTAAAACATTTTACTGAACATTTAAAATTTAAATACAGAAATGAGAAAATAATCTCAATGGATTTTTTAAATTACAATTTGCCTTTATCTTGATTACCATCTTAATTACCCATTATATTAGATAAGATTTGGACAGCTTAATTTGGAATTTATTATTATGAATGTTTATTATCTGTAACGAGGTCTTTATCTGTTTACAAATATTACATTTAGTACCTACAATGCTTAGTATATGAAATTCAAATCCTACAGAGACTTCTGTAATTAGTGTAATCTTGACAATTAAATTAAATTAGTGTGGTTTTTTATAGATGCACTGTTTTCTGAAAGTTGTGGAATTTAAAAGACTCATTCAACTAAAATTGTAATCTGTGACTGTGCATAGTACCACTCTGCTACAGATTCTTAATTTATATTAGTATCCACTGCAGAAGACAAATTGGAAACAGTAAACGAAACTGCTTGATCCTGTTTTTATGAACGTTGTTTTTCTATTGCTTTAGCGGGCAGACGATCCATCTAGTATTAGGTGGTCACTGGAGATCAAAGATGTTCAAAAAATGCCACCACCTACCTTGAGACACTTTTTACTGGTGGTAGGACCTTTCGTGTTAGGTACCACCGCCTTACCTATTTCTACCGTGAAGCAGTAATGTGTTTCGGTCTGAAGGGTAGGGCAGCCTTTGTAACTATACTGAGATCTTAGAACTTATATCTCAAGGTGGGTGGCGCATTTATGTTGTAGATGTCTATGGGCTCCAGTAACCACTTAACACAAAAAAAAGAAAGACCTGAGGTCGAAGTTTCAGTTTTTTAGTGACTGCTTACCATTAGAACCTCAAAGCATGATTACTTTGGGACTGAAATAGGAAGGATGGTGATTTCCGGCTGCAGCAGTGGACTCACAACTTTGCGATCATAGTATATAATACACGGAAAACATTGTTGTCCATTCTCGGGGTAATCCCTTAGTCGCTTTTACACCATACGAACAGACGAATTTCAAATTTTAACTCCAAGGTATTTAATATTAATTTCAGTATTCCATTATAATGTCTAACATATAGCATGTATATTCGCAGCATCATTAAGCGGTTTTCATTTGTGTTTGGCGAACTATGCATATTAAAAAAACACGAAAAATCTAGATAAATATTTCCTTTCAGATGATGCACGGCGTTGAGACTACGTTTGCACTGAACCAGCTGCAAAAAGAGGGTCTTGGATACTTGTATCGTGGAATGCTCCCACCTCTGATGCAGAGATCCCTCTCGATGTCTCTGATGTTCGGAATATACGATGAATGCTTACATCCACTACTCGATTACAAAGTTAACCCCTACGTTGCTAAAAGTGTAGCAGGAATAGTTGCAGGATGCTTCGAAGCTACCCTAATGCCGTTCGAGAGAATACAAACATTGTTAATACATCCAAAGTATCATAAAGAATTTACGAATACGGCACACGCAACGAAGCACATAGCTAAACATTACGGCATCAAAGAGTTCTATCGAGGGCTAGTTCCTATATTACTACGTAATGGTCCTTCGAACGCTATGTTCTTCATAATTCGTGACGAAGTAAAGGAGCGTCTTCCTCAACAAGACAAGATATTATATAAGAGTTTACAAGATTTCCTTGCCGGGGCATCGATAGGTGCTTTATTGAGCACATTATTCTATCCTCTGAATGTTATAAAAATAGCAATGCAATGCGAGCTCGGAGGTCCGCACAGAACGCTTTCGTATGAATTCGGATATATTTTACGGAAACGAGGCGCGAAGTTTGCTAATTTCTACCATGGTGCGTTACTCAATATTTCCCGGGCTTTTCTAAGCTGGGGCATCATAAATGCTTCGTATGAAATATTTAGGAAAATGCTATACACCTAGTCATATTGTATTACTCGTGTAATCAAGGAAATTTTATTTTCGTTCAAAGACTATGTTAAAATCTGTTATTTAATATTAAAAGATTCGGTTTATGTATGTATATGTAGGTACTATATTATTATGTTTATTTGAAAATGTCAAGAGTCGAATATGTGCTACAAATTGCTTACAAATTTAAATAAGTTCAACAGAATTGGCCTAAAATTTATTAATTATTAAGCATTGATAGATAATTAAAATTTATACAGATTATAAATTTATTGGAATTTACATCAAAACTGAAGAGTAGAGGTAAGGAGCAACATCTCAGCATATTAAAGTGTGTCCGCGGAAACTGAGCCAATGTAGGTGGCGCTATAGTAGCAAGTGGAAAGATTTAAAAAACAGCCCGTGAAACACTTCGGCTGTGTTCCGATATGCACTAAGATGCTAATGTAATATGCTAATGTAAGCTGTGACGTCAATGTAGTATACTGCGAAGCCGCTCCTTTCAAAAGCTAGCTATACTGGTCGCCGTTTGAAACGGAACGCAGTGTGTTTAGTGCGAGTTTTTTAACGTTCTCGATAGCGTAAAAGTTAGCTCATATTTGTATGGAGTGGGATCGTTTGCGTACGTTTGCCGCTAGGGGCGCTGTTCCAACTGCATACAAAATTGGCTTAACTTTTACGCTATCGAGAAAGTTAAGAAACTTGCACTAAGCGTACAGTACGTTAGACTATTAACAATGTTTTTGGCGTTGTTTTCCCTTCAACAAAAAATATTGTTTAAATTGAGTTATATTTAAAAATTAAATATTCAACTTATTGTCAATTGAATTAATCGCATGATAAAAGTAAGTTTATTTATTGTTAAAAGAAAATATTGTTTTTGCAGCAATTTAATGTATAATAACTTAACAACCGAGTTATTGAAATGAGGTTAAGCACGGTAAAAGCGATCACATGATCAAATCACCGAGAGCCTCTTGCCTTCAAAACACCTGTAGTGTTCACGGATCCCTAAGATGCTGCGAGTGTGTACTGTCAGTCCTTAACGGGACTAACTTCTCCCCAGTAAGAGCACTGAACAGTGCTCGCAGTGTACATCGGAACATAGCCTTCGCTGCAACCCAGCACACTTCAGTTTGTTTAAAACTGCTATATTCATACCATTTCAACTTGTCTACCTATACAAGATGGTGCTCCTTAGTTCTATCCTCTATGATCAAAACTTACTCCAACTATCTTCTATCTATATAGATAAAAATGAATTGCTGTTCGTTAGTCTCGCTAAAACTCGAGAACGGCTGGACCGATTTGGCTAACTTTGGTCTTAAAGTATTTGTGGAAGTCCAGAGAAGGTTTAAAAGGTATATAAATATGAAAATGCTCGGAATTAAATAAAAATAACAATTTTGTTTGTTTCTGTCCTTTGGTGTGTCCCCCATCGGACGGATTCTTTTCGTCTTTTATTTATCGATTGAGGCACCACGAAGTCTGCCGGGTCAGCTAGTATTATATAAAATGTTAATTCATTTACAATGTGTAGTGAAATCGTACGTTCTGCTCTATTGTTCCCGTATGTTATATTATAACACAAATTATCATTGTCATCCAAAGTATACATGTGACGCCCAAATTTAACGTAGGGCTGTATAGTTTACTTCAGTCAACCCTAATGGTATTATCAACAACAAAAAATCGTTTTTCAATATTTCGCTTAAAAGTCATTTAAAATTCCTTCCTTTAAATTTTATTATTAATTTTATTTGCATACATTTTTATATTCCCAGTAAATAGTATACCGTAAACGCGACTAATAATGATAAATTTATTACAATCCAACTAAAACTTCAACATATACATTCAAGCCGATGTAATCTAGTTTGAAGGTCAAGCTAGAAAATAAATTACAACAGGGCTGACAGATCGTGTTTTTAATACAACGAGTGTGAGGTTTAGTAATTCCAAGATAAGAACAACACGTGCTTGCCATTAGAATCCTATAAAAATAAATAGTCTTACCCATTCCTTTAATGACAGATTATTCCGGCAAAGTTAGTCCCTTCGTACCGTACCTACAATACACAACCTGAGTTCATTCCATTTTATCGGATTACGAAAAAAAAGTTTTGTATTCATTTTTCGTGTTTTATATAATTTCATTGTAGCTTCGCGAGTGAGAATTGCACTTGAATTGGTTAAAAGGTAAAAAAATAGTCTTTAAACCTCGTTTCGCCCCCTTTGGTGCTTTTTCACATCTAAATCTTATAATAATAATAACATTGATGAGTTTCGATCAATGGCTTAGATTAATATTTATTGTGGTCACGGACAACATATGGACAGAGCAAGTCACCGTCGTCCCCCTAGACACGTCCTTACGGATGTATCAGATCCAATAGCTCTTGCATTAGACGCCTTCAGCTCTAACACTAGGGGCAGGCTTAGGGACTCAGATAACCGTACTCGTCGAACTCGACGAAGAGCTAGACGTGCAACCTAATCCATACATTAGCCCGCTGAGTATCATGCCGATTTTCCTCAGCGGGTCGCGATTCCGTAGTAGATGCATTCGCGAAGCAGCTGTCCCTTGAGATGTTAAGTTAGCACTTATGGGGCGCTCGGGCAGCTGTTGGCAAATCTCAACCCTTCAGGCCTAGCCTTTGTAGCCCACCTCTCCTGGTGAAACTGTAAAGGCCTTCGGGTCTCCAGTACTCCTTCCTTCATAATAATAAAAAAAAAATATGGACTATTTTGTTGTAATCTGTATTTCTTTAGCGATTTTAATTTATTAAATTTTTCTGTTTTTTTTTAAATATTATTTATTGAAATTACATATTTTTTTTCATAGACAAAGGACTGACAGCCTCTTGGGTGCTGGTACTGTTGATTCGTTTTGTGTCTAAAATAACTTTAACCCTTAAATGGACAATGTTGTTTTTAAACAACATACATCACAGATAAAATTGACCTTCTTTTAATTTTTTGTTAATTTTGACAACTAGTTCTTATTTCTGAACGAATTTTGAAAAAAAGTATAGTAAATTCATGTCTAGATTTTTTTACTCATTTTTCCTAGACAGTAATACATGTCCATTACACAAATATATTTTTTTAAAACGCGAAACAAAAATCGTCCATTTAAGGGTAATGTCGCGTGTAATTATCAGTTGCGAAAATGAAGAACAAACGTATTTGACACTTTTTATAAATTGTATTAAATAATAAGTTCACTCGTTTAAAGCACCGTGCTGTAGAACCGCTTTAAAAGAAACGCTTTGCTTGAATGTTACAAGAGCATTTATTTAAATGTTATTGTCTTATTATTATATATGATGTAAATAAATAAGAAATAAAATGTCTACTCCTTACTTCAGTGTTTTATGAATAAAAAAAAGAGTGGAAACCCGGTAGGAGCGAAGTTCCTTTTGTTATAACTTTTTTGTGTTTGTATTAAGGTTTAAAAAAAATCAGTATTTAACAATTAAACGAATCATAAAATGTGAATAAATGCGAATAAATTGGTAATGGAAATAAATTTCTGGTATATTAGTGAAAAAACGAATGTATCTCATTATTATTTATTAAAAATATATAAAATAATTTTGAATCAATCGAAAAAAATGGTTTCCTTAGTGATCGGGAATGTCCTTAAAATCACTGCAAAAAGATGTATTTTTGGTGTAGTTTTTAATTGTTAGACTTTTTCGGTCTAACCCCGTTTGATACGCAACTCCGTTCCAAAAAATGCTTTCACTACCTTCTTTTTCGTTAACAATCATGACTCAGTAATGGTAAGATTGGTTTATTACTTATTTGTCTAAGAAATATCGCATTAAACCAGCCAGAAATATGCACAAACAAAATAAGAACAAATATAGCTAGACACTGAGCATTTTAACAGCATATTCCGATCGCAAAACAACATTTATAGGTGATGGCGCGTAATGTAAGCCCGCACGGGTAGGTACCGCCGTCCTGCCTATTTATACAACGAAGCAGGCATATCAGGCAGGCATTGATCCGGTGGACCAAATGGTAAACAGTCGAAGTCGCCCTAAACACGTCATTACGGATCCTCACGAACCATTAACGGTGCTTTTAGGTACCTCAAGCACTGGTCACCGTCCTCGCCTAACCCGCTTGCGACGAAGGGCTCGATGAGTAAATTAACCCATAGACACAGCCCATTGAGTTTCTCGCCGGATTTTTTCAGAGGGTTTTCCGATCCCGTGGTAGATTCTGCGAACCACAGCTCTTGCTAGGGCCAGTGTTAGCAACACTCCCGGCTTGAGCCCCATGAGCTCGCCTACTAGCTCGGTGAATCTAGAATAATCCCTCGAGGTTACTAGAATAGGTAGAAAAAAAATGATCCAGTTTGAACGGCGGAATACTTGTTATATAATTCAATTGAGACTACGACCCATGTCTTAAGGTGAGTAGTTACGTTGTGATGTCTGTGAGCTCCCAGCGGGCGGTGAATACGGAATTAAATTAAACAAAATAAAATGAGATTTTGATGTATTGTTTCTCTTTTAAGAAACATTTGTTTCTCTTTATAAGCTTATCTACGAACTCGAAGATTTTAATGGTCCAAAATAATTGATTTTTTGATTGATTTACATATGTACCTACCAATGTTTTTTTTTTGTAGGCATCTATACTTTTTATTCTTTTCGAAGTGCCCATTTGAACGTTTTTACAATGACGTGTGTTGCCTGTTGAAAACTACTGACCATGTAGTTCGGTTTACGAAAAAAAAATGAAGTTTTCATAATGTTTAAGATTCTAGTGCTACTTTTTGTTTGTAATGTCGGTAAGGCATTGTTAATCCATAATCTGATATGCAATTCCATAGTATTAGGCTGTTTGATTTAGTAATTAGATTATTCTCAACAACTATATACACTTACGTGCTGGCAAACATAAATTTTACAAGGCGTTGATATGAACATTTTCAATGGTTTTTTTACCTACGGATGAGTAATCAAGTAACAAGAAGTATGAAACTGTGGCTCTATATAATATTAAGTCGGTACGTTCGAAATTGGCATTTAGTAGCCAGTAAATTTTAATTATAAGTATTTTTTATAACTATCAATCAAAATATACACCCATGGTATCATAGACTTATTACTTCAGTGCATGGTATCGATATACCTACAGTGGTGGTCATATACCTAATCAGAAACACTTCATATGAATAAAGAAAGTATAACATCAACGTACAAATATTCAGTAAAAATATAGATATTCACTAATTAATAATCATGCAATAATAGGTATAGCAACTCATATAAAAAACTCATTAAATGCATAAAATTTAAAACTTATCTTAGTTTTAGTTTTTAGAGGCTATATCAGCGTCGCCTTAACTAGTAGGTGAGCTCACGGGGCTCAAGCCTAATGACGTTGCTAACACGAACCCTAGCAAGAGCCGTGTTTCGCAGAATCTACCACCGGATCGGAAACGCGACCCACTGAGAAGATCCGGCGAGAAACTCAGTGGGCTGTGTCTGAGGGTTAATTTACTCGTCGAGCCCTTCGTCGCAAGCGACGGGTTCGACGAGAACGATGACCGGTGCTTGAGGTACCTAAAAGCACCGTTAGTGGATCGGGAGGATCCAAAATGACGTGTTTGGGGCGACGTCGACTGCTTTCCATTCTGTCCGCAGGATCGGGAATGTAGTTACCGGCGGCCATGATAAGAGGGTTCTCGTGTCGTGCCGCTTTACCGAAGTGGCGCATCGACGCCGACTGAAGATACTTATTGATGGACTCTAAGTCCAGGTCGTAATGGAGGTCGACGTTTCTGACGAACCACGGAGCTCCGACGGCTATCCTGCAAAAACGAGATTGAATAACTTGGAATGATTTTAAGTTAGTGCGGGCCGCATGAGCAAACACTACGCTTGCATAGGTCATGACGGGGCGAATGCAAGTTTTGTAGAGTGTCACCTTATTTTTAAGGGACAATTTACTTCGCTTGCATATCATCGGGTAGAGACGTCCTAGAATGAAGGCGGCACGGTCGCGTACGGTCTTTATGTGGGGGCGGAATGTCATCCCTCTGTCGAGGGTGACGCCTAATTGAAAATGTTCTTAGAAGCTCGTTCATTTTATCTGGTAAAAAAATAATACAGTAGGCATTCATGAATGAACATAGACATTAATAACTCGAGTTTTCTACAATCGAAAATCCATATCCGACTAGTCGATTATTTTATTAAGTAATAAGTATAAAATATCTATTCCATAAATATTTTTAGAAACTGAACGTCCTGCATACCGAAAAGATTATATCTACGAGAAGGCTTTTAAGACGTTTTATAAACTCCACAATACTGCGGCGACGTGGCCCGATGCCAAGATACGATGCGAAGCAGAAGGCTCCGAGTTAATGATACCTGAATCGTTAGACGAGGCGGACGCAATGCCGGTGCTAATCACAGCCGTACTTAGCAAATACAACGGGGTTTATGTAGGAATACATGACTTGTATTCGGAAAGGACATACGTAACTTTGAAAGGTCATTATTTCGTTCTATAGTACGTGATTGCTTCCCTTCTTGCTGCAATCCAGAACCTTGATAGTCCTAACGAAGATATGTCATTATTTAACTTTTTTGTTATTACTTATGTGGGAGTACGAGCTCAAGATGCACCTGATCTGCGTACCAATACCGATAGTCATCATGACATGAATGCCACCATGCACCTAGTATTCTCTTACAGCTGTTAGACCCTTCAAACCGTAATGCACGACTGTTTCGTGACATAAATTGTCAGAATGGTGGTACTTCGGTAAGTATCGCAGGTAGCCTTGAGTGGCTATTCCGCACGGTTTGGTAGATGAGCTCATAGGGTTCAACCTGGAAGGACTTGCTAATACTAACCATAGCAAAACCAGTGCTTTGCTGAATCTACTATCGGATGGGAATCGCGACCCACTGAGAAGATTCCGCGAGATACACATTGGGTTATGTCTCTGGAATGAATATGAGCAATGTAATGGGCGTAGTCTGATTTGTTTTAAATGATAATTAAAAAGGAATTGACCATTCCCTTCTAAAAATGTATCTAAAAACAAACGTCTATTAGGTATAAAAGAAAGACTAGAATAGTCGCATCATTATTTTAATCGATAAGCTATTGCTTAACGACTTGTTTTTATCTTATTAATTAGAGTAAACCAAAATCATAAAACAGTTTAAAAAAAAATTATGAATGTAATGTTGCTATCGATGTAATTTTTTAGGAAAACTCATGCAAGACACCATTTTGAATTTACTTTGGGAGAGAAATGAGCCGAGACCCAACGGTGGTCGATGTTTAGCAATGCAACGGAGCGGTCGCTTTTTCGTGAACCCATGTACACAGCCATTACCGTTCATCTGCAAGACAAAAGCGGAAAAAATAACTTATAATAAAGAATGCAAATCGTTCGATAAACGTGAGTGTGATTGTAGATATACCTTAAACTAGCTCCAGAAATCTAAATAATAAGATCCAATTATGTATTAGGTCGTCGTGGCCTAAAAGATAAAACGTTCGGTGCATTCGTATCTTGCGATGCATCGGTGTTCGAATCCCGCTGGCGGCTACCAATTTTTCTAAACGAAATACGTACTCAACAAATGTTCACGATTGACTTCAACGGTGAAGGAATAACACCGTAACTAATAAAAATAAAGGCAGGGTTGTAATAACGCGTAGATACAGGTTTACAATTCACATTAAAACTAGTACCCAGGATAGGAATTGGAGTTAGATAAGAACTATAATCACCTATTCATCAAACTTCTTTTACAACTAGCAATGACATCACAATTATACTGAAGTTATGATTGTTGTGTACTTCTAAAATATAGGATGGAAACTGGGCTCGAAAAATATTTGTTTCTATATGCATACGGAACCGCAAACATGGTATCAAGCCTACATGACATGTTTGGCTTCCGGTGGACATCTGCTTATAGTTAACGATCGCAATGAAGCCAAATATGTGAGGGATTTGTTTAAAGAAACGCCTGAAAGGAGAGTTCCGGATAACGAGTTTGCTTTTTTGGGCTTCAGCGACCTATTTCAAATGCATAATTTTAAAACCATACATGGTAAGCTGCCTTAATTTTTTTTCATTGATTTTTAGAAGACGTCACTTTATGAATGTCTTCAGATTGTACATTACCTATTAATTAGTATTAGTATGGATTATGATGGTTTTTAGTCAGTATTCGCCTAATGGTCAAAATTCGAATAAGCTTTTTTTTAAATTCATTTTTGTTTTTTGTTTTTTTGTTTTTCAAAAAGCTGTTTCGAAAAAGTTTTTAATAAAAAGAATACACCTCTTACAATAGTTACAAAAAAAGAAATCGGTTCGGTTGACAAACTAAAGAAAAAGATACTGTTTTGTCTTGCTTTTGTTTGAAACTATTTCCAACGATTCGATTGGTGGCACTGGGGCTCGTCGTCATTAAGACAAACGAAAAGGAAACCCAATTAATTGGTTTATCTAATTGGTCTGCCTATTAATTAATAATTATTAGTATAATTACTATTTCTGTGCACTGCTTACGTTTTTCTATTTTTATTGCTTATATGAGTGGACGAGCTCACAGCCCACCTGGTGTTAAGTGGTTATCGGAGCACATAGGCATCTACAACGTAAATGCGACACCCACCTTGAGATATAAGTTCTAAGGTCTCAGTATAGTTACAACGGCTGCTCCACCCTTCAAATCGAAACGCATTACTACTTCACGGCAGAGATAGGCACGGTGGTCGTACCTACCCGTGCGGACACACAAGAGGACCTACCACCATTACGTAATGAAGTCTAATAAGATGCTTACAGTCAATGGTTTTTTTTTTCTTAAAGATCAGAAAATCGAAGACGTAGGCTACTCCGATTGGGATGTCAAGTGCTCCCAAAATGACAAATCCGTACCCCAACGCTGCGGTGGTGTTCGACGAAATGGTCTTCTGACCACCGGTGACTGTAACGTGCCGGCCATGTTTTTTTGCGAAAAACCCCTCAATGCAACGGTCTCCAAGCAGGCGTTACGACAAAGAGTAAAAAAGGCGAAGCCTGCACTGCAGAGCCAAGCACAAATGAATTCTGCAGACGGTCTTTTTGAAGATATTCTATAATAGCTCTACTGTCTGTACACTATTCGTGGCGACAAAAAATAAAAATACAGTCTTTGCTGCCACCATTTTTAATTTATTTTTAATACCTTGTCTCGCTATAACAGTGAAACATTCGAATACATGAATGTTTGGTATTTAGCGATAATTTTCATTATCTATTTTTGCCAACAAAATATGTATACAACATACAAAATAAAGAAATGCAAAGATTTATATTTTGGTTAGATGGAAGATCGCACAAAAGAAAGTTGATGATTTTTCAGATAATTTCCGAGAACTTCAATAGTTAATGCCCATGCTTTAGAAGCTTCTTCATCACTTCGACATTGTTTTGAGGGAGTTTTTCTCGTACAATCACTGTAAGTAACAAACTATTTTAGTTTCAGTAATAGATTTTTAAACAAAACCAGTAATCTTGTAAACATGTGTACTTATATCTTCGAAGAAAATGTTGCTATTACCTATATTGATTGCGTTGTAGTTGTAATCGGTTAAGTAGTTGATTGTAACAACTACTTAACCGATAGGCTGAGCATGCACACTTAATTTTGAATAAGTAATCCGGAATACCAGCGTCACTGCGTGGCCGGCGAGGGTTCTTGGAGTAGTAGTTGTAGTATTGACCGCATTGGCCTTCCTATCTCTTCCTAGCTCTGTCTCAAGCGGAGATCGGACGTTCGGAGAGAGTGCAGAAAAACAGCTTAGTGGGTGGCTACGGCAATCCCACAAACTCCGCTATTCTTCTACACGCCATTTCGGATCCTCCCGATCTATTAACGGTGTTTTTAGGTACTCCAAGCACCGGTCATCGTTCTCGTCGAACCCGTCGCTTTCGACGAAGGGCTCGGCGAGTAAATTAACCCACGAACACAGCCCACTGAGTTTCTCGCCGGATCTTCTCAGTGGGTCCCGTTTCCGATCCGGTGGTAGATTCTGCGAAGCACTGCCCTTGCTAGGGTTAGTGTTAGCAACGTCTTCAGGTTTGAGCCCCGTGAGCTCACTTACTAGTTCGGTGAATCTAGAATAACCCCTCGAAGTTTCTAGAAAAGGTAGGAAAAAAGAGGGCTCTGATCATAGATTCGGCAACCGTTCTAAAAAATCACAGCATGCCAAACTTAAACTACCCCTAATAAATAAGTATATGAAATTAATGAAAATAACACAAAAATTCACTTATCCTGTTGATCCTGACTCATATTTTCAAATTAATCGGACGTCTTGAAATTGAAATGTGAGAATGATGTTGAAAGATTCTGTTACTTAGGTCTTAGATAGATAGTTAAGATCAGGCTATTCAAAACTTACGATCATAGTACCTGTAATAAAACCCACTTTCGTTGGCACAATCCTCGTCGACGGCACAATAGATACTGGTCTGAGCACCGCACCGAGGTGACTTTATGAACCAGTACAAAACGTTGTTGAAGAGCCACGAAGCTCCAGTCCACATGGCTGTGTTTAAATGTCGACCGATTCCCGTGCTGATCACACCCGGATGTAAGCTGTACGTAGTTACATTGTTAATATTGTGTTCCTGTAATTTTAAGAATGGGTCGGTCGCTCGTTTGGGACGCGACTTGTGTAGATACCATGTCATCGACACATCTTCCTGCGACTAATTTTAACGCTGGCAGCGCTGCTTCAACGGCTAAAGGCCTCAAACGGCGGAAATATGAAAATATTTCATTTTTGTTCCATTTGGGGTAGAAGCTTTGGGCCTCTGGGGTCCATCTGCTAAAAGCTTTTTAAGGACGCCACAAATAGTTTTTTTTAAGGTCTTTAAAAAAAAACTATTTGAGGCCTCGGGAGACCAGAAGGTCGGTACGTATTTTGCACAAATAATTAGCATTGCTATCCAGCGTGGAAATGCTGCCAGCCTTTTGGGAACGCTGCCAACTGGCGGTGACCTAACACAGATTTTCTATTTATAAGTAGCTTTACCTACACAATTGTTATATAATATATTGATACTACAGCTTAAAAAAAAATGTACATAATATGCAATTTATCGGCGACTCGGTAGTGCAGTGGTTAGCGACCTTGACTGTTGCGCCGATGGTCGTGGGTTCGATTCCCAGATTAAACATTCTTGTGATAAACAGATTTTTTTGGTCTTCGTGTAGGTGTTTATTGTCTACATATGTGTATATATTAAACGTATATAAGTATGAATGTCATTTTCTGGTACCCATAGCACAGGGAATCCTAATTTGGGGCCCGATTAACGTGCTTCATTAATTCCCAGTTATTTATTTATTATTATTTATTTATAATAAACGAAACATCACTCACACGTACGCACATCTAACCGTCCGATGGATTCAAATTGACAATGATTGACACAGATACTCCTTTTGCGATGTAGATGGATTGAATCTAATTCTATCATATTATGGATTATTCAGTAGATATAATTAAGATTTCTGGGGTACAATTGAAATTTCCTGCTCGTGTCTTAACGTTGATAGTGGCATTCATATTTTAATGTATATGAGTTTCGGTAACCAATTAATCATAGATAGGCTGTGAGATTGTAGAAAAACTAGAAAAAGGTATAAAATATATAAAATCGAGATATAAAAGATTAGTAAATTAATTAATTACCTTTAACTTGAGAGCTAGTGCCTTGGCAAACAGAACGTTCGCAGCTTTACTCCGGCAATACGCTTCGTAAGCATCGTACGGTCTCGACTCAAAGTTAAAATCATCCACGTCGAAGTTATATTCTGTAATAAAATTATCTAACAATAGGCATGATGACTAATTTTCAATATCTATTCTATGACATTCAGGAGTATCTATTATATCAAAAATATATCATATTTCTGTAGAAAATACAGATTAGTAAACTTCAGTACGTCAATAGTAAACTATGGCCGTTTTCCAATTACAGCACAAGAGCGCATTATGCGGCATAATGCTCAACTAAGCTTCAGCATAATTCGGCATTGCGCGTCACTGAGTCGCATTATGCTCTGTAATTAACCATTACTTAATGGTAGTTTTCCAATTACAGAGCATCATGCGACTCAGTGACGCACAATGCCGAATTATGCTGCCGATTTATTAAACAAGCATCTAATGGCCGTTTTCCAATTACAGCACAAGAGCGCATTACGCGGCATAATGCTCAACTAAGCTTCAGCATAGTTCGGCATTGTGCGTCACTGAGTCGCATTATGCTCTGTAATTAACCATTACTTAATGGTAGTTTTCCAATTTGTTCCAAGTTTGTACATATTTCGTAAATCCTACAATGATGTGTGACCTTAGTTGAGGACTAAAATTTACCTTAATTGAGGTCTAAAATTTCATAAGTTCAATATTTTCTGAGATTACAATCTATCTCTTGAATAACCAGTAATATTTATTTTAATGACTGCTTTATTCATTTTCCAGTTACCACATGATATGGTCAATTATTATGGACAATGGGTTTGGTGTCGCAGGTTCGCATGAAACCAGGCTGTATTCTCACAAAATTTGAATGCCAGATAGATAGAAAAAAACGAACAGCTAAGATTATTATAGATAACAGAAAAGATCAATGTAATTTACTATTTACCATAATTTATCAATTCAGGCAATAACCATTAAAATCATTGTCTGTTATCATACATACCTAATATTTTAACCCGCTAAGCATTTATTATGGAAAAAGTAAATTATAAAATATCTACTAAATACTTTGTCAACTTTGTTTGATTTATTGTTTGTAAAAAGAAGTGCAGATTGTATTTACCTAGGTATGTTATTAAGTCCTGCATTTTATTTGTTTCTAATAATTCTAATAATTTAATAATAAATAATAATTTAATTTAATTGATTTAATAGAAAAACATACTAATATTCCTGCTAACAATGTGTAAAGAAAATTGATTAAATAACGCATTTAGAGAGCTTGCTGATGACTTTTGTGGAACTTCTGTTGTGGAAATGGTAAACTACGATTATAAAAAGTATTTTAACGACAGGTAAAGCGAAAACAATAGTTTTTTTATTAAAATTGCAGTGATCGCGCGTAAGCTCAAACGAAACAAGATGACGTTTATTAAGGCGTGACGTAATTCACTCTGATTGGTGTTTAAGCTATCATGGCTGATTGTTGTATTTTGTAGATATATTTTAATAAATAAATCATCAATCTCGTCATTAATATGAAAATAAATATTTTTTTCAAAATCCTTGAATCCTGTTTCTTTAGATCAATTTAATATTTTGGCGATACTTGACTACTGTCATCATGCATATTGTGGTTCGTACTCGCAGGCAACGAAACACGTCGAAAAATATGTCGATTACCCATATAGCGCCCACTGCAGTAAAGATTGGAAGCTCTACGCCCGAAATTGCAGCCCAGTATGTCTTACGGTAGTATACCTGGAGCATAAACTAATTTAATCGACCAATCTAACTCGAATGGACGGCGTTCACAATGCTGTGCAGAAAAATTTCATCCCAATAACACCGTGTCTCACTCGTAGACGTAAATCTTTGACCAGTATATGTTGTGACAACGTGATCTTGCTCTTGGACCACGAGTGACTTTGAGCCTTATAACCAGAAAGAGGTCAATAGATAGGTCTATGCTTGGCGTTTACCTGCCTAATCAGGAATAATGGAGATACTCAAAAGAACTATGACGCTCGAGAAAGCCCGAAGGACTGTGAGGTTGAAGTGGTCGTTGGTCGTTAGGGACAAGAATTTCTCTATCGCGCATCGGAAAACGCAGCATGGTAAGGCCTCCTAAAAGGTAGACCGGTCGAAGATGACGGGAACGAACTGGTTGAGGGCAGCGCAAGACCGGTCATTATTGCGAACTTTGGGGGATGTCACTGTCGGCTTCTGTTGGCTGATATTGATAAATGCGTGAATTTTTTACTATCTATTTTCTTTACCATGAAAACTCGTAAATAATAGACTAACTTACTTTCGTGTAACATCGATGAGACGAATACGATTCGAGAAGGTCCGTCTTGTATAAGTCTTGGTAGTAGGAGCAGAGTCAAAAGTGCGGGTGCAAAGTGATTCGAACCTATGTGAGTTTCGAAGCCATCTTTCGTTTTAGATTCAGGACACATCATCACGCCAGCATTGTTGATAAGTATTTATTTGTATTGTGGCTTCACTGCCAAGTATTCTAGCGACAAATTCACGAACTGACTGTAAACTGCAAAGATCAAGGTGTTCGACTATTATCGAGCCCTTTTCTTTTTCACACTCAGTTTCTTTTTCGATTAGCGATTTTGCTATTTCTGCTTTTGTGAGGTCGCGACAGGCCATAATCACTCGTGCTCCTGAAACCAAAGTGGTTAGTGACGTCATTCATGTTATGATATCTACGAATGCAATTAATAATATTATATCAATTCCAATATCATACTATCTTTTGTTATAATTAATTTGGTAACTGGGCCATATATCTCGGACTATGTTCTGCCTACCTTCCACTGTTGGACAGGCGCCTACTTATCTTCAACACAATTATGTATTTAAAGTTTAGATGCTTGCTAAGCCGCTTCGTAGCGGTTCCGTGAAACCTCCTCGAAAGCGTAAGAATTTATTAAAGAACAAAATTTTAAAGTTGAAACTCACGCACGCTCCTTCCGTTTCGTTACGCAAAACACGCAAAATTAACAAAAAATATTAAAATTCAAATTAAACTCACTTTTTTTCACCGCCCTCGCACCACATCCTAACTAGCAACTAACGTTATAAAATGCTCGCCTCCCGTTCGCCGCTGAAAAACCATTAAGGAACCCTTTCGCAGGAGAGGACTTGGATTTGGAGAACATCACGTCAATCACGAGTTTTGTATTCTATGAATCGGGCTGTGTTTTCTCAATTAAATCACATCTCCAAATACCTACCGACTGCGCATCGCATCGCATAATTGTAAACCATTTTCCAAGAGCACACATGCTATCTTCTATACTATCTTCTTACCTCTTAAAAAGAGATCTTTCACAGTTTCTAGGCCAATGCCCGAATTGCTTCCCGTAACTATTGCTGTACAGCCTTGTAAGCTGCGTTTGCTTTTACACCAACCGCTCAAAAAATCCATTTTACACTATTTCTTTTTAACCTAAATTTTCAATAGATTTGATAATATTCTTATAATAGCTTGTGGTACCAACTTGTGTTTTCCAACCAACTGAGATAGAATAAATTCACTATTATTTGAAATTATTTATAGGTCCACAAAAAACAATAAACGTACGAACCGTAACATAGATAATAACCATTTGTCTTATTTATAAAGCACATACAAGTATATATAATGCGAATCCCTTCCGTCCGCACTAATAGGATTAGACTTCAACGTTTCACGTGCTACTATAGGTACACTGGAGTATTAAAATATCTACACGTGTTCAAGGGGAAATATATTTTTTAAGAAATCGAAAAATGAAGAAGCTTACGACCCACCCGCTGTTAAAGGATTAAAGGAGCCTGTAAACATACATTAATACGAGATTATTCTACCATGGGATATAAGATCTGAGTCTCTAGCGTACTGTGTATAGTATGACGTATAATATGTACCTATAGTTAAACTATCCTCCTCCAATGGTTCCATGTTTGAACGTTGTGACCACCTCCATCAATGACTTTCATCCTCACGATGTTGTGTCATCTCGTCCTGTTTTCGGTTACTCTGCAGATGGTAGAGGTAGAGGTAGAGCTAGGTAGAGGGTAGTGCTGATGTTGGGAAAGGTGATAGTAAACAGTTGAAGTAAGTAGTATAGTAAGTAGTATACTAAACAGTTGAAACTTAGACCTAGTAACGTGCTGGATGGTGGTAGGTGTCTATTGTGGGCTCACATCGATTTAACATACAACGTCTGATTTAACCGTCAACTTTATCTAGAGCACACAGCACAGGTGAAACTCTATTTAAAACTGATTGACCAGGCATAGCTTACCGGTATTCTTAATGCTATTAACGAAGAATATGTTAAGCTGGCGACTGACGTAACGTTACGTTACGACGAAATATTACAGGTATCCGCGTTCAGGGGATACGCGGGATGTATGGGAGACTTGATGGTCTGCAGATGTTGGGAGCAGATCGCAAAAAAAAGAAAAAGGAAGGATACGAAGAATATTTCCGGTTACGAGAGGTCACTCGAAATCGCCAATCGACATTGATATCGACAACAGATTCGATTTCACAGTGCCAAGAGGAACATCTTACTTAATGATTTAACGTATGCTTTACTATATATTTTACTTAATTCATTATAGTTAGATTATTTTAAAATCAACAGGTGCACTTGTCATAATGGCTTGTCGAAATACTAACGCAGGAGAAAAGGCTAAATCCTCAACATCAAAACATCAAAAGACGATAAAAATCGTTCAAGATCTCTAGCTGTCAAACATTTAGATACTTGTAGCTTTAAATTGGTGTAACATTTTGCTGATGCCATCCTTGATAGTCCTGAAAAAATTCAGATCCTCGTTAATAATGCCGGAGTGATTATGTGCCCAGAGAGCTATACAGAAGACGGTTATGAAACACAAATAGCAACAAACCACCTCGGTCCGTCTTTGCTAACGCTTCTGTTGCTGCCGAAACTCCCTCCTGACAAACCCCTCCTGAGCAGTGACCTCGAGACACTGCTCGGTATGGGGGACGCGGTCATTCTGGCAGGCGATTTAAATTGCCACCACACTAGGTGGAACTGCCATCGCACGAATGTGAACGGTAGGCGTCTCGACGCGTTCATAGACGACCTCACATTCGAGATATTCAACCCCCCGACCCCCACGTGCTATCCGTACAANAAAAAAAAAAAAAAAAAAAAAGCTGCCGAAATTGATCGAAAGTGCACCGTCAAGAATAGTATTCGTATCGTCATTGATGCATTTTTCTGCTTTTTTTTTCGGGCCAGGGCCCGAACCTCCTACCGGCTCCCCGCGCCGAGGGAGCGCGCGGGGTACGCGGGACTTGACGATCTGCAAGGTGTTGGGAGCAGACCGCGGGCCCAAGGAATTTTAGGGCCCACCCACTAAACGACTCCACTGCACTCTTCGCCCATGCGTCCGATCCTCTCCGAGGTCAAAACCGGATGAGGTAGGGGGGCTACCGCGGTCAATACTGCAACCAGACAGCGCGGCTCACCCCATAGACGCCCAGCCGACGGAGCCTTCGAGGCGAATAGGCTCTGAAACGTCGGCCGTACGGCAACCCGTCAGGCCGCCCAGACGGTGCCGCTGGTGTCCCGGAATACCCCGATGGACCAGAACCAGCCTGCCGGGTCGGGACGCAATACACCGTCAACCGGTTGTTCTTTCGTATCTCCTTGGCAGCACGCTAGAGTGCTGGTAGCGCGCCGCGCGGCATCATTGATGCATTGCAATAAGGTTTTTTTTAATACCCCTTTTTGGCAGAAGATTATACGGCCCACCGGATGGTGAATGGTTACGGCCGTTTACGGACGTCAGTAATGGCTGATGCAACATGTATGGGCGATGCCTTCAATGTCGCTGCGCTTTTAAAATACAAGGACCAAGCAGTTTCCCCTAGAGAACCGCGATAGAGCGACTTTTAAAAATTGGTGTTTTCATAACATGCATACAAAACACGTGACATGATCCGTTATGTAAGTATAATAGATGAGACTGCCTTTGAGTTACACAATGTGTTGTCCATATAACTCTGTACGTGTGGCGGTAGCCATCACAGAACAGAACACAAGATATTTGACAGATGCCTGAATCTCGCTTACGACATTTTTTCGTGATGTCAATCCGTGTAAGCTGTTAAAGTTTTACGATTATGAAAACATTTTCAGTTGTCACGGGAAACTGTGAAGATTTTACGGATAAAAAACACCTTATAGTACCTACTCTGTTCGCTTATTGCTTACTTTGGCGCCCTGGCAGAGAGGGAGGTGTCTCATCTGGGATGCAACTTGCGTAGACACTTTTGCTGCCAGTCATCTAAGTCGCACAACTCCAACGGCCGGCACGCCCAAAAGGGAAAAATACGCGCCCCTTATCGATAATTTTGTGCCGTTGGCTTTTGAGACGTCTGGTTGTTGGGACGCAGAAGCGAAAAATTTTTTTGTCGACGTAAGCCGGAGACTGAAGGAGAGAGGTTTTGACCCCCGCTCCGGCTCGTTCCTGGCGCAGGGGCTGTCCATTGCTATCCAGCGCGGTAACGCAGTTGGTGTAATGGGTAACTTTGGATCTGGCAAGTATACGATAATACTCGTCATTATTTTCACGTAGCTCCAGTGTCGTGCTGCTTTCACTTTTGCACATGATTATATTAAAATAATTGCATATTTAAAAACTATATACCAAACACTACAGGGGAAGGTAACTATTAAAACAGCAACTTGTGAAAAAGAAAAGTTTAATTGTAAATGTAATAGAAAAAATCACTTAGGTATGTTTTCGTAGTATAACAAAATTCTAAGCCTTTGAATTCACGCATACAATACAGACCGATTTCTGTTTGGAAGACTTTTTTATGAACAATTTCTACACTTACAATAATTATTACAACTAGATTCATAGAAAACATGTTTTTATTATGTTTAAAATTAATTCGTATATGTACGATTTATATCTACGATATATTTTTGAGATTTGTGAGGTCTTCGGCAGTAAACGGGTTGTAGTCTCCGAGGCCTACTAATTCACATGAAATCTCCCAGAGCTTTTGTGCATTCTCGTCGTTTATAACTTTAGCAGGATTAGTTACAGCGCAGTCACTGAAATTATTATTTTTTTGTATTAACTCATCACATATCTTCCATGTAAAGTATCAAATATACTATTTTGCTAATATTAATAAGGTTGTGGTTTCGTTGTAGTGAAATGGTACCACCAATTAACTACAATTTTGTATTTAATTAAAAAGTGATCTAATACCGATTATGTTAATAGAGGACCCAGCGTATGTCTGCCTCGAACTCAATCGAACGAAAGCATTTACGAATGCCGTCGAATATTCTAGATGATCCAGCGCAGGGCCGTACTCAGTGCAGGGCCGCGCTCGGGCTCGCCACAAGGTACCAACAATTATTATTATCCCCGGTCCCGGTGGCTACCGCTAAGTCAGCCAGGATGCATTGAAACTATACCCAGTAATAAGGAATGGTGATGCTAATTGAATGACACCATTAATAAAATTGCATCCAAAAAAGTATTTTTACAAAAAAATAGCAAGCAATGTAATGCAAAGTCAAGACAACTAGCGCGCGCGTTCTACGATCCCAAGCGACATCTGTCAGTTTGCTTTGCGTTACAATGAGGTTTTACTAAAGGCGAACTTAGTAAAACGACAGGTCTGACATTTAATTTATTATAATAAATGAACATTGTTTTCCGTTTCCGTTAGAGTAGTAATTGATATTAAATGGTCGTAGTAATTGATAATAAATGGTCGTAATGGTAGAGTAGTAATTGATAATAAATGGTTAACTATTCACAAGGTTTCTATTATATAAGACTACATTTTTAATAGCCTACGACGTATGCAATGGCGCGCACTTTATGTTTCAGGATCGGCTTTAAGGTCTTTTTTTAAATATTTTTTAGTTTTTTTTTAGTTATTTTAAGTAATAACTGTTTAACTTTACCAAGTAAGGAATATCGAAAAGAAACAGAACAGCTTTAAAGAAAAAAAGGTGGAACGTTTTTGTAAACATATCTTAAGGATAAGAACTGATAAGGAAACCTTTTTACCTATAATATAGTCCAGTTTCGTTTGCACATTTTTCATCAATCGCACAGTATATTGTAGTTTGTGCTCCTAATTGTGGGGACTTCATAAATGGAGACAAAAAGAAGCCAATTAGAGATCTTGCACCTCTGAACAGGGTAGCATTTAGGTGACGACCTAATTCAGTTTTTATCACACCTGGATGAAGACTGTAGGTGTTTACTCCTTCAATGTCATACTCCTGGAAAGTTTAAAAAGTCAATATTCTATCAAAATTTTTACTATCACTTGGGCCACAATGGATATTAATTTGATAGTGTCCGTTACTGGAACTAATAAATCTGGTATTTATTTTATTGTTTAAATAACTGGACGAGCTCATAGCCCACCTGGTGTTAAGTAGTTAACAGAGCTACTGAAAAGCTACCACCCGCCCTGAGACATGAGTTCTAAGCCTTAGCTTTATAGTAAAACGTCTGCCCCACCCTTAAAACCGAAACGCGTTACTGCTTCAAGGCAGAAATAGGCAGTTACCCTTACGGGCTTATTAGGCGCCGTTCCTACAGTAAAATGTGTTTACGGTTATAGTTTAAATCATAGTGTTTATATAAAAAAAGTCTGACTTTTATTATTGCATAATGGTATTAATGCATTGCATAATGGTACTGCTATACCAGTTTTCAAATTGGAACAGCTTATTGTTGTTCTATTAAAATTTATAATGCGTTAATAAAAAAAAGAATAAAATTATATAAAAAATACTTGCTTTCAACTTCTTAGCCAGTTCCATAGAGAATAAAATATTGGCAATCTTGCTTTGGGAATACCCTTCAGCAGGAACATATGGTCGATTTTTGTAATTCAAATCATCAAAATTGATGCCATATCCTATTGAAATAGTATTTTATTATGCATTACTATAATTAAGTAAGTCAATTTCAAAATTCTTTAAGCATAAAGCTATTAATATTCAAGGTAAAAAAAATAAAAAAAATAAAAAAATAAACATTATCCTATGCATCCCTTGCTTTGATGTTTATCTCAAGAGTTGCATCTGTATTTTACTGACACAATGTTTTATTCAAGGGAATAATAAGATGGGTGTCATTTTGATGAAATATACATGAAGTGTACTTACGAATATGAGCTCTGGAGGATACAGTTACAACCCTAGCCGGTTTACTGTTTCGAATTCTAGGTAAAAGCAACAGTGTTAAAAGAAAATGAGCTAAATGGTTTGTAGCAAACTGTATTTCGAAACCATCTTCAGTTTCTCCCTTGGGACACATCATCACTCCGGCATTGTTAACAAGGATATTGATTTGTGGTTCGGTATCCAAAATGTTTTGTGCAAATTCTCGTACAGACTTTAAGGATGTGAGATCACACTTGGCTATTACCAGATGCCCAGTTTCATTTATATTATTACAGGACTTTTCAATGTCAGCTTTAGCTTCTTCTGCTCTTTCTAAGCTGCGACATGCCATAATAACACGAGCACCTGGACAATTTTTTAATATATTTTTAACTCAATTCAAATTAACTCTATAAAGGAATTCATGTGTAACAGGTCCATTCTATTTGCAATTAAATGTAATATATTATATAAGACTTTGATAAGTGACCTGGACTCCTTATGTTATGAGTATATATGAGTATATATATACTTTTGATGAAATCTCAATTCAATACGATATAGACACTTCGAATCCAATTCAGTATTTTTTTAATGACTAGTCTGTTTTAAGTTTGTAGGCAGCGGCTCGGCTCTGCCCCTGGCATTGCTGAAGTCCATGGGCGACGGTAACCACTCACCATCAGGTGGGCCGTATGCTCGTCTGCCTACAAGGGAAATAAAAAAAAATAAAAAAGGTGGCATTCAGCTTGTGGAATCAGGGGAGTAATGAGACCATTTTAGGTAAATGGGCTCAAAACTCCTAAAAGTGAAAATATAATTTCATTTTAATTTCATATAGGTACCTAGGGAAATTTAACTAATCTTATAATTGATTCATAGAAAACAACAATTAAGGAAATTGAAATCCCACCCACCTCTTTTGTAAAAATCCAGAGCGGTTTCCTTCCCTATTCCGGTGTTGCAGCCAGTGATCAGTGCAGTTTTACCGACCAACTTTACTGTGCTTAAACATCGTCCACTAAATAAAGGCATTTTAAATAAATAAAACGACAACTTTCGCTAATTCTGTAAAACTGGCTGCTATGAAGCAACAAAACTACACTCTCGCGCTGACGTGGTTGTTGAGTAAAGGATAAAATATATTTATCAAGAATATCAAGTTCCAAACAGCTACGATCTCAGGTAGGTATGCCGTTTATATCCGTAACGGTACTCGGTATCTGTAGAATAATACGATGCCGCCGCTCCCCTTTTTACCAAGACTGTTTTCAATTCTTATATGCGGTACCTTGCTATACAGAATTATTAATATTAATTTAGACTTTAATGGTACGATGCTTACCGCGTAATCAAATAACATTTATGTAATATGAAAGTACCTAATAACTTAACAAGCACACATTAAAAGTTCCAAATTATTTGAAAACCCCTCTAAAACAGAGCACAGATTAACAATTATCACAGATATTATATAATTTTTTGTCTAAAAATACTATTTTTTAAATTTGTGGAAAACCTTTATCACAAAAAATTATTCAAATCATAAGTTAACAACATACTAAATCTGCTTGCGCTTTCCTATAAGTAGTACTGATAACTTATAAATTTTACACGTTTCTTTTTCATAAAATGCGACACCTGTAAATCCGTCATTTTATTATTTTCTCCGGATTAATGTAGTTACACCATGGAGTTAATAAGCACCTACAGTTACACAATGCTAATTACGTTTCCGATCCAGTCGGACAACCATATAGTCACCGTCGCCCTAAGCTTTTAATTTTGGATCCTCCGGATCAGCTCGTTTTTTTTAGGCATTCCAAGCACTGGCTACCGTTCTCGGCGAATCCGTCTAATCCGACATTCGATAAAGGGTTGTTCGAAGAGTTTGACGTGCAACTTAACCCACAGATATGTACAACCTACTGAGTAGTGCTGGGTTTCTTAACCAATCTTCTCAACGAGTCGCGATTTCTATCCGGTGGCAGATTAAGCGAAGCACTACCCATGCTAGGGCAGATGTTAGCAAAGCCTCCCAGATTGAGCCCCCTGAGCTCGCCTACACATTCAGTGAAAATAGAATAATCCCTTGAGGCTACTAGCAGAGGGTAGACAAAATAAAAACAACACCAAATTGTTACTTCTTTGTAGAAGTCGTTCGCGAACTCACGCTTTGCCACTTACCGATCACGGGAGGGACGTTTTAGTTTACGGTTGAAATTCTATGAGCATTATAGATAATAACTATGTCATTCAAGTGATTATTACTAAAATGTGCTCTTAGCGTTCAAATACTAAAAGGTAAGATTTGGTAAAATAAGATATAATAAGGTCCTTGATTACTTAATGAGCCGAGTCCCGCGATGCTACCCGCGATTATTGTCGTACCACGGGTAACGTCGCGGGGCGAAGCTAGTCTTAAAAAAAGTAGCCTAAGTTACTCCTTATATCATCAGCTACCTATCAGTGAAAGTCTCGTCAAAACCGGTCCAGCCTTGTCCAGAGATTAGCCGGAACAAACAGACAGACGGACAAAAATTGTAAAAAAATTTACTTTGGTGTATGTACCGTATATATATTCATATGCATGTAGTAAAAAGCGGCTATTTCAATATTTCAAACAGACACCCCAATTTTATTTATATGTATATAATGTATTTATTTATTTAAATCAAAATACAGTTAAGCTTTGTAAAACTAGAGCTCTTATAAAGAGAAACAACATTTAAAGCTATTGCTTCACCATTATTTTTATAGCTTTTTATATTTTAATATTGCAAAAATGCTCTTTATATGTCTAATATTCTAATGTTTCTTAATAATCGAAATTCTATTTGTGTCATTTAAAGAAGAATATTATAAATAACATATTAACCTCTTTTAGGATTAATCGTATAGAGGTTACATGTATAGATAAAAGATTAGGCTGTATGGTGTGATACCTTTACCTTTCCATTTGGAAAAATAAAATTACTACTATTAATGTTAATATAAACTGAAACTCATTCATTTTAATTAAATTAAACATTAAATTGTGATAACCATGTTTTAATCTTATAATTAGTTGTATTATCTATGTTTAACATTTAAGAAGCAACATCTAGTATGTATTATTTATTTTAAGAAATTACTCTACATTATAAAAAATTACACAAATTTGTATTATTGATAAGTTTGCTTTATTGCTTCGAAATTTAAGGTCCTCAAAGTAATTCCGCTAGGTTGAGAATAACTATGCACATGTTTTTGTTTCTTTTCGGGCTAATCTCTGAAATAGCTGAACCGAGTCTGGCTATTTATTTATTTTGTTGACAGGGAAATTAATTCACAGTTCACCTAGTGTTATGTATTAGAGCCTGGAATTCACATTGTGAATACTACTTACCTTGAGACATGAGGTCAATGTCTTAATTGTTTAGTATAGTGGCTCCTCCACACTTCAAACCGAAAATCATGACAAATTTTTAGATGTGTGTAGGGTAACACTGCTAACAATCATTATTCGATATAAATACACCCAGCATCTTATCCTTTAGGCCATAATGACCATGTTCCGAAAATATTCCCACCGAATAATTTTAAAACTGTAATATTAACGGTAAAATTAGAAAAGATAAGTTAAAGTTACCGTTTTCTGCTTCAAATTGTGAATAAAATAGTTACATGTTTCGCTGTCCAAACGTTTTAATCTCTGTTACAATATTTTTTATATTGTAAATTGAAGAATCTCAATAAATTATCAACAATGAAAAATTAACTATTCATTTCAGAACAAATGGAATATGATAATGATGATAACTCATGGAGAAGACCGTCCACCACTCAGCAGAATAAATGTCATCGGATTCCAAAGAGGTCGACCACAACTGCAGTAGTAGTGCTGGGCTTGGCGGTACTGAGCTGTCTCCTTGGATACTGCGTTTTGAGCGAAACATTACCTTATGAATCTAAAACTCTTCGTTTGGTTATTATCGTAAGTGGAAAAATCCCATGCACTACTCTTTTTTGCGTTGCATACAGACAGACAAGCATATGTACAATACGGCATAGCAAAACACATAGGATGGTTAGTATAATTTCCGATCAAATAGAAAAGATGTTCCACTGAGAGAGTGTCCTTTCTAGATAGAGCGATGTTCTTAATGTTGTTATATATTTAGCATCAAGTTCTCATCAAGAAGTGGCCAATGCCTTTGAGTGCTACTTTGCTAATATCCCAGCTTCTACTACAAAATCTTTAATTTTATCTCCTACTGTTGCCGAATCATTACTGCAAGATCATGTTGATAAATGTAGTGTTAACTTTAAGTTCACAAATATTGATATAAAGGACATAATTGATAATTTCAAGCTCATTAATATTAAGAAAACTGGTGATTAATGGGGAATTTCAGTTAAGGTTAGAAAATCCATTATTGATATAATTGCACCCTTTTTTTTTTTTCGGGCCGAGGGCCGAACCTCCTACGAAGTCCTCGCGCCTAGGGGATGTACGGGGTATGTGAGACTCAACGATCTGCAGGTGTTGAGAGCAGACCGCGGGCCCAAGGAATTTAGGATCCACCCACTAAACGACTCCCCTGCACTCTTACACCCGGCGTCCGATCTCCGTCCGGGGTCAAAACCCGGTCAGAGTAGGGGGGTTCCCGCGGTCAACACTACAACCAGACACGCGGCGCCACCCCGAGGACGCCCGACCGACGGATCGTCGAGGCGATAGTCGACGACCAACGGCGTCGGTCTCCGCGGTACGGCGGCCCTACCAGGCGGCCCGGGCGATGCCGCTGGTGTTCCGGGATACCCCGCTGGGCCAGAACCAGCCTGCCGAGTCGGAACGCGATACACCGCCGACCGGGTTGCTCTTCCACATGTTCGGCAACGACAGCAACGACGAAAATGCGGACCGCCTCGCAGTCCGCAGCCGCCGACGCGTCGTGCCGTCCTCCTGGTACCAGCGCGCTAGAGTGACGGTAGCGTGCGGCGCAGTCTCAACCCTTTAGGTCGCCCCGTGACTATCACAGGGAGGAGACTGCCTCCTCATAGGGGCCGGAGCTGGACAAACATCCTCCTCCGACCCCCGGCTCGACGGCGGCGGCACGTGCGCCGAGAGGGAGGAAGAGTTCTCCCTCTCCCGTTCCGCCGCCTCCTTCTGTGAGATGGTGGACTCGCAGAAGTCGAGCATCGCCTGCCAGGACTCATCGCTGCCGAGCGTCGCAGCCACGACGGTCGGAAGCGACAAGTCCGGTCCTATTTTTGCAACGAAGACGTGGCGCTGCTCCGCGAAAGCGGGGCAGTACGGGAGCGTGTGCTCCGCCGTGTCCTCGTTGCAGCCACTGCAGTGGTGGCACTTCGGCGTCGGCTCCCTCCGGGCGACGAGGTGCAGGTAGCGACCGTAACAGCAGTGTCCCGTGAGCACCTGCGTCGCTCGGAAGGTGAGACGTCCTCGGTCGCGATTCACCCAGTCCGAGAGGACCGGGCGGATCGCCTCGACGGTCAATCGCCCGTAGGCGGAGTCCGCCAGGCGGCGAGACCACTCCTCGAGCACGGCACGCCGAGGTTGAAGCTTCCGCGCTCAAACTTCCGCCGCGCCGGGACGCGGCTCCCCCCTGGAACGGAGATCACATCGCCACGCGTAATCCGCAGCGAGCGCCTCCGCTTCCAGGTCCCAGGGAGGCGTCCCGGCGACGATATAATCGCACCTTACCTAGCTACAATATTTAATGACTGTATTGATTGTGATGTGTTTCCTGATCTAATGAAATATAGTAAAATAAAACCATTGTTTAAATCTGGTAGTACTTTTGACCCATCTAACTTTAGGCCCATTTCAGTACTACCTACATTGAGTAAAAATTTTTTTAAAATTATTTTGGAACAACTTTTGAACCATTTCAATTCCAATAACCTGCTTCATAACAAACAATATGGATTCACTAGAGGTCATTCAACTATTGATGCAGGTGTAGATCTTATTAAAAATACCTATTTTTCAGGCTTGGGAGGAATCGCATGATGCCCTTGGGGTATTCTGCGACTTATCTAAAGCTTTTGATTGTGTTGAACATTATACATTGTTGAGGAAATTACACCATAATGGTATTAGAGGCGTTTCATTAGAACTTATTAAATCTTATTTATCCGGAAGAGTCCAAAAGCTAGACGTTAAAGGAAAGAGATCTTCCGGTGTCTTAATTATTTGTGGGTAATCCTCAGGGCTCCATATTGGGTCCCTTCCTATTTCTTGTGTATATCAATGATTTACCAAAGTTTATTAAAACCCGTCACGAGGTCGTATTATTCGCTGACGATACATCCTTATTGTTTAAAATTAAACGACAATTGAAAGATTATGACGATGTGAATGATGCTATCTCGCGCGTGGTACATTATTTTAGTGTTAATAATCTGTTATTAAAATTAAATAACAAAAAAACAAAATGTATAAAATTTACCACACCTAATGTTAGACAAGTAGACATTAATATTACTGTAAGTAGAGAGACACTGGAGCTTGTGGATTCGACAGTTTTTCTTGATATAACAGTTGATTCCAAGCTGCAGTTGGGGTCCTCCATATGCAAGTTAGCGAGTAGACTTAGTTCTGCAGCGTTTGCGGTAAAAAAAGACGAACGTATACTAATGAAGTTACGGCACGTCTGGTTCATTTCAGTTATTTTCATAGTGTTATGTCCTACTGCATTTTGCTATGGGGCAATACTGCCAATGTCGAAACGATTTTCATCCTGCAGAAGAGGGCTATTAGTGCTATTTATAATATGCACCCGAGGGAATCCTTGAGGGACAAGCTTAAGGAAATCAAAATTCTAACTTTAGCATCCCAACACATTTTTGAAAATTTATTGTACGTGCGTAAAAACATTGAGGAATTCCCCAGAGTCTGCGATTTGCATAATGTGAACACTAGGAACAAACAAAGCCTTGCGTTGCCGGCAGCTCAAATTAAGAAAATAAGCAACTCTTCTAGGGGGCTGGGTGTACAACTTTTCAACAAGATCCCACAAAACGTTCAATTACTACCTGTTCATAGATTTAAGAAAACTGTCAAGGAACGTTTGTGCAACAAGGCATATTATAAAGTTAAGGATTATTTACTAGATGGCACTATGTGGGAATGAGGCGTTCGCTCCAAGCCTTTTCATTTTCATTTTTCATTATGATTATTTTTTTATTATATTTTTTGACTTTGTTTTTTTATTTGTTGTGAATATTTTTACTTATTTAAAAAAGAAGAAAATGTTTGAGAAAAAACAAAAAAAAAATACCCGCTGAGTTTGTTTCGCCGGTTCTTCTCAAGACTGTGGCCCTTTTTGGAACCGGTAGTAGAGCTAACATTTTTATTTATATTTTGACATTCAACAAGTGTGTTATGCTGACATATAAGTTGAACCTCTGGAACTCTGTTTGGAACCTCTGGGTCTGCGGAGGGACTTCGGTTCCCTCTGTATTTTGTACCGTATGTTCCATGGGGAGTGCTCTGAGGAATTGTTCGAGATTGCTCCTGATACCGGCATCTCGTTTTTACCATCGCACCGACCGCCACCGGAGTAGAGTTCATCCATACTACCTGGAGTCACTGCGGTCATCCACAGTGCGTTTCCAGAGGTATTTTTTGCCACGTACCATCCGGGTATGGAATGAGCTTCCCTCCACAGCGTTTCCCGAGCGCTATGACATGTCCTTCTTCAAAAGAGGCTTGTGGAGAGTATTAAGCGGTAGGCAGCGGCTTGACCCTGCCCCTGGTATTGCTGAAGTCCATGGGCGACGGCAACCACTCACCATCAGGTGGGCCGTATGCTCGTCTGTCAACAAGAGCAATAAAAATAAAATAAATGATTTTGAATTTGAGCAATTATACTCTGTGATTAAAGTTTTTCCAGGTTTATTTTATTTTGCTTGTTGAAATTATCACACTCTTAGTTTTCTTAATCATTGTCTGCCTAGTGGTTTCAATAATTGTATTTATCCAGCTTGTAGTTTAGAATAGCTGAAAATTGTTCACTTAGAATCAGCAAAACAAGATATGTAGTTATATTTAAAAGGATTAAGTTATTGAGTAAGATTGGATACTATAACTATACCATTACTATATATGAAATATGGGGCGGTAGCATTAGCTTGGAATTGACAGCAACTCATATCAGGATCTTTTTAATAAACAGATAGAATTAATATTATTTCAATGTTTTAGTTGTTTCGTCATGGTGCCCGAACTCCGGTTTCAACATATAGAAGTGATCCCTACAGGAACTACCAGTGGCCCGATGGATATGGTAGTCTTACAAATGTAGGTATTACATTAAAGTCTAATATTTATATAATTTTATATTATCATAGATGGACAGACTAGCTATAGTACAGTAAGCAATTAATAGCGTTCCCAGGCACTATCAATGCTGCAACTCTATAAACATGAGCATGAATGAATCTCAATTGTGTTTCCATAATTCAATATTAAGTAAACGTCAGAGTTAGTAATGAAAATTGCATTTTCACAATAAATTTTAGCAAGTTGTGAGCTGCTAACTGATTCTTCTCAGAGGCTCTTCATTCTACAATGGTCTATCAAACTACACCTAATCATGGATAAACCATGATTATTTAAAAGTGCTTGTGAAAGCCATGCTGCCCATGTGATGGACTGACCAAATCAAGTCGGCAGTTGGCGGGTGTTGGCATGAGTGTATCAGGCTCACCACTAACCGGGAGAAGTGGTGATAGCTCGTGAGGCGTATAACGTCTGCCCACAGCAATGATACTGAATGATGACCATGAACACTCTTAACAAGATGTGAAAGGATGTGAAGGCCAAGTTGAATAAATAACTTTAATTTTTATTGATTGGTTGAATGATTTTTATATGGTATGGTTCCATATATATTATTGCACATATATATTCAGTATTATATAGAAATATATACATACATATTTCTATTCCATTATATTATATAGTATGTAATTATTAATTGAAGACTATGTAAAAATACTGGATATTCTGATTATAGTAATTAAAGTAAAAAATACTGATTTTTATATAAATCACAATACCACAAATTGGATATTGAATTAGTTTATTTTTAATTTTTTATTTAATGTATTATTGCTTAGATGGGTATGACTCACAGCCCTTATAGCGTTAAGTGGTTACTGGAGCCCATAGGCATCAACAATGTAAATAGCACCCACCTGGAGACATGAGTTCTAAGGTCTCAGTTTTTATAGTACAACAGCTGCCCCACTATTCAAACTGAAATGCGTTACTGCTTCATGAGAGAAATAGGCAGGGCGGTGGTACCTACCTGCGCAGACTCACAAGATATCACCACTAATAAAATGTAACTAAATATTCATAAATTCATAGTTTTTATTGATTTCAATATTCCACACTTTTTTTTTTCAATCCATATTTGACATTTTTCCTACACTAGCTAGGGTACTCTTAATCTGGATTGCATGACACATTCGGTCACCGGTGACAAGAACCCTTTGCCTGTTCCAAGCATGATCAATATAATATATACTTTGTTAGGGCGGAGGAAGTGAACTATTTTCTATACAATTCGGAATTTGAAAACGTTATTCAATTCAACAGGTGGGAAAGATGCAATTGTACGAATTAGGAAAGAAATACCGCAGCTATTATGCCAACTACGTACCCGAGGACTATTATGAGAAAAACGTGTACGTACAGAGCAGCGACAAGTCTCGTTGCATGATGAGTGCGTACACGTTCCTGGCGGGACTATTCCCTCCGTCGCAACGGCAAACTTGGCATGCGGAGTTGCCATGGCAACCAATACCGGTCCACTCACTGCCTCGACTTCTTGACAATGTAAGTTATATTCAGTTAGTAAGAGAGAAGAGTTTCTATTTCTTTTACTTCAGCTCTTGACCCGTCTGATCACAGTAGACAATTATAATCAGTAAGTCTAGAATAATCCGAGAAATTAATAAAACAATAACTAAAATTTAATTCAAACTAGCTGACCCGGCAGACTTCGTAGTGCCTCAATCGATGAATAAAAGACTTAAACTTTTGTACAATATTATATAAACTTAAAACAAACAAAAGGAATCCGTCCGACGGGGTACAAATCAAAAGAAAAACAAAATTGTTATTTTTATTTAATTCCGATTTTTTTTCATATTTATCTACCTTTTAAACCTTCTCTGGACTTTCACAAATAATTCAAGACGAAAATTAGCCAAATCGGTACAGCCGTTCTCGAGTTTTAGTAAGACTAACGAACAGCAATTCATATTTATATATATAGATTTATTACAACGAGTAAGTACTTGTAATAAATGCTCTACCAGCCAACTCTTACTTGAACTAGCCTTGATCGCTGTCCATAAATTGCTAGGATGATTCGCGCAATCCATTGAAATTGCAAGTTACTAACATGCACCTATTACTTGATATTAATAATAAATCCACTGTAATTGATCCATAGCATTCAATGTTTAAAAGTTTAAAAAAAAGTAATATAACCTATTCCTGCCAAAATTTACGCCATCTTCATTAATGACATTTCCTTGATTTATTCATGTTACTAGCAGAGAATATGGACTTAACTGGTCTCTGCGAATCTTAAGTAATTGCCTCCATTTTTACTATTCCTAATAACCAAGTCAAATATTTCAGTTAAATCCAAATTATTACCATATTCTGATTTAACTGATATTTAATTAAAGTTCACATAGTATATCGTGGTGTGTGATAATACGTTGAATTTATTTTAGATAGTGGCAGGCACGAAGCCTTGTGCGAAATGGAAAGCCATGTACGCGGAGCAGCTAGCTGAGAAAAATTCCGATCCGAAATTCAATGAGGTATTCGAGAATTTATCGAAATACACGAACCAGACGGTCCGCAGTGTTATCGACGTCGACTACTTGTACAGCACCTTGGCCACGGAACAGGAAGCTGGCCTCAAACTTCCGGAATGGACAAAAAATTTGTTTCCTCACAAAATGAGACTACCCTTCATGCTGAGTTTAGCTTTGCTTTCTTACAACGAGTCCATGCAACGGCTTCAAATAGGTATTATTTCTCAAAGACTTTTGTATATAACTGAAAAAATAATAGTGAGCACTTCTAACTGAAATAATAATAGTGTGTAACTATATTTGAGACCTTAGAACTTATATCTCCAAGAAGGTGGCGCATTTACGTTGTAGATTTCAATGGGCTCCAGTAACCACTTAACATCATGTGGGCTGCGAGCTCGGCCACCCATGTAAGCAATAAAAAATATATAAAAAATTATACAAATGTATAAAATGTCCAATGAGGTTTTATGGCTTGCATAAAAATTTTTTTACAAAACAGGTCCGATGCTCAACGAGATCCGTGAGAACATGAACAATACGTTTAATCCAAGCTCTGGGTCGGAACGGTTGCTGCTGATGTACTCGGGGCACGACGTGACCGTGGTCGCCCTGTGGAGGGCGCTCGGCTTCGGCGAGCTGCTGGAGCCGGAGTACGGAGCCAGCCTCGTACTCGAACTACACGAGGACATCGAACAGAATCTCTTCTTCGTTAAGGTCAGTTTATAACAAAACCGATATCGATAGAGATAGACGTTTCAATATCTACTAGTATGCTAAGAAAACAGCGTCGGAAAGCTTCTCCAAAAATCGGCGCGACACGATCACGCGTACCGAATCCAGATGACTGCAACACACAGCCGTCATCGCCCTAAACACGTCATTTCGGATCCTTCCGATCCAATCTCGGTGGTTATAGGCACTCCTGGCCTTGGTCACTGTTAATATCGAACTCATAGGATGAAAGAGTTCGACGTGCAACTTAACTTTTAAGACACAATCTCGTTTTTCTTGTCAGGTGACATCAACAGGTCGCGATTCCGTTCCGGTGGTAGATTCATCGACATTGCTTTTACTAGGGCTAGTGTTAGGAAATTCTCTCAGGCTGACCCTTGTAAGCTCGCCTATATTCCGTGAAGCTAGTACAACACTTTGAAGTTACTAATAATAGGTCGGGAGGAAAATACTAGTATGCGCTATACTAGGTTTCAATATAGATTATAACACGCAGCACAAAAAGCCTCCTATTTTAGGTCAGGCAACGAAAACGATTTTTAAACCCCGTTCACAAGTAGTTAACTAATTTTAGTATGTTATTGAATGAAAATACTAAAGTCTATCAATCATAAAACCAAACGGGTTTTGTTAATTAGGTAGGTTTTTTTTTTAATTTTAACTTGAGGCTCATAAAGTCACTCACGCGCCCATGCTTTGAGCTTACGCGTTTGCCAAGTTATGAAACACTTATCTTATACCTTTTATAATTTTTTTTTTTTTTAGTTTAGTAGAAAATTTAGTATACAGGGGATTTCGGGGCCGATAAATCGATCTAGCTCCGATTTATTTTCAGAAAATGTTTTATTCGTGTCTTCAATAATCAACTTTATGACTCTTCCCGACATCTATTAGCGAATAATAATACTATTTTTCATAATTGAAAGCAACTACCTAACTGTTTTAAAGACACCATAACATTAAAGCTATTTCAGCAGTAGGCGTTGTTAAGCCACCCGAATGAGTGTTTGGATTAAAGTTAGACCAAGAAAATGAATTGCTTATATACATTATTTGTGTCTTTTTAACTCACGTGTTCACTTCAAAATGCCTAAACGATCTTGGAATATTTCATCATTTTATCAATATGTAATTCGTATTTAAATATAATTTCTAAAAAACACAATTTATAAAAAAAAAACCGAGCAATGCTCGGTCATCGTCTAGTAACTATTAAAAGCACAACACAATAACAATTCATTTATCTTTCAGGCTTTCTATCGTAACAATACTAAAACAGAGATGCCGATGGAGCTCAAGCTGCCATTCTGCGAAGATCCATGTAGTTATAAACAATTTTACGACCACATAAGCAACCTGATTCCTGATGATTGGGAAACTGAGTGTGAGAATAATGTTCAAGGTGCATAAATAACAATAGATCTAATTTACACATGCAAGGATTAACATTGTTTAATCATATCCAAAGGTGAAAGGCTATTTCCGTTGCGAGATATTTTTGCAACTTTACAGGAGAGTCATTTCAAATTTAAAATTTGGAAAATATATCATGACAATAAACTTCTTCAGATATTCGAATGTGGTCAACATAATTGAAGTTCAATTGAATACATCGGATTGTTATACAAAATAAAACGGACCTTTAATTACAAAGATAAACATCGCGTATTAACGAAATGTCGCTTTAACCAAATAGCTTTTCGCCCCTTTATATTATGTAGCTAGAACTGAGTTACAATGTTATTCCATGCACCTGTCGAAATATAAGCTGGAGAAAATACAAAACACATATATCTTATGTTTTGCTTCTATGTGCCATTTGAATCTCATTCAAGAATTATGATAAATATAATAAATTTACATAAAAAAATCTACGTCCTTAATCAATTAATAATTTATTGCCAATTATTGTTGGTATTTACCAAGAAAATAAAAAAAAAAAAATGTTTTTATGTATATCTTTTTATTCATAAGACCGCTTAGTGTTTCATACTAACCCCTTTGATCACAAATAAAATAACTTATAGTTATTATAAAACGTGACTTCCTCATAAACAAACGTCCAATAAAAAATTGCCTAAAACAACATCGTGATACAGGTAAATAGGTTTTGCTTTGCAAACCTGTATTTTTACCCAGTGAAGTGCCAGCATCGAAACTCTTACTAAGAAGCCAAATATATGCCAAAATGAGAGCTGAATGTCTGAAACAATTCAGGAACTCAGTTTTAACACCACAATATACTCGTACTATATTTTTACTATTATAATTTTTTCTTCTTCGTATCTAATAAATATGTTATATTTTTATGTTGTGTATAAATGTGTATATTATTATATTATTATACATGTGTGAGAAAATGTATATTGAGATATGTATGTGTAAATTTTATATCGACGCTTGAAAAGCAAACGTGACTAAGCGACAATGCGTGAACTTTACAGTAGACTAATTTAAAGTTGAAATACCCGAAAAAATTCTATTTTAACGAATCTAGCTGTAGGATTGAAATGATTTTAATAGACCTAGAAATATTTGTTTTTGGCGCATCGAATACGGTTATTGCCTATCATTTATGTACAAAGCAGTTATTGTCGCTTAGTCACATTTGCCTTTCAAGCGTCGATATGTTATCATTATTATTATGATATAATAATATGTAGTGTTGTGTGTTATATTTATGTATGTATACTGTGTGTGTTTGTATATGCATATAAAATTATTATTATTTTTCTTATTTCCCAAAATGGAATGCACCTACATCAGCCTTGCTCGACTGGTAGAGAATACCTTAGGCATTAAGTTCGCCACTGTACTTTTGTGCATAATGAAAGAAATTTTTCACTAACAAACTACCTAAATATTTACATTATTAAATAGTACATGAATATTTTAATAAACTTATTATTGGATCGTTTTGCGATTATATATATGTATATATATATATTTTTTTTTTTATTGTACATATAATTGTTAACATTAATTTGTATTTGACTAACTACGAGACAACTATAGAACAAGAACTTTAATTTCTATATTCAGTTGAAATTGCAAAGAAAAGAGTCTTTAGCTAAGGTTTTGTTAATTAGTAATTTAGTGTTATTAATTCAGTGATAATTTTACGCATTGTTTTTATAAATAAATAATAACGTGACAACAGAAAACTAAACGAAGTAATAGGATTACACCCAGTTTAATTTAGTGTTTTCTGTTTAAAAAGTGTGTTCAATGTTGTATGTACAAAATCTAAAGAAAGGATTTTTATAGGGCTCAATTTTATATTAATAATGATATGTTATCTGCAATACCAACAAAAATATTATTAAAAAGTCATAAAACATGAACTCTATACAACTGTGCCTGTGTACAAATTCTGCAGGCAGCCACCAATTTTTCTTATGAAATACATTTACTTGCTTAAATCGTGTTCTCGACTATTATGACTATTACGACGATGGCACCATGTAATTTTTCATTATTGCTCATGTTGGTGGACGAGTTCACGACCCATCTGGTGTTAAGTGATTACTGGAGACCATAGACATCTACAACGTAAATGTCGCCACCTATCTTGTGAGACATGAGTTATGAGTCTCAAAAAGTTAAATCCGCAATACCTATAATTACTATACAATTAACATATTCGCCTTAAGTTTGAAGGTCGGTTTTCGCCTACCTAATTGCCTCGCGGGAAATTCTGGCTTCTCTATGACTGGTGGATGAGCTCACAGGGCTCAACTGGAGAGAACTTGCTAACATCTGCCCTAGCAACAGTTTTTTTTTTCCTACCTATGCTGATAGCCATGAGAGACTATTTCAGCTTCGCCCTAACGTTTGTAGGTGAGCTCGCGGGGCTCAACCGGAGAGTTGCTAACACTGACCCTAGCAAGAGCAGTGCTTCGCAGAATCTACCACCGGATCGGAAACGCGACCCACTGAGAAGATCCGGCGAGAAACTCAGTGGGCTTAAAGAGCTTCGCTGAATCTACCACCAGATCAAAATCGCGACCCACTAAGAAAATTCGGTGAGAAACTCTGTGGGTTGGGTGGTACCTACTTCGCATTCAATGAAAAACGGTAACCCCAACTAGACCGTGATCTCATTTCTAATTTAAGCTATAAAAAAATTAGAAAACATTCTTAAGTGATGAGTTAGAACCTTCTTAAATCTGGATGATGGTTTACAATGGTGGTCTATGACTTGTACTAATTATTTTGCTAGCGTACAATATTGATAGATGAAATTATTACAACGCACTCTTCCTTTTTAATACGCTTTTATTAGCTTCAGACGTATGTATGTTTGTAACGGAATATTTGAACATGATTTTGACCCCCTTCAAAACGTCAGATTAACTCGAATTTGGTATACTTATTAAGGACCGATGACAATTCAAAAAAAATAATAATGAAAGATTGAAATTCATCTAAAAAATTAAAAATAAATAATAGTTTTAAAAAACCAATAAAGTACGCTTTTATAGAAAATCGAACTAAAAAATAGAAAATAAATTTTAATAGATTTGAATTAAAAAGTGTTAGAAAAAATGATTTTATTGTAAAAAAAAAAGCGTGGGGTGCATGGTATTAGTAGTTATAAATATTTTGAACAGATATGAGTAGAAGGGTTATTCTGATAATATCCTGAAAAGCATCCACGCTATTAAAATTTATTTTCAATTTTTTAGTTCGATTTTTTATAAAAACTTACCTATTTAGTTAGTTTATTTAACTATTATTTATTTTTCTAATAGGTGTTTTCTCTAATTCTTTCTACGACATTGCAAAAATGTTTTCACAAACGTATTTTTTTTTTAATTTTATTTAATGTTACCTATTAAATATAAATAAATAATTTATGTATAAGTCGAAAAGTAGAAAACATCATAATTGATGATAGTACGTAATTAAAATGAATAAAAACATTGTTTTCGGGGTATAATAAATGTTGTTGTTATAATATGTGTTGTTGTTATATAATGTAATAATATTTAATTAAAAATAGAACAAAATAGATTAACAAATTTTTTAAATTAACTGATTGTTGAGTTTGTTTTTTACTAAAAGTCTATTTTTTTATTACTAAAATTTTATTATACTACACAAGTTAAATCGCATAATAATTTAATATGGAATAAATCATGCCAATGCCTGCTCGTTGTGTTCAAATCATTTATTCATTAAAATAAAAACATGAGGAAAAATTATTGTTTTAAATGTGTGGTTAATAAATTTATTTTGTGGAATAAAATCTGTTTTATTTTTTTGCATATTATTTTAAAGTGACATATGACTTATTATTCTCTACGTAATGACTGGTACCCTAAGGGCCATTCCACCTTAGCTCAGAGCTGATGATTCCATTAAAGGTCGATAGGCAGCGGCTTGGCTCTACCCCTGGCATTGCTGAAGTCCATGGGCGACGGTAACCACTCGCCATCAGGTGGGCCGTATGCTCGTCAACCTACAAGGGCAATAAAAAAAGTCCTACCAAAAGCAGTGGTTCACCGAATTTACCACCTGCTCCGAATCACGACCCACTGAGAAGATCCGGTGAGAAACTCAGTGGGTTGCTACTTTCTAGAGATGAAGGTCTCGGTTTTCTAGTGGAGGTGTAGGAACGCAGTAGTTCAATATAGCTTTGTACCAAACGATCTCATCAGACCAATTTTGTAAGAAAAATTACAGCTTTTTCGCTATTAGTCTCTAAATCTCGGTTATCGAGAATTACCAAGTTTGCAGTGCCAACCCCACGCCAGTCGAGTAAGAACAAATTTAAGAAGAATTAGGAGTCGTGTTTTTATTCTATTTCTTTCACAGTAAGTACATACTAATATTGTAATTACCAATCGTATCTCGTTAGGTATTTAGGTATAACGCAATATAAATTGCGGCCCACGTGGGCGGTAAGCTATAAAGAAATTGAAACAATATAAAAAATTTAAATCTATTTATTACAAAAAATGGACGTCACAATTTTTATTACTATTTTTTTTTAAATATTACATCGGTGGAATGATACATAAAAATAAAACATGTTTTAAAATATAAAAGACTAGTTCATTTAAGGCCTATCACATGGACGCGTAGTCGTAGAGATAGGCATACCAGTCAGTGATTTCAATAATCTACGTAATGTAATAATTAAATATTATATATTATGACGGATAAACTGATTCCATGGTGTTTTTAAAATGATGAAGTCAGCCTCGCTGACGCCATTCTCTTCATCATTATCATTGCCTTCCATGGTGACAGTAATTAATACTGACTCTTCCAATGAATTCTATTTATTACATTTCAAGTGTACAACGATAACAATACAGAGCTCCGCCTCGTCCGACTGCTCGAGCCGGAAGTGTTGCGCGACAAATGTTACTCTTATAACTAGTATAATATAACTTATTTAAAGTAGAACAGCGGGATAGTTTGTTCATTAATTTTCCTGAATATCGTCATAAACAATTGTTCACTTTTTTTATTGCTTAGATGGGTGGACGAGCTCACAGCCCACCTGGTGTTAAGTGGTTACTGGAGCCCATAGACATCCACATCACTTGCGTTGGATATATAACAACTATCCAACAATTTCAAAATTATCCAATTTTGTTTCTTTTTACTTGTGTTTTTTATGTATCTTTTAGCTTGTGATGTGTATTGTGTGCCTAATAAATAAATAAAAATAAAATAAATAAAATTTAACATTGAGAAAACAGTTAACTCTAACCATCTTAGTTAACTAAATTGCGCCGATATACCATTACAATAACTTAAAAACTATATTGTGCTCAATAGTTTATTTGTATTTGCCATTTTTTTTTTAAATCGTTGTAAAATAAGGTACTTTTATGGCAGTGCTTACATGGTACTAACATTTAACATACTTAGATCTATACTAGATAATATTTGTAACGAAAAAGGTTGAAAGAAAACTATCTAAAATAAAAGTTCTTGTCTATAATATATTGACAAAGTCATAATGTTGATAGCTGGCAGAATAAGTTTAGTATCTATAGCAGGCTGCCAAACGCTAGTTGACCATGGAGGATAGAAGTAAGGAGCACCATATCAGTGTATTAAAAAGTGTCCACTGAAAGGGAGCCAATATAGGTGGCGCCATAGTAACAAGAAGAAAGATTTAAAATACGATAAATATTGTTTATCCCCTTACCATCAACCAGCACTGCCGATGATTTCGCCGCCTCTGAGTCATCGCGCCAAGCCTTTAAAGGGTATAACAATTGTACATCTAATTTTCTAAGCCACTTGAAAAGGAAACATGGACAGCAAATGTATTGAGGAGTACAAATCATACGCCAAGAGAAAGAGAGAAAAAGAAAAAAGCGAAAATATTGCCAAAACCAAATTAAGCAAAATAAAGAAATCTGATAAAAATAAGCCAACCCAACATCAGTTCGACGAAAATATTTTGAAATATTTTATCAATTCTATGATTCCATTACGTGCAATAGAAGACCCATACTTTTTTAAGATTTTTACGGATTTAGAAATATCTGAAATGGACATAACACTTATGAGTCGACGTACCCTAGGGCCTAGCCTCCCCTAATAACTCCCACGAATAACGATTTAGCGCAGCCTGGAACCCACGGCTTCTTGCTGACTTTGTAAGAACGTCAGTCAACCTTGTGACAGCCCTGCCCTGTACCTTAAAGGCTACTCCTCCATCTTCTATTATTTTTATTTACTTTATTTAAATTTAATTAGAGTTTAATTGCAGGAACAATTAAAAATGGATTAATTGTTAACTGAAACGTCACAGTTAACAATCAAACAAGTGTTATTTTTAATTGTACTTTGCAATTAAATTTTTCCCAACATAATGCGCCACGCGTGATCTTCTTTGCATTTTTCACCGCAACACCCGCCTTCTTCAGTAAAACGGTGTGAATTGCATACACTACAACACGCGCCAGATACGCGCGATCTATCCCGCCTTTACACGGCCGCTCATTCCGCTGAGGAAAACAAACACGGGCAATCGCGCGCGAAAGAACGGGTAGCGTAAACAAAACTTACAAAATATAATCGCGCGCGAATGAGCGTGCAGGCTTTCCCGCGCATAATCCTGTACGCTCCTAAGAACGCGCGATAGAGTGTGTAAAGGCCGCTAATAGCTAATTTTTACAGGTGGACGCTTTTTCAACTTGTCCTGTTTATAAGTTGATGCTCCTTATTTCTACCCTCCATATAGTGAACATATTTTGCGGACCAGACATCTCATAAATAAGTACGCAATATAGGTAGGTAGTTTTCCAATTACAGCACAAGAGCGCATTATTTAATGTTCAAAAAAAATTGTAAGGCTTTCGTTTCGTCGTAGTTTCTTAGAAATAATCAATGGTAATTAAAACTGTGCTAACTTAGCGCACTCTGCTGATGCATTTGAAAACTAATTCACGTTCCAATTAAACTTCAGCATAATTCGGCATTGTGCGTCACTGAGTCGCATTATGCTCTGTAATTGGAAAACTACCTATCTAGTTAACACAATGTACACAATAGTACACATTATAACAAATATTCTCAGTACGGACACCATATGAACTAGGCACGAAACGTAACAGATAAAAATACAACCAATTATATTTGTACTCTATCGTTATTTACGATATGTGAGTCGTCTATTATCAAAGGTGGCAATCTGTGCATTTGGACAAAAAAATGTTATTGATATGTCAATACAGATTGATTTGAATATAATCGTCTCCTTCAAAGAATACGGTTCAAAACCTGCATTAAATAAAGGTTAATAGTTAACCTGTTATTTATCTAAGATGTCGTTCCGAAGAGTTTTGTGACTGCCAATAGAATACAAAGTCAATAATTCGTTTTTCTGATTTACCAATCATTATCCAAAAGTCAGATTGCCGGCTTTGATAATAGTCGACTCATGTATACNAATATAATCGTCTCCTTCAAAGAATACGGTTCAAAACCTGCATTAAATAAAGGTTAATAGTTAACCTGTTATTTATCTAAGATGTCGTTCCGAAGAGTTTTGTGACTGCCAATAGAATACAAAGTCAATAATTCGTTTTTCTGATTTACCAATAATTATCCAAAAGTCAGATTGCCGGCTTTGATAATAGTCGACTCATGTATACTTTTACAAAAATATATATTTAAGCGGGGTCTACGAGCCCCGCCATCTTTGCTTACGGCCTGGCCACGGGGATCGGCGGTGCGAATAGCGAAGCGGTGGACGAGGCGACCATTCGCGCAGCACCGTTTGCAGGCCACGGGTACTCACGTTCGCCGCCGCGACTAGTAAGGAAGTCCGACAGCGAAATGTCTATATCGAAATTATCTCGATATTGCTTACAAATTAATAGTTTTTTGGTTCAGGACCTATTATTTGGAAAATATTGTGAAGTACATGATTTGAATAAGAATCGGAGTATACCTATAGATGGAGAATTCCACAAGAAGTACGAGAAATACTTTGGGTGGCTAGACTTCCAAATAGCTGGTCTAGCTAGTATTTCAGCTATTTTATTTTTTTATTGCTTAGATGGGTGGACGAGCTCACAGCCCACCTTGTGTTAAGTGGTTACTGGAGCCCATAGACATCCACAACGTAAATGCGCCACCCACCTTGAGATATAAGTTCTAAGGTCTCAAGTATAGTTATAATGGCTGCCTCACCCTTCAAACCGAAACGCATTACTACTTCACGGCAGAAATAGGCAGGGTGGTAGTACCCACCCGTGTAGACTCACAAGAGGTCCTACCACCAGTAATTACGCAAATTATTATTTTGAAGATTTCATTTTTATCACACGATGTTATTCCTTCACCGTGGAAATCAATCGTGAACGTTGAGTGTTGTTGAGTACGTATTTCATTACAAAAATTGGTACCCGCCTGATATTCGAACACCGGTGCATCGCTCAACACGATTGCACCGGACGTCCGTTAGGCCACGACGACTTTAAAAATATAAAATAAAAAATAAATAAAAAATATAAAAATTTCGGCGTTAATTTTTCGCGGCGAAAACAACTAAACTCATTTAATCACTGCACTATTCGCCGCGACTACCGCTCGACTCCGTGGCTCGCGCCGTCCGTATTCATGCATTTGTTTTGCTCGCCCGCCGCATCGCGCGATTCGCTCGGTACATTTCGCCGGTCGCTTCGCCGGTCGCCGGTGCGCGTGGCTTGTTAGGTACATTTCTATGCGCTTATTTTAGTCGCTAGACGCTTCGCCGTTCGCACCGCGCGAATATTCGTATCGGCGAATGTCCCGTGGCCAGGCTGTTACAGTTATGTCAAGATTTCTATTTGCGGGCCTTAAGCCGTACTTGGAATGCCGGATTGGGAAAGCTTTGTAGGCTGTTGGTTGAAGCACAATAATGGAAAAAATCTTGATTCATACAACATACCACATGGCAGGAATCTCTGTAATTTTATCTGTGTTATTATTATTAGGTTGGCTATCTTGCTGTTACACGGTAATAGGCTCATATACACCACAACACTTATGTACATTATATTGATATCAATTTTATGATTTCATATTTTTAATAGTTTTATTGTACCCTTAAACTGGAATGCATAACTGCTGATATCCCTTAGAAACTGCCAATACTGTTTCTGATGCAATACTAACAAAAATGTTGCCATAAGGCCACTGAAAACATGTCAGTAATGTGCAAGTCTATACTTATTTAATTGCCGCAACATGTTAACACATGCCTCTCTCTGTAAGCTCTGAGAGCAGTGAAAACAACAATTACTATCCATAAAACAACAGATGCCCAAGTTGCGAATAGAGCCAGTTGTAACGATGCCCCTGTATTTATGTAATCTCCTCTGCGACTATTTTGGGAGTCGTTATGTACGTAATCCATAAAGTCAAAAATGGCTTGGCAATTGAGACGAAAATGTATAGCTATTGCTGAAGATCCACTCTGTCTTAGATCCTGCAAGAATAATCACATACATTTACATAAAGGTAAAGTTTCTGTGTTGTTGAAATTGAGTTGAAAGTTAACCCTAAGTGTATTCCATATTCTTCTCAGTGGTGGAAATACATTTAGAATTGGTGCTGTGGTCAGATAGTAGTCATAACATAAAAAAAGACACAGGATGGAAAGACACACAATGGTTTAAATTATATCAGTAGTTCAAGCAGAGTAGGAAACTTTTAAATCTTAGCTTTAATATACTAATAATGTTAGATTCTGTGACTTATTCGTTCCATTCATTGCTTGTTTGTTTTTTCTCTATTATTAATCTACAATTAATCTATAGACTATCAGTACATAAGCTAGTCCAAAAAGTGGGCGAACAGGGTTAATTGTCAAAATATGATAAAGTCTACAAATATACCTAGTCAGGTCATAAATTCTGTCACATGTTTAATGTAAAATAATTGAAACAAGTTTATTCATTATGTAACCATTCATATACCAAAATGAACGTAACAAAACATAGATTCTTATGACACTAAAGTTTATTCAAAATGACCTCCGTGATTTTGAATACAGGCCTTCAATCTTCGCGGCCAGTCGTCTATCTCAGCACGAACGAGGTCCATGTCAATATCGGCGGCTGCCTTAATCAAGGATGTCTTGAGTGACTCCAAATTGGGCTGAGGCTTTGAGCACACCTTTTCCTCCAAGTGTTGCCATATCTTGTAACATATCTTGTAATCTAACGGATTCAAATCTGGACTGGAGGAGGGCCAGTCTTCGTGCCGGATGAAGTCGATTTCACGCGCCGCCAGCCAGTCTTGTGTGCTCTTCGCTCTATGAGCTGGCGCCGAATCTTGTCGGAATACCCAGTGCCTGTTATTGAACATGGTATGAGAAATAGGTTACACAAGGTTCTTCAGGACTGTATTTTGATACACAACTGCATTCGTTTTTACACCTTTCTCACAAAAATGTACCTCTGTTAAGCCCCAATAAGAAACTTCCAACCATACCAGCGAGGATGGAAAATGACCTCGTTGGACACGCGAAATACGCTTGCTCGCTTCTTCACTACTGTGTGCGTACACCTTATCATTTTGTTTGTTGTAGCTCTCTTCTACGGTAAAAATTTTTTCATCCGAAAAAAGAATTTCCCGATATTTTTTTCCCGCGTACCGCTTCAACAAAGCGCGGCATCTCTGCAGTCTCAGGTCCATTAGACGAGCATTCAAACGATGTCCTGTTTTTCTTCGATATGCCCGAAGCCTTAAATCTTCATTTAACACCCTTTTCACCGTGGTTCTGCTTAACCCCATCTGAAGGGCCAACAGTTTCTGCTTACGTTTGGGATTTCTTTGAAGTCGCGCCTTCACAGCTTTTATCACTGCTGGAGTCCTAACAGACCGAGGGCGACCACTTCTTGACCTGTCATCTACACTAGAGTCTTCATTGTATCGTTTGATGGTACGATAAACGAATCTTTTGGTTATATTAAAATTTTTCAGCATGTTAAAAATTTGAATTGGCGCGTAACCGCAACGATGCAACGCAATAACTGCAACACGGTCTTCTTTAAGCGTCCACTCCATATTTAAAAATGAGTAAAATTCTAAAAGTATACATTTTTATTTTCATGAACAATTCGAAATTCGAATTCAATAAACTTTTTTGTGGCCAGCATTCTANAACCGCAACGATGCAACGCAATAACTGCAACACGGTCTTCTTTAAGCGTCCACTCCATATTTAAAAATGAGTAAAATTCTAAAAGTATACATTTTTATTTTCATGAACAATTCGAAATTCGAATTCAATAAACTTTTTTGTGGCCAGCATTCTAAAAGAAAAGTTTTTACTGTGTGACAATACTTATGACCTGACTAGTTACATCAATATCTTTGTTCATTAATAATATCAATTCTAAATCTTTGATCCACTTCAAGTATTGCATGTCGTTTGAGGTCTTGTTTGTGACTTCCTTGCAAAAGATTGTTTGCCAGTTTGTTTGATTGAATGTTAAGTCGCCTTTTGTGTTTGGTACAAAAAAATTGATTTCATCTCTAATTGTAGGTATGGATAAGAAGCTATAATAACTGTTTGAATTTTAGAAAAAGAATCATCACATCATTTTATAAAAGAATTTTTAAAAAATGATGCGAAATAATATATGACAATTGTGTGAACAATCACACAATCATTGTGGTTTTAATGGCCAATCAATTATATATAGGACAAGTATGTTAATGCCCATGTCTGTATTTACTTATAGCAATGACTTTTTCTCTCACCCACAACAGTTTAGTACATAGTTATAGGTTTATTCCAACAAATAAAACATTGCTGATATCATAAGCATTACTTACCCTGACTAATGCACCTCTGTACTGTGTGCATGTTCTAAAATATCCATCTGTTGTAATTATAGCATGCACTAAGTTGTATAGACAGAGAATGGCAGCCAGACATGATGTTGGTATCCAGCAATAGATGACAGAGTCATTTGAATCTGTTACTTGAGATCTTGATGTGACTACAATGGATCTTCCTTCGCTATAATATAAATCAAATTACAATTTAGTTATTTAGTATACCTTACTTTCTTATTGACTATTCTATGATTTAAAAATGTTCCAAAACTTTTTCTAAAATTGTCATTGTCTTTATATGTATATTGACATAATGATTTTTGTGTGGGATTTTGTTTGAGTCGACTATTATCAAAGCCGACAATCTGACTTTTGGACAATTATTGGTAAATCAGAAAAACGAATTATTGACTTTGTATTCCATTGGCAGTCACAAAACTCTTCGGAATGACATCTTAGATAAATAACAGGTTAACTATTAACCTTTATTTAATGCAGTTTTGAACCGTATTCTTTGAAGGAGACGATTATATTCAAACCAATCTGTATTGACATATCAATAACATTTTTTTGTCCAAATGCACAGATTGCCTTTGATAATAGACGACTCATTTATGTGACTATTAGTAAAAGTCTATTTTTGTTCTTAGAGAGATGAGATACCAGAGAATCGAAGATAAATAATATATCAAAGAGAAAATCAACATTATTAATGGTATCAAACTCCTGCATTTGTGGCACTGATGGTTGATATGGTCAAATAGTGAATTACATTTTCAACACCATCATTCTTGTTGGAAATGTTATCAGAAAAGCAATCTGCAAAAGTCCTCATAGATCCTGAACCATTTATCAAAAATCCTAATAAAGGTGACCCGTAATGTGGTGAAAGGTTATTCCAAAAGCAAATACATATTGCAATTCAGAAATACCCAAGAACTGAGATTAACAAGTAGACTAATTGACTAACTAACTAATTGATCACAGAATTTATGAGTTACTAAGTAACTAATTTATGAGTTTAAATAAGAAGATGTTTGTCTTCATCCTTGATTCTGAAGTTTGATGACGATGAAGGATGACCCAATCCTTAAGATGAAATAAGATAATTAATTCATAAATAAACATTGCATTTTCCAAATTTATTTTGTGATGATTCATTCAATGTATAATACAGTTCTTAATGTGTTTTTTTTATCACGTCATGAAAGTTGATAAAGCAGATAACAGCAAATAGGGCATAGATAGTTTGTGTATTATATGGCTAAGCTATAAATGTGGCACATAAAAAATTTGAATAATATTCTTATTATGATTCAGACATCCTAGTTTTAAACTTGATTTAATGATAGTGCTCCTTTTTATTGCAATCTATAAATCAATTTTAAGATTAGCACACTTGCACTGACAACAATTTTAAGCTAAGAGCAAGTTTGTAGATGATTCACCATAATTATGCTGCCAGAGTATTTTTATTTTTACATACAGAGTGTGATTTTTTGAACCGAGTCTAATACAAGCTTGGAGTACCAAGTACTCAGATAGCTGATGGTGACTGAAAATATAGCGGGAAAACGTCCCAGATTACCCAGTCCTACCAGATGATCAGATCAAATTCGATCTTGCCTGAACATCAAGTTCCACTAAGCCCTCCATTGAAGTCAAGGATCCCAGCAGATGGAAGAAAATTGTAAAGGAGAGAATGATGCCGCAAGAGAGTTGCAACTCTCAGTAGTGAGAAAAGCGACACAAGGGGGGAATACAAGCCTATCCTAATCTAGCATGATGAGGCTTGTACATTTGTTGTTTGCCAAGTGCAAGACTGACCAGGTTTTATTTAGTTGTAACTAAATTTGAATTACTAGGTTGCCTTAACAAAATTACTTACATTTCCTCCATTTCTGTTGTTTTTTCATCTTCATATTTACCAATATTATTTATGCACACTCTGTACATATGAAATAATGCCATTACAATGGCATAAACTATAACGGGAATAGGAGCGAATATAGCGTATAAACAGTATGAGTTGTGTCCTCCATTGAAGGATTGGGATGTAAAGACCCCATTCAATATACAACCACAACTAATGTTCTCCAAGAAATTCCCAGGACACATATCCAAAGACACACGCCAGTGATTATACGGAATTGCAATGCATACTATTGATATCGTGAGGAGGCCGGCGAGTAAGCTGTAACAAATGCACAAGCGTCGTTCCGTGTGATACTGATTCATTTTAACAACAAACACTATCCCAAACTTAAAACAATATTAGGTACACTTGTTTTAAATTTTAAACCTTAGAGTTTGAGTCAGTTTGAGAGTTTCAAAAGAATTTGTTTTTAATGTCTCATTCATCAATTGGATAAGCAAAGGGAACATATCACATACAATGTTATTTTTGTAAGTTGTGCTTGATCCTTGTTTAGTGCAAAAAATAAATGACGAATATGAACAAGGCTTGGCTATGATAAACAGCTGTTTGACTCTGTCCCTGGAATTGCTAACATCCAAGACTAGCCCAGTAAAAAAAAAACAAAAAGGCAAGTTATGAGATTAAATTTTAATACAGTGTTGGAATATATTAAATTAAATAACCTCAGAATAATTGTGAAAGGCCATCGAGCGGTGTTAATTTAATTTCATAGAACGTTTACAGGGTTATCTTCTCACCTCATTGAATTTATTCTAAGATTAATTTCATTTCATACCCTTTTTAGAATAGGCTGAGTTACGGCTTTGCCTTTGCCTGTTTAGTGGATCTATCAAGCAATAACAATTCAAAATATTTCTAAATGCCATTAAATTCATTAAATTGCGCTCCGTATCATTTTTCATAATTAAAACAGAAAATACTAAAGATTAGGTAGTATAGTATACCTTTGCCTTTCCAGAAAAAATGGAATTATTGTGACATGATTGACATTGAGTTGAGTGACAGACGGTGAAAAAACTTGTTTTGTTTGAAAATAGGTAGCGTGACAAAATTGTAGATACTAGATTGCATTGATAGCAATGAAATTAAATAGTCATACCAAAATCGTAGGAGCAAATATAATTTTGGTTCCTTACAAAAAACATCATGTACCTGTGTATGTAATTAGCAAATAGAAAACGTAACTCCAGAAAATTTCCAAATTTTCTTCTAGAAATCATTATGTACAAAATATTTAATATACATTATATATAATGCACGCCATTCAAAATAATCTTTCAGCTATCATGAATGGATGAAGTCCGAAGAATTACAAAAGCTAACAGCTTCAGAACCATTAAATTTAGAGCAAGAGTACGAAATGCAAAAAACATGGCATGATGATGAAGATAGTATGTTTAACAACATAATTTATTATTTTAACTTCGTTTCATACTAGGCGATATTTGTTGAACTTACAAATAAATAAAACTACTTACTTAATTTTTACCTTAAAACTTATACAATATGACATCTTCACGAAAAACTAACTAATAATCATTTAGCATTATGGACAAACTTCATCATATTTAATTAAGTGATTGATCTATATTATATGTGATTGCTTTTTTTCAGAATGCACATTTATCATTTTGGACAAGGATATATTTAATAATACAGCCTTTGATGAAACAGGTATACTGCCATAAATACAGAAATGAAATTAGTACTTAGTATACTATGTTCATTAATCTAATTAGCCAATAAACCAAAATATTATCAGTAAATTATATTGAAATTGGGGCAGTAGTATTTTATAATATATTTATTGGAATCTCACAATAAAATGTGATGTGATATAAAATCATACTGGTGCTTAACAAGATCAGTGATTTCATGTTTTGTGTAATGTTTCATGTGCATGTGCCCGTCAATAAGTTTCATAAAAACAAATTATATATTAATTTTCACTAAAGAAAACATTTATTAATACATTTTATGATTTCTTCAGGTGCAATGATTGGGGATACAAATATATTCATAACTGACAAAGAGTTGGCTATAGGAGAAATAGAAATAATGATAGCTGAACCATCAGCCAGAGGAAAGAAAAGAGGATGGGAAGCTGTTAAATTAATGTTACTTTATGGAATAAATTATATAAAAATACAAACATTTGAAGCAAAAATATCATTACAGAATGTGATCAGTATTAAAATGTTCAAAAAGTTAGGATTTCAGGAGAAAAGTGTCAGTGCAGTATTTCAAGAAGTGACTTTGGACAAGAAAGTATCAAATGAATGGACCCAGTGGTTAGCAAGTAGTCTTTCTTTTGAAATAAAAGACTATCACTAATTAAATCAAATAAAAGGTTTCTACAATACCTTCACAGCATGTTATGTTGGATTTTTTGACATTACCACATACTTTTATGAAACATTTTCTCTTACTATCGACAAAATACATGAGTTGAAGACATTTAACATGTATTTTTGGCGTGTTCTTGTTTTTTGTTTTGCTAATTTTAAAAGAATATTTTAAAAAATCTATTTTCTAAAAATCTTGCACCTTCCAATAGAAACTGAATGTGATGTTTATAAATTTGAATTTGGAATTTATAAAATTGAATTTGACGTTAAAAATCTATTTATGAAATGAAAATTGAAAATGTTAAATATATACAGGAACCAATGAAATATCTTGGGTTCTGTATAGTTGTTACAGACTGTTAATAATATAATAAAACAATTTATTTTACTAAATTAGCCTTGAATATTACGTTGATTTATGACTGCGATCAATAAACACGTTATTTTACACAACAGATTACGACGTTAAAAATCACTCCATAATTGTAAAATTTGTGATAGCAAAACTTAAAAAAGGGACCAGAGGTGTTTATTTTCATCTTTATTTGAAATATATCTATTATCGCTTAAGTAAGCCACTATTTTGCTCCAGAACTAATAAATTTTGGTTTATCGTCCGGTACCAGCTTATCATTGAGTTTTGGGATACCCTGTAACAAAAAGTATGCCCTGTAAGTGCTGGCTGGGAAAGTCACTAGTCGGCAGGCAGGATTGTCATTATTACAATTATCTTTTTTAATAGCCTTGCAGTGCGTTTTCAATCCGCCGTAAAAATAACAATATAAATTAAAATAAGACGACCTAAAGGTCCTTGTTACCAGGTCATAAAATCCCTTTAAAAAAGAGTAGGTCTGAGATTTTCTTGGCGCGAACGCGAACAGTGAAGTGTGATTTGTTTTATTTTGTCTATTTCGTGTTTCTTCTGGTTTAAATGTGTAATAACGGTGTTTTATTAACTATTTAGTGTCTGTGGAAGTGCACAAATGTGGTAAAATGAAACAAAGCCGCTGAACATAACTTCTCGGGATCCTCCAAAAAGTCCACTGTCTCAGTAAAGTCTCAGTAAATGACCACCATTTTACTGAGATTATAATATTTCATCCCATATCATCTCATCTCATTTCATTTCGTTTTTATTTCATGCCATGCCATGTTTCATGTTAATCAATTATTTCATTTCATTTCTTATTAGGTATCATTTTTCATATAAAAAAATGTTTTCATTAAAATTAAAATAAGACTTGACCTAAAGATCATAGTTACCAGGTCGTAAAATCACTTTTAAAAAAAAGTAGGTCATTGAGTCATAGATAATAAATACAGTTATTAACTAAATAGTTTTTTTGTAAGTGGTGTTGTTGTTATTGAAAAAAGCAATGTTTTTGCTTAAATTAATTTGTATCCTTGGTCTTCTATCAAGGAATGTTATTTGTCGTGACGACAATGATATTAAATCAGAAGAAGATGTCGGTGTCAAATACGCCAATAGATGTGAAGTTTGCAAAATTCTAGCAACGGAATTGCAGAACAGACTCGAAGAGACCGGCAAAGTTCATGAAGTTATTGAAATCGGATACTCCCTCGACGATGTTCAACCGAAAAAGAAAACGAAATATCAGAAATCTGAATTAAGGCTTATCGAATCTTTAGAGGGTGTGTGCGATAGAATATTGGAATACAATATTCACAAAGAAAGGTCCGATAGTACAAGATTTGCCAAAGGAATGAGTCAAACATTTAAGACCCTTCACGGTCTCGTAGATAAAGGTGTAAAAGTGGATCTCGGAATACCATTGGAACTGTGGGATAAACCTTCTGCTGAAATTACCCATATGAAAACACAATGTGAAAGCCTTTTAGAAGAGAACGAAATAGCCGTCGAAGACTGGTATTGGAACCATCAAGGTAAAGAAGATCTCAAAATATATTTATGTACAAAACATGCTTTGAAAGGAGTTGATGATTATTGTCTCTACGAAGAGTTAAATAATGAAAAAGGTGAAAAAGGTATTAAAGAAAGATCAGAGCTTTGAGATTTATTTAATAGACACAAATATGTACTGAAAAAACTTTAAACATGTGATCTACAATAATATACTGTGGTATCGAGATTAATTGTGTAGGTAAAGTAAAGTGAGAATGGATAATATCTGTACATTGAATCAGTATGTTTCAGTGAATGTTTTTTGCTATAAATAATAGAATTAAACTTAATTTTGTTACAAAGTCAAGTGATCAGAGAGCTGTTTTTATTTTAATACAATTTAATTTTTAAGTATGAATTATATTCTTATTTGAAATCCTTTATGTTCCTATATTAACATATTGAATTAAATCATTTTCTATAAATTGTTGTTTCACATAGATCTGTAGTGAATTTCTTGTAATGTAGATTGATAGTGATTAAATGGTGAGTATTGAGTCCAAACTGGTTCAATCATGCATAGGTCTCCTAACGTGAGTCAGTCAATGAAAAGTACCTAACTCATGATACGATAGGTATTAGAATGAGCATGTGAACAACAGAAAAAAAAAAATGGTTTTATCTAGATTCAGGATGTGGTTAATCAAATCTGTTTTTTTTATTGCTTAGATGTCTGGACGAGCTCACGGCCCACCTGGTGTTAAGTGGTTACCAGAGCTCATAGACATCTATAACATAAATGCCGCCACTCACCTTGAGACATGAGTTGCAAGGTCATAGTTTTAACAGTACAGGTAAGTAAGGCTTAAAAGAAAATATTCTAATCAACATAGGCATATTCGCCGCGCGGTGACCTTAGACTAGAATAGCCTTGACCTCTTTCCTACTCAGGTATCGTAAAAGGCGAAAAGGTAAAGACGTGCACAATTCTATCATAACTTAAAGAATGTATTCACGTCAACCGAAAACAGCTGTAGATACCAAAATACAACAGGTAATTAAATTACGGCACCTCGCGAGTACTAGCAGCCTGCGATCGTCAACCTGCATGCCCATCGTGGCGATTACGGGTAAACCCAATTATGGCAAGCTAGATTCGCGGTCCCCAGTTCTCGGTCGCCTTGCTGCCCATGATCACGATAGCGGTCGCGATGACAGCACGACTGGGTGTGCGAAGAACCAAAGTTACGGATTACGGCTGCCGTAGACTCACCTTGTCGACGTACAACATAGGTACGCTCGCGCGGCTTGACGAGCACCTGTCAACTCGAAGTAGAAATTGGGACGAAAGGTGGCACATTTGGGGGCCGTGTGAAATCCGAAGAGTGGGGAAGGATACTGTTACTCTAGAATTATGTTAGCATAAATATCACAGAGAGGCAGACCAGCTAATCTAAAGTGGCGTGGGTTCTTGGTAATAAAGTCATCTTAGACAACTTTGTAGAAATCTCCAATGTGTCGAACAGAGTAACATATCTTGTAATCAATATGACTAGGAGTGAGAAGTATAGCCTCAAGATTATGCAGGCTTACCTACGCTCCGACTTCAACACACTAGGATAATAATGTGGTGGATATATTTGACATATCAAAAGCACTTCACCTCACCACTAAGACCCACTACAATGTTGTCATGGGTGATTTGAATGCAAAAGTGGGGGTACAAAATCGCAGCGAAACGGTAGTAGAATCCCACAGAATCGCAAGGAACTAATGCTTGTCAACTTCTTTGAAGAAATAAGGGTTATTCTTAATGAATTAATTCTTTAAGAAACGGTTCCAAAGGAGGTAGGTGGACATGGCAAATGAGATCGAATTCACTACAGCGGACAAAAAGCATATTATATTCAGGGGTTTCTGTGATTAACAGGCTTATTGCCGATAGCTATCACAGGCTTGTACGAGGGTCTCTAAAAATCGTATTGAAACGGACACGTCTGTCCGTTTGTATTGTACATTGCTATTATTATTTAGTTAGGTACATTAAATTTAAATGCTTTAGCTCTGTTTAAAAATACATTATTGTTATTGCCGTGGAGTGCCGACCGATAATGGCAGGCTGACAGGATATAAATTCTGATTCATATAAGCTCATTTCCTGGCATATAAATATACTTCATCATTACTAAAATTTTTGTGTTTTAAAAGTTTCTGCTTTGATTTACTAACCTATCCAGTTAATTGCGACATGCAGAAATTATTCTCTTTAACATGCGAAGGACTCATCATAGTAACCAAATTGTATTTTTTTTTAAATACTCAATAGATTCAAGATACTGTTCTTTGGAAAAAAATGCGTCAAACTCAGTAACGTAATAAGGTCAATTATTATGTATGGCAGAAAAACATGGGCTGCAGCCCAAAATAACGTGCATACCATCTGAGAAATTGTTTGAAATAATCCCATCATCTCGCTTTTACAATCGCACCGCCCGCCACCGGAGTAGAGTTCATCCATACTACCTGGAGCCACCGCGTTCATCCACAGTACGTTTTCAGAGATCTTTTCTGGAACGTACCATCCGGCTTTGGAATGAGTTCCCCTCCACAGTGTTTCCCGAACGCTATGACATGTCCTTCTTCAAACGAGGCTTGTGGAGAGTAATATTTTGTTTATTGCCCTTGTAGGCAGACGAGCATACGGCCCACTTGATGGTGAGTGGTTACCGTCGCCCTTGGACTTCAGAAATTCCAAAAGTACTTAACGGTGGACAGGGGCTTGGCTCTGCCCCTGGCATTGCTGACGTCCATGAGCGACGGTAACCCTCACCATCAGGTGGGCCGTATGCTCGTTTGCCTACAAGGGCAGTAAAAAAAAGTAGCTGAGGTAGATATGCAGCGTAACTAGGTGCGATAAAATCCGCAACGAGTATGCATTGTTACTGACAATGATGTCAAAGTTAGAGCGAAGTGGACGAAAAAAGTTAAGATAGCTGACTCTACCACCAGGTATAGCTAGTTAGGAAGAGAAAGTTCAGCAACACTCAGCATTTCATAATGTATAAGCGAAACTATTCCTTTTAATGAAGAAGAGAGTTTGCTTGCGGTACAGATTGTTGACATTATTTTTGAAACCAATTGAATCAAAATTATGAGTCTTCATTTTTTCCAACACCAATATCTTTTTTCAATATTTAGTTTTATTTAGTAATAGAATGTAGTTAACTTGTTTTAAACAAAGGTTTAGGTCAAAAAAGAAACACACTGAATGAGATACTGATACGTATATTAAATAACAAATTTGTATTTCATAAGCACCTTTTAATCGACCATTAAAAAGTATCATTTTATATAAATAATATCTATGAAATATTTTTTTCTGCACCAAAATTTACATCGTGTACTAGGTGCGAATAAAAATATAAGGAAATCTGCAATTTCCAATGAGAACGAAAAAAAATTAAAAAAAAGTCCTAAAAACAATAAATACAAATTATAAACTAATAGGATTAAACACATCCACTCCATTGTACTCAACCGCACTCGCACATTGAGGTGTTACACACGCACACTATACTGCACAGCGTAGGCGACTCCGAGGTGGAACTAGTCTGTGGCGGAGGCTGTATATCACTGCCTCCTTGGGCTGACGGAAACTCGCATCACGACACCAGATGCCGCTGTTCCGGGGACGAGTTTACGTACAAAAATACGTTAATTTACGATCCGTGTTGTCGGAGAGTGCGGCGCCTACAGGTAGGGGCTGGAGTCCTGGTAGTCGTCGTCGCTGTCGGAGCCGTCGTCCGTGAGGTCGGTCAGCTGGCGCGTCGCTGGCGTCGTGGCGTCGCCAGAGCACTCAGAGCCCGATGCATCTGCGGGACGCAGATCCGTGGTTACGAACTACACACAACACTATTCGAACGTCATGTTGAAAACGTAGTGCCACACAATACTTACTACTTAACCATATGGGTATCTATTAACAATGTTAATTATTTTAAAACCATTCCATACTCGAGACAATTTATAAGCGGGCAAAATAAATAATAATTTAATGAGATCAATGTAGTTTTTGGTGCGCGCTCTATAGTATAGCACAGAGCGCGTGTTGCAGGTACAAGCAAAACAATTACCCAGTTACCTGCGTGCGTCTCCCAGTCCGGCTCCCGACGCCGCGCCTTCGCTGGGGGAGGAGACACCGAACTTCTGTCAAAAAAAAAACAACGTATTTACTACTTTACTGGTGGTAGGACCTCTTCTGAGTCCGCGCGGGTAGGTATCACCGCCTTATCTATTTCTGCCGTGAAGCAGTAATGTGTTTCGGTCTGAAGGGTAGGGCAGCCGTTGTAACTATAGTGAGACCTTAGAACTTATATCTCAGGGTGGGTGGCGCATTTACGTTGTAGATGTCTATGGGCTCCAGTAACCACTTAACACTAGGTGGGCTGTGAGTGTCGATAACGGGTTGCATTGCGTGCGCATTCCTACTGTTAGTGACATTTATTGGCGGACGACTCTTAACAAATATTGTTATATTTACCTATACAAGGGCGAGTGGTCTCCGTTCTCGCTGGGCGGCGGCGAGCCCCGCGGCGAGGGCGGCTGGCTGAGCGCCTGCATGAGGCGGCCCTTGGAGGACTCCCAGATGTTAGAGAGGCGCCCGTCCGGGCCGAACAGCAGCAGAAAGGCGTCGATGAGCTCCCGAGACTTCTCCTCCCACTTCGTTAGAATATCTACGCGTTTTTCACCAATATTCGTCATGACCTAAACAAAAACGACACCCAAAATTATTAAAATTAAATCTATATCTATATATATATATAAAATGAATTGCTGTTCGTTAGTCTCGCTAAAACTCGAGAACGGCTGGACCGATTTGGCCAATTTTGGTCTTAAATTATTTGTGGAAGTCCAGAGAAGGTTTAAAATGTAGATAAATATGAAAATACTCGGAATTAAATAAAAATAACAACATCGGACGGATTCTTTTTGTTTGTTTTAAGTTTATTTTATACAAAAGTTTAGGTTTTTTATTTATCGATTGAGGCACTACGAAGTCTGCCGGGTCAGCTTGTATTTAATAAAAAAAATTACACATTCGTAATGTAAAGGTATGTTACCACCACCGCTTCCTTTTTTTTTCCTATCCTCGTTCGAGAGTTTTTCGGTAATTTATTTTTCGAACCAGTTTCAAGAATGTGAGATCAACGGCTTCATTTTTTTTTTAATAATCAGGTTTATTATATAGATAAGGTCATAGAACTCTGTAGCCGTATTTTTTTTTAAAAGATAAGTACTGTTTAAGGTCACGTACCCGAATATATTTAATTCACAAGTAATAAAATGAGAAACTAAATATTTTACTAACACCCTTTTTATGAATAATTATTAAAATTTAATATTTTTAGTTTTTGGCTATTTAACTTAGAACTTAATCAATTTGGTAAAAAATATAAGGGTATGATTTAGTAGCAGAGTGTGGCTTATCTGAAATACATACCTATATACATACATGAATACATATGAAGGATAACTTTAATAATAATACATTGAAGTATTCGACGTAAAGTTAATATCCCCAGTTAGGATCCAAGTAATCTCTAAACATTTGCATTTTTAATAAACAGATTGTTCTCTACCACCGGAATCGGAAACGCGACTCACTGAGAAGATCCGGCGAGAAACTCAGTGGGCTGTGTCTATGGGTTAATGTACTCGTCGAGCCATTCGGCGCAAGCGACGGGTTCGACAAGGACCGTGACCGCCGCTTGAGGTACCTAAATGCACCGTTAATGGATCGGGAGGACCCTTAATGACGTGTTTAGGGCGACGTCGACTGTTTACCATTCGGTCCACAGGATCGAGTATGACACCTTTTTTTTTGCTTAGATGGTTGGACGAGCTCACAGACCACCTGGTGTTAAATGGTTACTGGAGCCCATAGACATCTACAACGTAAATGCGCCATTCTCAGTATAGTTACAACGGCTACCCAACCCTACAAACCGAAAGGCATTACTGCTTTACGGTAGAAATAGGCAGGGTAGTGGTACCTACCTGTGCAGACTGACATAGAGGTCCTACCACCAGTAAAAACCTTTTCTGCTTGATATTCTTTTACATACCTTTTTTCCTTTATCTTTAAGTTCGTCCATTTTGTTTTGTAGTCGAAATTTCTTCTCGTTTAAGAATGAAACGTTGAGCTCCTTGGCCGAGTATCCACGCGCTAAATTCCTTCTAACGTATATATCGTAGTCGCGTACTATCCTCGCGACTATATCCGATGTCGAAACACCTTAAACGGAAACGATAAATAATATTAATTGGCATTATATTTTGGCACTTTAGGCGAAGAACCCTATGCCCGAAGACAAAAAAAATTAAACACTGTCGTTGCTAAGTCACGACCCAAAAATACAAATTGAAATTGAATTATCGCTCCAGACACGGATTGACAAAAACAATGTCGTAAAAATAAACGCAAGTACCTAAGCGATGTGACACCAATGCCTAACGACGGAGAACATTCCCGAAATCCAATTGTTAAATATAAAAATCTCGTTTCTAGCAATAAGTCACAAACATTCTCCTCTTCTTTCTCTCCACCTTATCCCACTTGGTGGGGTCGGCGCAGCTAAGTTTTCTCTTCCATTCTTTTCTATCAGCCGTCATCTCAACACTTACTCCTCTCTCTCTCATATCGTCATTCACACACTCCATCCATATCTTTTACAGTCGACGTCTTCCCCCTCTACCCTGCACTACCATTTCCATACATCTCTTAGTCACATGCATCTTCTCTCTACGCATCACATGTCCATATCGCGCTAACTGTCCGCTCTTTAATTTGTTGATTATCGGGGCAACTTGCACACTTCCTCTGTCAACAAGTCACAAACATTCCTAATCCGAATTAAAAAAAAAAAAAATAACAATTCATTATTGACTCTGACCTTCGGTCCTTTGCGTCGCCACGAACATGTCCTTCGCTTTGATCATTGCGTACGTGTCCTCGCAGTCCTCGGTCGTGTACGGGATGTCGTCGTGTGCTAGAAAATCGATCTTGTGCTTCTCCAGAAACTCTTCGTCGTACTCCCACGGAGCGTCTCTTACGACCTTACGAATAAAAACAAAAACTGTAGAACACTATTAAAATTTAATATTGTTTTTTTTTATTATTGCTCTAGTCGTATTCAGGTGTTGCCAGGTGGTATCAAAAGATTCATTCATTGAATGAATCTCAAACAAATTTTTTTTTGCTTATATTACTACATAATATATAGAAAAGAGCGACACCTCACACGGTAAAAGTAGTCGAAAAAATTATATTAAACGTGATTTTAAATCATATTTTAAAACCGTTTTGTTCGTAATTCACAATAAATAATATCAAAAGCAATTGCAATAGTGTAATATCTAATTTAAGAATACGAAAAAAAAAAACAAAATTCTTGATGAGATTACAAATAATATTATTACATCGTTCGGCAAATAACGCTTATCTATTAACAAATAGCACTTCGCAGAATCTACCACCGGATCGGAAACGCGACCCACTGAGAAGATCCGGCGAGAAACTCAGTGGGCTGTGTCTATGGGTTATATTACTTGTTTATTCTAAAAAAACATGTCAGGTTTGTGAGTTTTTTAAGAATCCTATATAAAGCTGCACCGGTGGCACAGCGAATCCTTATTAATGAAAGTACTTAATACTTCATTGAACGTTGATTAATTATCGATCATACATAAGTAATATAATTATAATCAATTTATTTCGGAAATTTGCAACTCCTTTATTTTGCATACAAACCTAAAGTATATTTCCTAATGGTAATTGTATGATACATCAGATATTAACAACAAGGAAATCTAAGAATACACATTTATTGATTCTTAAACAAAACGTAACTTGTAATGAAGTTAATTTTGACTCACTCAGCTTACCTATCCGTAGTCACATTATATTAAATTTTACTATCAATTATTAATTATTAATGAAATATAAATCTACAGTGCTTTTTACGGATGTTCCGTTTTAATTGCTTCGAAATTAGTTCCAGAACGATGTAGCGAGCAACATATATTTTAAATCTTTAGTAGGAATATTTCGCCATTTCTACCGCATTTAATCGGTGACGTCATAAAGTGCAATCCTACCTAACCTACCTACATTGGACAGATTACTATCGACAAATACATTTTGCTTCAATCATACATTACGTATAATCAACACATTACGTAAGTTTTTGTTTTAAACTTGACTAATATATTTCACGCCTACGTACATACACGAGTAACGTGGAACAATCGTCTTTTGTTTAACGAATGTTGTAAGTACTTGATTATACGTCGAAGATACATTTCGACAGACAATTGAAATGAAAACTATATTAGTGATGAAAGTAACGACAATCGAAATATTTTAAGTATGAATTTTTACTAGAGGTCCCGCAGTAGTCGAAATTCGATTATAATTAATTGGAATTGTAAGTTTGTACACTATTATAATTGTATTTTATACTTCTTTAATCACAAATTTCGCCAAGACTATACTATAAAAAATATTAACAAAGACAAACAATATTTAATCTATTCTAAATTTGACCACAGACGTCAAGAACAAGTTTGACAATAAATAGTATGCATGCGTCACATGCGTGTGTGCGTCAAATACACGGTATGTAGTGTGTGTAATGTTTTCTTTATTGATTTAAAGTATCTTTTATGCATTATTTTAAAAAAATATTAGCATTGTGCACTTCTTCTCTAAATTCTCTATAAGTGTGGAAAATTTCATATTTCTCCGTCCGCGCAATTTTCGTAAAAAGGGATACAAAGTTTTTGCTTCACGTATTAATATATAGATTACAATAAGATTGATTAAGAATATAGTATTTTAATTTCATTAATAACTAGCCGTACTCGCCCGCATCACTGGGCATTTAAAGTTAACATTATTATTTATTGTCATTACTATTAGGGAGTCTAACACTCATATAAATATTAGCCTATCCATTAATACATGTATTTTCTACATGTATACCAAGTTTCAAGTCAATCGGATGCACGGTTCAGTAGTTAAATCTGGTTGTAGGTAGTTAGATAGAGGAAAAAAAAACACGCAGATTGCGGATAGTGACGTCACCAATTAAATTCCTACTAATGATTTTAAATATACTATTTTACAACGACGTTCCAGTACAACTTTTGAAGCATTTTTAGCTAGTCTACAAAAATTATCTCGATGACAGTTATGAACTTCAGGTAAAAATCCTTAAAACAACAAAATCTCACCAAAGATATATAAAAAAAAACCAGTATTTTGGCAGCGAAAACGATGTCTATAAAAGTTTTAGCAGGGCTCGCATTTTTGTTTTTTATTAAAAGGCTTGTTTTTTACAAAAAATCTGCATGTGCCCTAGGTAAACATCTGTGAATCGGCTTTGTAACCAAAACGCTTAAAATATGTAGGGCAAAGGGAATTCTAGTCTTTTATGCAGCTAGAAATCTTTTGATGTAACAAAATTATCATAACTGGTTATTACTGGTGGTAGGACCTCTTGAGAGTCCGCGCGGGTAGGTACCACCACACTGTCTATTTCTGCCGTGAAGCAGTAATGCGTTTCGGTTTGAAGGGTGGGGCAGCCGTCGTAACTATACTTATGCCCTTAGAACTTACATCTCAAGGTGGGTGGCGCATTTACGTTGTAGATGTCTATGGACTTCAGTAACCGCTTAACACCAGGTGGGCTGTGAGCTCGTCCACCCATCTAGGCAATAAAAAAAAGGTTCACAGCTATTCATTTACGCCAGTATTAAATAAGCATGGCTTAGCTTCACTCGTTATTTGCAGAACGATGTTATAACAATATTTTTTATTTATTTTTATTGCTAAGATGGGTGGACGAGCTCACAGCCCACCTGGTGTTAAGTGGTTACTGGAGCCCATAGACATCCACAACGTAAATGCGCCACCCACCTTGAGATACAAGTTCTGAGGTCTCAAGTATAGTTACATTTATAATTATCAATATATGTTAATATTTGTAATTATCAACAAGAATATTATTATTTTTTTGTATTCTTAAATTACATATTTCATTATTGCAGTGACTGTTGATATTATTTATTGTGAATTAAGAACAAAACGTTTTTAAATAAGTTCAAGATCACAGAATAGTAACTTTTGAAGTTAAAATAAATAAAAAGAAATATAGACCATTAATTGAGTTAGTTATAAATAAGACGAAACACGAAACATACCTATTATTTTTATAAACGACTCATTGTATATTACCAATATTTATTTATCACCTAATTGACGTCATTGCTTGTTTTTTTTTTTTTGCACAATATGTAGAATATATTTCTAGTCTGAGCGGTTATTTAACGCAATTGAGATTTCGCCTTTCTTTCTCAAATTTATTGCAGAAAAATTGTACTATTTATTATTTATGTATTACTCGTTCTCAAATGCGTCGTTAAGGATAAGTATCAATAATTTTTTCTAATGTCATGGAATTTTTGCAAAGAAAAAAAAAGATTGTTTGCCGTGGTAATGAAATGTGTTTTTTTTGGGATAAAAGGTATTAGAGCTTATGACAATTTTCTCATCTAATACTATAACTAACAAAAAAAGTAAATTCTATAATAAATTTCGACTTGTAAAAAGGCCAAACACACTTTCACGTTTATAAAACTAATTAAATTTTGGATTTACGTACCTCATCAACGTATCTGCAATGTCGGACGGCTTCGTACCTCTCATCTTCGGTCATAACCGTCCTGCCCTTGCGACTGTGCGTCAGCTGGTCACTACATACTGGAATATAAAACGTTCTATTAACTCTTTTACTAACACCAGAAGACAACGCACGTTACAATTTAGTCGCATTATCGAACATCCTGTATATGAGTCGACTATTATCAAAGGCGGCAATCTGACTTTTGGACAATGATTGGTAAATCAGAAAAACGAATTATTGGCTTTGTATTCCATAGGCAGTCACAAAACTCTTCGGAACGACATCTTAGATAAATAACAGGTTAACTATTAACCTTTATTTAATGCAGGTTTTGAACCGTATTCTTTGAAGGAGACGATTATATTCAAATCAATCTGTATTGACATATCAATAAATATTTTTTTTCCAAATGTACAGATTGCCACCTTTGATAATAGACGACTCATATATAAACAATATATGACAAAACAGTTAAATAGGTTTTACTCCTCCATTGGCATTGAGTTAATTAATCAATATCACTAGGAACTTGGTCATACGAGCGTAATCCGTCACAATGGCTCCTACCTAGGCTCTCTATGTTCATTATATAATTGGAATTGCTCTCTGGCTTTGTAAATCTTTCTGATTAAAAAAAGGTCTAAGTACATATTGAAGCAATAGCTAATAGCTTTCAATGTTGTTTCTCTTTGCAGATTCGAAAATAATTATAATAATATTGTAAGTGTAGAAATAAATTAATAAAATAATAATAAATAACTCTTTGCAACACAACACATTACATATATATACGTATGTGTTTACAGGAATACGCCCTCAGACGACGAGTCTGCCGATTCGCGACTTAGGCCTAGGCCGCACTACGGTTTTTTCCGGGAGCGGTTAACCGCTATAACCGCGAAACCGTTTAAGACGCACACACTACAATTATTAACCGCGAATTCGACCGCGATTTTCACGTTTTGAAGATGGATTTCAAAAGAGCAGTATGTATTGCTGAGCTGGTACTAAGAAATAGAAAAAAATATGTCAACGAAAATTTCACAAATGTTGGGCTCATCCTCTTGCCAGCCATAGATTTGAGAAAGGTTTCTTTCATAAGAAATATCAAAATTTAAGATAATATCCAGTATAAATTTTCAGTTTCTATCGGATGTCAGTAGCCTGCTTCGATAAAATTCTGCTCGATGTGCGTCCATACATTCTTGGATGGATTCTACCTTCATGGATACAAAATTTCGCGAATGTATTTCACATTTCAAAGAACCGCCCGCGGCTACACATAGTGCGTGTACGCCCAACTAGTTATATGGATAACAAATTTTATTGCGGTTTTTTTCCGCGATAATTTTGTAACATTACGCGGTTTTAAATACAGTCGCGGGAAAGAACCGCAAGTGCGGCCGCTTGTATTCGTTTTCCTATTTCATAAACTCACACGGCTTTAAGCCGCTTCGGTTTAACCGTAGTGCGGCCTAGGCCTTAAATCACTTTCTAGGAAGTAAATCAAAGTGTACAAGGCCACGGTCTGAAGGCCCGGCGCGGCTAAAGATAAACGACCGATCGAAAACCAATCCGCATATAGATAAAAATTATTAATTATAATGTTTTTTTTTTGTATTTGAACACGTGTGCCCGGTATCATCGTCCGACTTATTCCGACCAATCAGAGACTCTCGCTTTGAAGACGTAAAGTTCACAACAACACTTGTTACGATTAAAATATTATTGATTCAATGGGGTGTGTGAGTGCGTGATACATTTCTCTACAGTCACCTGGCGGCAGACTTGCTTATCATTTAAGTGTTATCACCTCTTACCGGCTTAGGTAATTAAGCGGTCCTTATTACGTACGACATAGTTATGCAAATTGCGTATTTTTATATGAATGGAATGTTCACAAAACTTTAATGAATTTATATTATTTTAAACAGTCGAACGATGTTTATGTGTCCGGTCATGGAAATAATATGCAATTGTCGACAAATCAACACATTATTTGAGTCGTCTATTATCAAAGGTGGCAATCTGTGCATTTGGACAAAAAAATGTTATTGATATGTCAATACAGATTGATTTGAATATAATCGTCTCCTTCAAAGAATACGGTTCAAAAACTGCATTAAATGAAAGTTAATACTTAACCTGTTATTTATCTAAGATGTCGTTCAGAAGAGTTTTGTGACTGCCAATGGAATACAAAGTCAATAATTCGTTTTTCTGATTTACCAATAATTGTCGAAAAGTCACATTGCCGGCTTTGATAATAGTCGACTCATTTGTCGTTCGTGACCACTAAATATCTACTGTTTGAAATAATTGAATGACAATAAAAAATGCGAGTTTAAATCGTAAAACCAGTTTTAATTATAGTCATGGAAAATTCGAGTAAATTTTATAGATAGTTTTAGTATAGATGAAAAGTATTATATTTTCATGTCTTGGCCATGCATAATAATATGTTCAGAATACATACGTAGGGAGTAGGTATATACGTATCTATCAGATATAATAATAATATGGATGCTTCAAGTGCCCAGATTGGTTTACAATTAATTACTTGTTCGTGTTAACGTAATTATTCAATACTTTACTTAGATTTATGAGTACAAATCGTATATTGAAATAAATATGAGCAAATCGAATCGAATTCAAAAAATCTTGTATGAAGGTTTGCATCAAACAGTTTGCACACATGTTTATCTAATTTCAAGTTGTTGTCAACTATTGCACTGTCAAGGTGACATCTGTCATGTACTTCTTGTCAATTTGTCAATGTTTTTTTATGGTTGCTTTGGCGGTGCAACTAAGTAAATAAACACAAGAGACACATCTCTGAGTTACATGGGTTCATAAATTCCCTTACCTCCTACGATTAGATAAACATTAGGGAAGACGGTTTTCGCTTGTTGCAATTGCCTCGCGTGCCCCTGGTGGAACATGTCGTAGATCCCGTCCGAGTAGACCCTGACCTTGCGGCCCGCGGTGCCGGCCAGTGCCGCGGCGCGTGGTATCCGCCCGTAGTGACACGAATCCCGTTCAGCCAACGCCATGGGATCCGTACTGAACGGGGCCGCGTGTCGTAGCGACTGAAACAACAACATTCGCCATTACAATGCGGTCATTGTGTTTGACAAACTGGTGGTAGGCCCTCTTGTGAGTCCGCACGGGTACGTACCACCTCCCCGCCTATTTCTGCCGTGAAGCAGTAATGCGTTTCGGTTTGAAAGGTGGGGCAGCCATTGTAACTTACTTGAGACCTTAGAACTTATATCTCAAGGCGGGTGGCGCATTTACGTTGTGGATGTCTATGGGCTCCAGTAACCACTTAACACCAGGTGGGCTCTGAGCTCGACCACCCATCTAAGAAAAAGAAAAAAAAATGACTTAAACTGTAACCAAATCCTGCTCGGACCACTACCATTAACGTCCGATTAATCTTCGCTGATATTACTAATTTTCTAAACCAAACTAAAGATAAAATGTATTTAAGTCCTCCTCGACAAATCCGCGTAAATAATTTTCACCACTGAGAAGTACAAGAAAGTAAGGCTTGTTTTTTTAAAACACTTTCGCTACTATCGGTGTTTATAGTCACCCACTACAATATGCCGCCTGTACACAACGTGTTACCCATATTCACCGGCTAAAAACACTGCCTATACATAATTGGTGACGTGTGCATTTTTCAGTAAGGAGCTCCGTTTCGCGCGAAACACTTTGCAGCGAAGCCTGTCGTGGCGAAAGGGTTAATATTATTGTAGGTATAGAAATGGTAAGTTATTACGTAAATCCCTCCTACCTAAGCCTCATTCATACCCGATAAGGTGCATCGAATGGTAAATATGCGACCTAAACACGTCATTACGGATCCCCCCGATCCATTAACGGTACTTTTAGGTACATCAAGCACCGGTCACCGTCCTCCCCGAACCCGTCGCTTACGACGAAGGGCTCGACGAGTAAATTAACTCACAGACACAGCCCACTGAGTTTCTCGCCGGATCTTCTCAGTGAGTCGCGTTTCCGATCCGGTGGTAGATTCTACGAAGCACTGCTCTTGCTTAGGCCAGTGTTAGCAACACTCCCGGTTTGAGCCCCGTTAGCTCACCTACACATCAAGGAGAAGCTGAAATAGCTATCAGCATAAATAGGAAAAAAAACCTAAGCTACTTTGAGTAATCCTAATAACTACCCGAACACTACACCTCTTACATATTTCTGTTGCAAAGCTACGATGTGTTTTGTATCGAAGGCTATTAATTCCAAATAAGAATTCGTCTTGCAAAAGATGCAACCAAAAAAAATACCGATCTGTGTAACTGTGTGTTAGACTTAACTATAAAAAAATCAGATTTCGAGATAATTATTGTTGGAGATATTGTTATCTATTTATTAAATTACCTACAGTAGATTATATGATAAAAGTCCGCATCTATATAAATACTGTCATGCTTCACTGCGGTTTTCGTGTAATAGTTTGTGGAATATAGAGTAAGAATTTGTCATACGATAAAATAAGCGTGTTAAAATAGGCTTAGCCTTTACTCAGAAACAAACAACACTAGTATAAATTCTTCGGTTATCGGCGAGTCGTAAAATAATAATAACCAAAACCATAATTACGGTTTAATCTCACGTTAGCGACTGAGAATCGTTTATGACCACGAAACAATAAAAAAAAGAAATTATTAAACTTGAGACTAAGCCGTAGAAGTAGTTTAAAATTTCAAAATAATCAAATGGAGGCGCGAACACAGAACATAAACACACAAACGTGTCTAAACCCAATTATTAAATTTCTCATTACCTACAATTATAGTTAAAGGCACAACACATATTTCTTAGAACTAGTAGTCCCGCAGTAGTCGAAATTCAACTATAATTAATTGAAATTATAAGTTTGAACATTATTATGGTTCTATTGTCAAATACTATATATTATTATACTTCTTTATTCACAGATTTCGTCAAGATCACACTATATACAAATAATATTAAAGATAAACAATATTAACCTATTCTCAATTTGACCACAGACTTAAGCAATAACAAAAGTTTGACAATAACCAAAAGAGTATAAATATGTGTGTGTGTATCAAATCCATGTTAGTGTGTGTAATGTTTTTATTTATTGATTTAATTTATTATTAATGCATAATTTAAAAAAATATTAGCATTCTGCATTCATTCTCTATATTCTCTACAAGTGTGGGAAATTTCATAGTCCTCCGTCCGCACGATTTGCGTAAAAAAGGGGTACAAAATTTTTGCTTCACGTATTAATATATAGATTTATTAGTGATTTAATATTCATCATTCATGTAGTATTTAAATTTTAAAAATTAGCTTCTGCGGACTACTTGGCAGAGCCACAATGAAACCCAATTCATTCAACCCAAGTTCAAACATAATAAAGTTATTACAATATCAAATGAAGTTTCGTCTCGCGTGTTCGAATGTTAAATTAGCGGCAAAAGTAAATGCGTTATTTGATAGATTAGTGTTTATCTATTATTATTTTCATAGGTCGGATAATATATATTTTTACTGCAATGTTTATCTTTAAGGAATACGAGATTATTTATATGCTCCTTTTGAACTTATTGGATCTCGGATTGCTTACTGAGTTTCTCGTCAGATTCTCTCACTGGGACGCGATTCCTATCCAGTGGTAGATTATGCAATGCACTGCTCTTGCTAAGGCATATAAGCAATAAAAATAAAAACTTTTGGGTGTCGTAGCAATCCACTTGTCGGAGACCGTTGAAATAAAATTACAAACAGTTCAGTATCATGCCCTCTGCTAAATGGCTGGACAGACTTAATAAAATAAGATCATCTGGTCGAAATTCGGGTTAAGCTTACATATTAAACATTACTAGCGAATTTAAAATATTGGATGTTGCAATCCGTACATTCGACTAATAAAAAGGATTCTGATAGGGCGATAATGTTTTATTTATATAATGCATAGGAAAGTGAACGATATCACGGCCCGCCTGATGTAAAGAGGGATGCTGTACCTACCAACCACAACATAACCCACATTTATATGATTGTTTGTTCGAGCATCACCCAAAAATCACTCGACCAGTCTTGAATAATATTATTATTTGTTATAATTTATTTTTCAAAATACTTTGTGTCTTTTATTGCTAAAAAGACATGCCCATATTGTGTTAACTAGTTACCAGAGTTCATATACATCATAAGTGAACGCCATCATCCACCTCCAGTAGGCGAAGTAACTGTATTTTAACGTATGTCCCGCCTTTCAAACTGAAAGGCACCAGCCATTACCTGGCCATTACCAGAAATAGGTTGATCTTCAACAAATAACGCGCTTTCGGTTCTGAAGAACGAGACAACAGATAATTCAATTGAGAGTGCGGCTTCATAGGTGCACCATGAGCTCTGCTTATAGACGCTATAGAAGAAGTGCAATATTTTCATTCTACCTAAACGAATTATATATATGTAGCATTGAGCTATTTACATGTCCGTTGTGTCAAGGTTCAAGCATCGTGCCATTAGCAGTCCACTGATAACAGAGTGGCGTGATGTTTCGTCACTATTATAATATGTCCGGAGTAAAATCCCGGCTCATATCAACTGTTCAATGTTATTCGTGATATGGTAGCTTTACTACGGGCATACTGAATATCATAGCGTACAAATAAATCCCGAAACAGTCTGTTTTGTTAGCTGCTAATACTATACGTAGACACTTCTATAACTTCAAACATAGGACGCCTTTAAATTTTTTAGGTCAGTCATTTTTTACTGATAATAAGGCATCGCGTGGGACCCTACGGTTAAGTACTTACTACCAGCCTGCCTATTTCTGCCGTAAAGCAGGTAATGCGTTTCGGTTTGAAGGGTGGGACAGCCGTTGTACTATAAAAACTGGGACTTAAAACTCATGTCTCAGGGTGGGTGGCAGCATTTACGATTAGTACATACTTCCATACTAAAATTATGTGAAAGCGTGTTTGTGTGTCTATCCCTTTTTCACTTCGTAACGGATTAAATGATTTATTTTAAGTGATAATTTTATATGAAGGTAGAAAATAATAATAAAATCGTCTCATTCTCACGGTACCTAAACCACTTTTCCTTGACCACGTATGCGAAACCGCACGTAAGGGCTATGGCTAGTAAATATAGTTATTTTTTTCTGTCACAACGCAAATAGAATGTCACCGAAATTATCTCAAAATAATATTATTGATTAATTCGTTTCCGACCAGGGGTACTGAGCTCATTGCATGTGTCAGTGTTCTGAATTAAATATTTCGCCGCAACAACAATTCTTAGTATAACAAATCTTTCATAGAATTTAACATTTTGAATCCGCAGTTCAAAAGAAATTAGTATAGTATCTTCTACGGTATTCGCCAGACATAGACATAATTAAAACTACATTTACAGTTTCATAAAGCGTATTTTTTTCGTATTGTTGTCATTATAGCCGACTTAACCTAATAGGTGTATGGCTCTAATAAAGAATAAAAAAAAAAAAAGTTGTCATTATAATAAATATCTCCGTAGTCTCGAACAATTTACAGTGTTCATTTTTTTTTTATTGCTTTGATGGGTGGACGAGCTCACAGCCCACCTGGTGTTACTGAAGCCCATAGACATCAACAACGTAAATACGTCACCCACCTTGAGACATAAGTTCTAAGGTCTCAAGTATAGTTACAACGGCTGCCCCACCCTTCAAACCGAAACGCATTACTGCTTCACGGCAGAAATAAGCAGAGCGGCGGTACCTACCCGTGCGGATTCACAAGAGGTCCTACCACCAGTAAGAAGTTTTTGTGCCCACGGATAGATTTTTTTTATAATCGTTTAGTTACTATAAATGTTAGTTAGTTCATTCTGATCCACGTCCAAAAGTACCACGTGTACTCGTGGTGGGGAAATAAATACATTGGAAATGACTGTGACATTACACTAAAATTACGATTAACACGTTTCTGTAAGAAACCAGGTAAACGCGCGCGATAAGTCTTTGTTATAAATTTATAAAAATCAATATTAACGCGCTGTAAGGTACGTGTGTAAATGTCGCTTTCCAAGT